TTTATGTCTCACAAGAGTACCTTGTGTAATATTAAAATTTTTTTTTTTTTTTTTTTTTTTTTTTTTTTTTTTTTCAGCTGAGATGCCCCACAGCAAACGAAGAAGGTAAGACTTCACTTGAACGTCGCATGTATTAATAATATCTGTGTCATGTATTTTGACGTGACACCGATATTAGCTCAGAGAAAATTAGTTCTCTGATTAATTGCCTGGCCGCGCAAACGAAAGATAAATAAAACGCTCTTGTGTATTCGTCGCTCGTTGTGTATTGCGTCACACAAATGTCTTAATATTCACAATATAAAAATAAAACTTCGCTAATTGCTTGACAAATTCATGTATCACATTTCTCGCGAATGTGTGTATTGATTCGGCCTTGAGACTGATTGAAAATTGTTCAACCGAATTATTAGGATGAGCGTGCGAATGTAAATACTTGTATGGCAAAACGGTTAAGATCTTTTACGATCTCTGTTTGCGGTGTATCTCCAGGCGCCGCGTCGCGATTTCGCGGCGGCACAGACTTGACAAAAAAACTTTCCGCATAATTACCCCCCCTCTCTCACATTAGAGCGAGAAGTCGGCCTCTTGGTGCAATAGGTGCGCTTTGTTTGTTCTCGTGATCTCTCCAAGATCAAGAGAAATCGAAACCGATATTCATTGTTCCGAGAGAGGAGCAATGTGGAATCGCGTTCATTGCCGTTCATTGAATCGCGTAGCGAACAGTAGCGACGCAGCGACTACCGTGGTGGTTGTGGCTCTAACGCGGTCGGAAGAAATTCTCTTTTCAAATTTCGAGAAACAACAGTCGAATTTTTGACGAGCAAGCACAATTTGTTTTTTTTTTTTTAAACGAAGCCGGATCACTTAAGGTCGACTTGCGTAATCGAAAAAACGATTCTGCGTGAACGATTGCGCGAGAGGACACAGTCGACCGCGTCTGAATGAACATGAATTAGTGACAGGAATTTCTGACGCAGTAATAACAGAGCACGTTTATCACGTATAATACATTTATATGCTTTTTTTTTTTTCACAATTTCCACCTTTGCCCCGGTTATTTCGCTTGTTAACATCCAGAACATCTTTTCGCGAAGAAGACCGAGGAAGACCGAGCTCTGTCGTGAGTACATAGGTATGGAGAAAAAACACATTATTTTAATTATTAATTATTTTCCGACTTCACACACATGTGTACACTCATATTAATTAATATATGTTTTAATATACATTGATTTTTTTCAACAGTTGTTCAAGTCATCACATTTACTAATCTAGCGCTACGTTAGTTTTTTTTTAATGATTTCACTTAACTTGTGATTCCTGCGTAATGTTACTTTAATAAGTTCGAGATAATGTAGAATAATAACGTCCTAGAAAACATTTCCATTTTATCAATGCGCATCCTAGTGTCAACATACATCTTGACGTATGATTTAGCGTTATCAGGAATCAACGCGAATTTCACACACGAGTGTCGCACAAAAATGGCAAGTCACGAATCTTGTTTCGTAAAACAACTTTGGGCATATTCGAACATATTTTAGCTCAGGCTGTTACGTATTTAACAAATTTTTTGTCAAAAATAAAAACTTTTATACGCGCGCACATACGTAATTTGTAACACCGCGCATTTGTTGAGAAAATAGATAAATCGACGAGTGTAACTTGTTATCACACCGTTTGCACCGAACGCGTAACGCGAAAAGTCCGATAGAAACCTCCTCCTACACTGGCGTAATGCATATCTGTCCCGTTCACGCGATCTCTTCCGTCGTAACATGCGATATCGCGGCTCTGACGATATCAGCCTGAAAAAAAAAGAACAGCACGCATTTAACAGCATTTTATCGTCGATCGCGAACGAATTTTTGAATTCGTTGAAATTGATGCGAAAAGCGCTCGCGAGTTTGACGGAAATAGCCGGCGCGCATTATGTGTTCATTTATCGCCGTGCGCACCTGTTTCGAAACCGCACACGGGTGTGTGTGTGTGATTAATTAATAACGAAGCGACGTTTGACGCGAGCGCGGTGAAGTTCGAGCGACTCTCTTATTCGATTATCGACGTCGCCAAGAACGCGAAGCTATTTTTTTCCGCTCTTTTTCACTTTACACACAGGTAAAAGTTATTCGTGATCGTATGTAAGTGTGTGCGCGATACAAGTCAATTAAATTATCAAATCAAATATCGATACGACGCGATGCATACACGAATTCAACGCGACTTCTTCTCAATGTTCTTCTTGTAACGTATAACTTTATAAACTTTGCTTCAAAACGTTAATCAAGTTTGCATTATCTTCTCGCCGAGTGTAATGACCTAAAGCGTGATGTGTGTAGGATGCGTGTCATCGTATCCTCATCATTCGACATTCGTGTGATTTTTGTGTGTTCAAACATTTCTTCTCTTCTCCACTCGTGATGCACATGCAATTGATGATTCCTAAGCGTGTTTATCGACATGATGATACCAATTGTCTCCTCTCTCTTTCTTCGTAAGCTGCTTATTTAACACTACAAAGCCCAATTATGTGTGCGCTCGACGAAGAAGAACAATAAACTTCAATAAGAGATATAAGAATCATCAGATAGACGCGCATTATCTTTCAAAGAAAATATTGAATCAGGACACCGACCAATTACCAGACTACACTAACGCGTTGCATGCGCAAACGCGTTTTAGTTATCAGATCCGCTCGGTTCGTGAAAGTCCGCAATATTATATCGCAAGTAGACAAAGCTACGATACAATTCAGAATTTAGAACTTTTCAAGATACGTGCACATTTCGAGATATTCGCGATGACAACAGGTAATCCGATACGCGTATCTGTTAATTATCCTAATCAGCAAATTATAATATCGTGTGCCATATTAGGAATAATCGATTATCGTTGAGAGAGAGAGAGAGAGAGAGAGAGAGGTGAAGTATAATAATTAACAGTTCTTGTTGATTAACAGCAGTTGATTGGCAATAATTAGTAGATTTGTTGATTATTTTAATACCTCACAATTCTGTACGTGTTTGTAATTTCTAAGCGCGCGAGTCGCAATTTGACTTTTTCTTAAAAAACAAAGCATAACATTTAAATATTTAACAACGTAACTCGCGTCGAGCGTTCGAGTCAAGTAATATCGCTACGCAACATATGACACAAATAGCAGTAGTTTACCATATTTCTTCGGAATCGCGTGCCAAGTGGCGAATTCAATTCCCAAACGCAATTCTTGTTTTGATTTGCATCGAACAAACAAAACTCGCGTTCCCGAATTGAGAAAAAAAATTCGTAAAATACATTGCACGTTCTTTCCGATTACGTCGAACGTTTGAAATTAAGTTAATTTTGATTGAAAATATGATTAAACACACGATAAGCGCGTGATATCTGGTAATGTATGCGTAAATATCTATACATGTAAACGCAGATTTATTTTCCGTTTGACATGACGGATCGAATGGATTTCTGTTTTTTGGTGTTTCTTTATGTCTGATTTTTATAATCAATAGTTATAAGTGTCAGTAGCTATAATAGTTATCGAAACTTTAATTATCAGAATTACAATATTCTACTGCAACAGTTTCGACAAAGAAATATGTGTGCAATATTGCACTTTTCATATTTACTTCAGTATTCGATTTCATATTCACACTTCAATTTTTTTCATATATACTTCAATATTCAAATTCAATAACTTTTTGTTCAAACAAGAGAGAAAAAAAATCTCATTGTAAAATACGATAAGGAAGTTGGAGTCCCTTTAAGTTGAAACTGTTTTTAAAATCGACCCGTTCAACGAGAGCGGCCAATGGTAATGACCTAATTGTTCTAATAATTAGCTCACATCTGTGCCGAATATATACATATTAGACGCGCGCACATGTAATGAAATACGTGATCTCTTGTCAGTCAAACGTTACTCGTTTCGCAGACTACTTGAGCGACGACATGTCGACGACTGCCCCGGAATTGACGGTCAGACGACCGGTCTACCAGCAAGACGAGCTTAATCATTTGTGCAAATACGTAAAACCCAAGAGAACTTGTAAGTATCGTCGTGATCTAACGCGACCGGCGAAGAATGTAGACGTTTATTTTCCTTTCACCTCGCTCGCCTTTTACTTCGGCGCGTGCGTTTTCCAAAAAAAAAAAAAAAAAGAGAACCGCTTCTCCACGTGACAATCCGCTCGAAACTGCTTATTAGCAGAATCGATTGATCGATTGATTAAAGGAGAATGCAAGAAATTCTTAGACGCAAAAATCACTTCGAAAAGTAAAGCGACACTTTTTTTTTTATGCGAGAAAACGTTTACAAGATCGCGAGCTCACAAATCGTCAGATGGAGAGAGACGTTTTCGATAATAAAATTCAATTTCGTAGATACCGACGTGATTTACGACGAATTGACTCGAAAGACCTTCAAAAGCGGTATAAAGTGTCTTAAATTAAAGTCTGTCTTAAATCATCAGAGAAAGGCAAAACGATCGCGCATGTATTGTTATCTATGTTTGCATTTAAAACAGTTAATATAGAAGACGTACCGTGCGTTAAAAAAAAAAAAATTAATGAATTATTCCGATGTTTACCTCGCGTTTAATTTAATCGAGCATAAATTTGTCGCTCTTTTAGTTAGGGGTGAGGTGTCGAGACGATGTAAAAAAATCAAACCAATCGCTCTCTTGAAGAAAACAATACCGCTGACCGACTGGCTGTTTTCGTACGACTGGAAAAACAACGTTTTGGGAGACATTGTTGCCGGAATTACCGTGGCTGTGATGCATATTCCGCAAGGTACGTTGAACACACTGTTAAGGACAATAAAATTAAATGAAGAATTTTCCTCCGCGAAATAAATGTGAAATCGATAAGCGATATCTCCAAGGAGAGATGCTAGAATTTTCGGTTCATACCGCCGAATATTTTATAGATCGCCAGGTATATTCACAGATAGACTACAACTCTGAAACACACAAGGTTATTATGATAATAAGAAGATCGACTTTATTGCTTTTCGTATAAACGGTATTATTATTTACGATCTGGCCTGGCAAAAACCCGACTGAATGTTGAAATATCGATGTTCGTTTGAAATTTAGTCGAATTTATAGTCACTCTCTTTTCTCTTCATACACACGTAGCGGGGGTTTATATTTTTATCATTCACTTTTTGTCTCTTTAAATTACTTGTTTTACAATAAATTTTATTTTCGTTGAGCAAGAAACATTAAAATTGTCAAACTGGAGAAAAAGAAGGGTTAAATAAAAGGGTTGAATATCAACGTCATATGTTTGCAGGTATGGCGTATGCAATTTTGGGCAACGTTCCGCCGATTGTTGGTATGTACATGGCTTTCTTTCCGGTTTTGGTGTACTTTTTTTTCGGCACATCCAGACACAATTCTATGGGTACGTATCTCACAACATATATAATAAAAAACAAATACACAAATAATACATGCTCTATATAAAGCATCTAACAAAAAATCACCGTGTTTGTTAGAATGATAAAATATATAGACAAAAAATTAACATCTGGTTAAGCTGAACCTGTGAAGTTTTTATTATCCGCGAAATTACATTCGATGTTGATTCAAAACACAGATTTTTGCAATTCTAATAATCGTCGCTTCTTTCAAGGTACGTTTGCTCTCATCTGCATGATGACCGGAAAAGTCGTCACCACATACAGTTCCGTTACGGTTCCGACAAATATCACGTCAGTTCAGAACGGCACCCTAGCATCCAATGTGAGTAACCAGTACTCGGCGGTGGAGGTCGCAACGGCGGTTACGTTTACGGTTGCCGTTATACAGGTAAAACTCTGCATCGGACGCACGCGCAATTCAACAATAATCGTTTATTTTTCTACAAGATTAAACAACATTTAAAACAAGTTTAACTAATTCTTTTTTTTTTTTTTTACATTTTTCCGTAAAATGTTTGCCGCACCTTTCTCCCGTCCCGTATATATATTGTATAAAATTTGTTCGTTACACGTTTTTACTCTTTTCTGTTTCTCCTCGTACCGGCTGGTCCGTTTTAATTATTATTCTCGCTGTTGTGTGTATACGTCCTCATACATATACATTTCGCTCTCTTGACCTCCCAACGACGTCACTCAAAATCTCTCGTCTAGTTAGGAATGTACGTGCTGCGTTTGGGCATAATCTCGTCTCTCCTCGCGGACAGCCTCGTGAGTGGATTCACGACTGCAGCGGCGATGCACGTGTTTACATCGCAAATAAGGGACCTCTTCGGGCTGAGCGACCTGCCGCGACGCAGGGGCGCATTCAAGCTTATTCTCGTGAGTAACAACTAAATTTTGTTTGGCCCCGTTAAATATTAGTCGAATCTCTTCTCTCGCTCAGACACGCATCGCTTCTTCATCCTGTTTTTATTCCTTTATTTTTTCCCTCCCCTCTCCTCCTCCCCTTTTTGTCATCTCAACAAAATGTTTGCACTCGGCAAACATTTAGGTAATCGTGGCGAACGCTTCCTGTAGATATTCCCGAGCAATCAAGTTGTAATTTAAAGCGTCGAGAAAGCGTTGTGCAACGCGCACGCACGAAGATTTACATAATGTTGCAGAAGGTCACGGAAAATATTTTTTGCAAACTTTCTGTTGTTTTTTTTTTTTTTTTTTTTAATAAGCTTCTTACAAACGTCTTATATAAAATCTCGCTTCCGGTATATGTAGTTTTTGCTAAGTTAGATCTTTAAGTTATTATATATATTCATAGATTGTGTCGTTTAATTATTTTTCAGACTTACGTCGACATCTTCGACAGTCTGAACGACATCAATACAACTGCTATAATATTATCTTGCGTTACCATCATAGTACTTATGTTCAACAATGAAATTCTCAAGGTTGGTGATATACGTTATGTTTTGAAACAAAGTGTAAAATAAAAAAGTAGAAGTATATATAAACAGATATATGTAAATGTTATGACATTTCACTCACGTGTGTGTTTTGCGAAAAAAAAAGAAAATATCTTTGAATTTCAGCCAAGAGTTTCAAAGTTGTGTGCCTTTCCAATTCCGATAGAGATGCTCGCGGTGATAATCGGTACTGTAGTTTCGATGCAAATGAATCTCGCGGATACGTACAACGTGATAACGGTTGGCCACATACCGGTGGGGTAAAGTATATTTTTTCAAATAATATTCAATTAATTTTTTTTTCGCAGCTCTTAGTCTCGCAAATTTCAAAGTAAAATTTAATTCAAATATTACCTTTGACTGTGTTAAAATTAATTAATTTGTTAAATCCGAGTGGGGGAGAATATATTTCTCGACAAAATATGTACAACTCTCCGACTCTTTCGATTTCTCCCATAAAACATCAAAAGGTTTTTCAGAGAACAGAAATCTTTTTCAGATTGCCAGTTCCGTCGGTACCGCCATTATCCCTTATACCTCACATTTTAGTAGACAGTGTCGTAATTACTATGGTCGCTTACACAATATCAATGTCCATGGCGCTGATCTTCGCGCAAAAAGTGGGCTATGAGATCGACTCCAATCAAGAATTAATGGCACAGGTAAATTTGAAAGTAACAATATATTTTAATTAATATACATATTGTTTTTTTTTTTTAATTACATTATAATCGAGATGTATTTTCGAAGCAACAATCTCTCTTTCTTTGTTTTTTATAAATATAATTTGTTTCTATCACACACATTCGCATTTGTAATGTGTGTCTTTTCAATATCTGTTTTAATTTAATTATCTGTTTTCAATATTATATGATTTAATTTAATTAATAATATGTATGCGCGCGCGTAAAAACGTAATATGTGCGAATCCCGTAACAACAAAACGAAAATATTTTTGCAGGGTTTGGGAAATCTTGTAGGTTCCTTCTTCTCCTGTATGCCCATCACGGCTTCGTTATCCAGATCGTTGATTCAACAAACCGTAGGCGGACACACGCAGCTGGCTAGCTTGGTATCGTGCGGAATTTTGGTCAGCGTATTACTGTGGATCGGTCCGTTCTTTCAACCCCTGCCACGAGTAATTTATTTTCTCATTCACGATCACGCGGAATAACAAAAAAATTCGCGTCGGTATATAATTAATGTGACTTCGATGTGTTTATCGAATGCGGTACAGTGTGTCCTGGCGAGTATAATCGTGGTGGCGTTGAAAGGGATGCTGATGAAGGTCACCGAGTTTACGAAGTTCTGGAGATTGGACAAAACGGACGGCGGCATTTGGGCCGTAACCTTCGTCATTGTAGTTCTTTTTGACGTCGAGTACGGATTATTGGTCGGCATGCTTCTCTGCATCGGACGGCTGCTTGTTCTCGCAATGCGACCTTACACTTGCAAACTGGCTCAAGCACCCGGCACCGAGCTTTATCTGGATGCCAAGAGATACAAAGGAGTATGAAGAGCTTGTAATTTGAGCTACGTTCGCTTTTCTTACTCGCTTGTTTTCTTTTATCTTTGTTGTTTTTTTTTTTTTTTTTTTTGTAACTATTTTCAGACCGTGGAAGTCCCTGGCATCAAAATCGTCCATTATTCCGGCAGTCTGAATTTTGCGTCCCGACAATATTTCCGCGAGGAAGTTTATAAGATAGCGGAGTTGGTGCCGCAAAAAGAACTGAACAGGCTAAAGAATGCGGAACCCAACGACGTTGCGCCGGGAGAAATTAAAAAGGTGAAAATATAATTTGCAAAAGTACAATCTGCAGATGTAAGCACGCGTAAGAAAAAAAAATGCGAAAAACCAAGTGCTTTCGTGGCTGAAACGGCAAGGCAACCACGCGAATATGAGAAGTATTCTGCAACTTATGCAGCCAAGTATTTTTTTCGCAATAGTTTTTCAAATTTTATAAAAAGAAAAAGACGAAAAAAAAAAAATACTCGTTCGCACTGACACTATTTTTAAAAGTTCGTGTCTTATTTTTATTTTACAGCTGCACATTCTTATACTGGACTTCACCGCATTGTCGCATGTCGACTTAGCGGGCGCGAATGCACTGCGAAGTATTGTGAACGAATACTGCAGTATAGAGGTGTCCGTTTATATTGCAGGTTGTTCCGGTTAGTATGCATGTGTTTATTGTAGCTTGCCCCATTGTGAACACGAATTCGCATTTGCATAATTACGATCGAACGTACGTTATAATTATATACTTCAGACAAAATTTTGAAGTTATTTATACGCGAAACATCGAAATTAGTTTTTGAATATTCAGTCGACTACTTTCTGCCAACTCTCGATATCGATTTGCAGGTCCCGTGTACGAGAGAATGAGAAAGTGCAACCTGATCGAACAGAACGACAATCATTTCTTCGCCATGTTTCCGACGGTCGCCGACGCGGTACATTTCGCGCGTTCGCAGACCGAAATGCTCACAACAACTTCATGGAGCACTCGAATCTGCGACGAGAATGTCATCAGTAGTCTTTAACACGTTTACGCAACTCCAATATCACGAGATAACGTTCATATGCGATAATGTATTGAAAACAAAGCGGATCATCATACACTCCACTTATTTTATTTTCATATTATATGGTCTTTTGGAATTAATGTAATTTTGCAAACACATTGCTTCGTATCTCTTTTGTCGATCGTTAGAATACTATTCTCCAATTAATTTTTTAATCATTTTTACTAGTATTCGATGTATTGTATTTTTAAGAGCTTTCTTTCTCTATTATCACACAAATATTTATACGCCTTCGCCAATATTTATTTATACTTCGCACCGCTTTTTTATTTATAGAAGACATTCATCAATAATGATAGTCTGCTAACCGAGCGGTATATTATGTTTATTATAAATTTTCATTTATTTTATAACTAAGTTTTATTGTTAATGACGATCTCGAATTTTGTATTGTCACAACAAGATCGCCTTAGATGTTGGTTTTTTTTTTTTAAATAAACGGAGATGTCACATATCTTCTTTTGTGGGCAATAAAAAAAAAAGTTGAACATATATCTAGTTAGTGTGAGTACACCGATTTTAATTTATTTCTTTCGGGTTGAGGGGAATCACAAAGCAACGCCGCCATGTTGCGTGACGTTATTTTCTATGACATCATTCCGTACCTCCTGGCTCACCAATCGATTTGCTATTATTCATTGTGTAATTTAATATCTATCGACGTGGATGCAATTGTTACCTTTTGGAACACGACCCTGAAGAAACCGCCAGTAATATTTTTTTTTTTTCGCTTCGCACGCGAATGTGAAGTAATCCGCGTATAATGTGTGTTTGAAACGTATCGACACATCTTGTCGCTATTCGCGAGCGAGTTTGGTAGGCAAATTTTCGACATACATAGCTGCACGCGTGATTTATCGATGTATCACATCTCGAAATACATGAAAGTCTAGGACGCGCGCGGGAACATACACAAGAATGCGTGAATTGAATTTAAAAGAAGTACGTACGTACATACATACATACGTAAGTAGGTATCGTAAGTGCTTTTACACGTGAAATTGGCGCTAGCAATACAAAACGTGTGGATATTATTGGAATCGGGCGTGTGTGGTGGTTTTCTTTGTTTTAGATGTCGCGGCCGTTTTAAAATTCGCGCCACATTGACAGTCGGGCACGTGGCGTCGCGTCGGGACTTTCGTATTCGCGCATTCGCCGCCGGATACACACGCACGCTTTTGTGTGATAGTTCAGATCTGACAGGTGTATCGCGCGTTGGCACGTCGTACAGATTTTGTTTATCATGAACGCGCTAGTGCAATATTTCAAGTCCATTCCAACGCACATGGTAAGCGGCCGAAGTCTAGACACTTGGTTTGAATAATTAACGCGCTTCTTTACGCGCGACAAGTCGAAGATAAGACGAATTTTGTTTTACGTGAGGTTAGGTTGCGGAATGTAACCGTATGTCGTGTAACTCTTAACACATCGCGCGGTATTATCGGAAGAATTTGCAATTTAGATACGTGCGAAACTGTGTCTGCGCTACAGTTGTTTACATTTCGAAAGTTTTTTTTATACGCAATGCGTATTATTCACGCAAATGTGAAAAACTTTTATGCGTTTACATTCATCATGTGTTATTTGGTTTTTGTAGGATTATGACGGCCAAGCGAGAGCAGAAAGACTGTCGAGGGTAATAATAACGTTGTTTGGTGTAAGTTACGTTTTTCTAGAAGAGCTTGAGCTTGCATTTGTTATTAACAGTTGATAATTTTTTAGTACGAAATGTCATGTATTGTGTTTGCAGGTAGTCGGATTAATATGGGGATACATTATTCAACAATTCTCACAGACAATTTATATTTTGTACGCTGGCTTTGCTCTAGCTGTGATGCTCACCGTACCTCCGTGGCCCATATATCGCCACAAACCATTGGACTGGCAAAAACCACAGTCGGAAGCTCCAGCTAAATCTAAAAAGAAGAAATAAATACAAAATATTAATTTTAATTATATGAAAAAAAACAATAATTTGCACTGTGTGATGAACTGAAATCGAACTCATGTGTTGCCAACAAAATTTGTGTTCGGCAACATGAGTTTGATTTCTGTAAATAAAAAATCCATACTTAATCTATATTATTTGTTCTTTAGCAGTTATGAGATAAACAGTTATGAATGTCATTAATGTGAGAATAAGTGTGATTGTGGAGAAGATCACATGTTTTTTAAGACATATGTAAGACATATATGTTATCTGTACTTTGTTGGTTGGTATACAAATAAAAGATACATTTTTTAAAAGCTAATGATGTAGCTAATGATAATCTCTTACATTTAGTGCCAAAATAAATCAAGAGAACATTTTTTAAATTCGGAGAATAATTAACTAAAATTATTTTTAAGAATTATAAATGTGTGTTTATTTTAGTAGATTTATATATTTTGTCTCAAAATATTTTTTACATCTCGTCTAATTTTCGATCAATTATTTGTTTCATTATTATAAAAAATATATGGCAATAAATATTATATATATATAAAAGATATATATATATAATATATATTATATTTTTTTTTTTTTTTTTTTTTTATGGCAATAACTTATATTTGCTAATACTTATATTATACGAAGGTAAAAAATAGATAGAAAGTATAAGCCGTCAAGCGTACGTATAATCAAATAATTACCGAACATTAAATTGCTTCAAGTTACAGATGGTTACGTAAGAATGAAAAAAAGAGAGAAGCAACCGCGTAATCGTGTTATACCTGCAACAATTTTGTATCGGGCAATAGCTTTTCTCTTCCGCAACGGAAACAACTCTTATATAATCGCTTGTGCTCCAAAAACGGTAGAAACCGTTGATCCGGTCTCACCGACTTGTAAATCGTCCGTCAATTAGATGTTCTTTGCGATTACGGACACACCGCGTCGCACTCGGTTAAAACTCGTTTGGATCCGTTCCAACGTTTGACTTTCATCGATCATGTTTTCCATTTTCTCCGGTCACAGACTCTCTGACCGGGGATCATCATTTCCCTCAAAATTGCTAATTAGCTTTCGCAAAGTGATTATCATTTTGTATAAGAGTGGAATATAAAATACAAAAAATAAATCAGAAAAAAAAAAAATAAAATAATATTAGATAAAATTAGAGAGAATAGAAATGCAAATAAATAATAAATAAAATTAAATAAAAAATGCAAAAAGTTGTAATTTATACGATACTTTCACGCTGTATCCGCTGGATTTTGGCGGTTATGTAATAATGTAATCGTATCTTCATTATATTACAATTCGCTGTTCTTGAAGTCACGTGCACACACGTATACAACGGACCATAAATTAAAAGAAGAAATCGTATTAACGATACAATAAGATAAAATCGTTCGGAACGTTTTCTGCGGTAGTTCTTACGTAATCAACATACCGGATATGTATTGGTGAATTCATCTGAATGCCTTAAATCGTTTTTTTTTTTTATGTTTTATTCCTTCTTTCCTCTTTTTTTGATTACACGCTTACCTGTCCCGTACGGAGATACGTAAAGTTGTGTGTGTAAGAAGGTGTTACGAAACACTTTCTCCCTGTATGATGGATATTTTAAGTATGCAACTTGTACCACTTCCTGTAACAGGAAGGCGAGTCCGATTGGAAAAAAAGTGGACGTAATTGCAGCGGAACATACAACGTATAACACGGTCTCGATCGTTACCTTGGTCTTAACACTGAGTCGTTTATCTAAGCGTAGCTCCCGCAATTGGAGATTAGCAAATGAAAGCAGGAAAATTAGCAAAATCACAGTAGTGATCCACGCGCAATTAATTATATCCTGAATGTTCTCGTTGAGTATCAAGAAAATAACCACAAAACACATTACGTTTATTTTAAATTTTTTGCTGTCTGATGAAGAAATATGATTTTTAATAAAAAAAAAACTTATGAGATAAATTTTATTTTATGAAAAATATAATCGTCATAACATGTGAAAAATCTTATATTTCTAAAATTAGAGATTAAATTAATTTTTATATAGTTTTATTATAAATATATATATATATATATATATGAATAGCGTGTGTAACACATATGCGATTTGAAAATAATCAATTTATTTAGAAAATTAAACCAAATTGTATATATTTGTACGAAGAAATCCAACACAGCGTAAAATTATACGAGTGCAACGCACTATTTATTTACGTTGCGTTTCAGACAAAGACATTTCATCATCGTATTTGCAAACTTTCGCTCTGATATAATTTGCTCTAATGTTATTACGCGTTTAAGCAAATCAATTTGAAAGAGAAGTGACTTTTTCCTTAAAAATTCCTCGCACGTATTTGGAAGATCGAGATGTTACATCACCGGCAACCACGATTATGTGCTCTCTCGTGTCGCGTTTAAGTAATAAATTTACATTTTACAATTTCACAAAATTCTGATCTTTTTTTCATCGAGATCGATTGAGAGACAGGTTTCACTCCGGAACTAGAAGTTGTTTCATCGAAGCAACATTGCGAGAGAAATCGGCTCATAATTTATTAATACAAATCAATATGTTCCCAGCAAACACAGATTACAGCTATGTAACATGGATAAGTCAGTGTTTGAATTTACTTGTAACTACCCCTGGAGTTTCCTGAACGCTGCGCGCCGCTCGCTTTTCCTTCATTCTGCTTAGCTCAGCGATCCAAGTTTCGTCATTTGGCGGTAAGACGTGCTCTGGTACTTAATCGTATTAAGTGGCAGTTGCAAATAAATTCACGAGCATTGTTTTTTGTATAAACTTCAAAACCAACCTTGAAATCGTGATTCATAATAGTCGCGGTATCAATTTCGGAATTAGAAAAAATTACTAATTTGTTAGAATACGTTTTTATTTATGTTATACAGTATATATCAAACATACAAAGTCGTATACCGTAACTCTTAATGATGAATGCGACTTTAACACGTAATCAATGTCTCAAGAAATATTTCATATAGATCTAATTAAATACTTCAGAGAGTCAAAACATACAGCGCACGTGTAATAAAAATATATTGCGTAGAAAAATATGTTTTGCTTTGCGTGATGTAACGCCGATTTCCTGTCATATTTTTACACTAAAATTCACTAATTTGCAAGTTAACGATGGAGTTTATTACGATGTTTTCGGGTTTCTCGTGCACACTCTCACTTTTATCCACTCTTGTCATGAAAACATTTTTTTCCCCTTCTCTCGGTATTTTTATTTTTTTAGATTAAATAATTAAAAAATATTTATATTAAATAATTGAAATATCTTTGCGTAATTAATTAATTTTAAAACGATCGAATGAGAAAGTGAGTAGAGTTCGGTGTTTCATTACATGATCGTAAGTCACATCGCATGTCACAGACACGTACACACACACACACACTTGTATACAAATTTAATTTTGACAAACAGTGGTTTCTCTTCAAAATATCTTAATGTTGGAAAAAGTTGCTCTGCTGGAATTACGCGCGCGCGAACGGGATCATCCTCGCGCGAGGTCCGATTCGCACTCGAGGCGTCGCCGTCGCTCACACATATCGCACGCACATCGTCGAGTTACGCAGCATCGAAACGCGAACGTAACGCGAGCCTTCGCGTTTCCTTGCTTTTACGTAACTTGTGATCCCGAGCCATTTTATTCTCCCACCCTTGTGCAATTTCACCGGGTGGTTTTGGCCAACGCGGTCTGTCCTTTATAAGCGGACATCCCCGACGCTCAAAACAGAATCGTGCCAACACAGTTCGTAAACGCACAGCACGCACAGCCGTCGCACACGCGAAATTAATTTTTTTTTTCCAAAGTAAACTCAATCGACACTGCCCGCCCAGTCGAAGATGCACTCCTACACCGTAGCTGTGAGTGTTTTTATTATAATATATATACATATATAGTATTTACGTATTATTATTTGAAATTTTCAACTTCTGAAGTTCTCCGACGATTTTGTGATTTCTTGTGATTTTGATATAATGCGCGTAAAATTATTCGAAATCGAGTGTGCGCTATCTTAATTTTGCAAAATTTGTGCGCGAATATTTTTGTGATCATACAATTACTGTGACATAGTTTTTCGCAATTTCTGTGTAACTTTATTGTTAATAACTATGAGATAAATTTACGCTCATTGTTGAAAAAATATAGATGTCGGGTATATATTGTTGAAAACAATTAGAAAAATATACTTTATATAACGTGCAATTTTTCTTATATTTTTTTTATATACGCGTGAGATATCAAATTAAATATTTAATTTTAAATATCTATCTAAATTTTACTATCGAATTTTTTATTTTATTACGTTATTCAAACATTTCTGTATACGCGCATTAATAACGTTATTAACAACACACCGACAAAGCTCTCAAGAAAAAAGAAAGAAAGTTGACTAAAAGTCTTGAATCTAAATGAACGCGCGACATTTATTTACGTACGATACTTGAAGTAGAAGCACGCGCGTTTGCATCGCCGCTGTGCGATAAAATGAAAGAAGCGGCGAGAATGATAAAATGTGGATAAAAAAAAAAAAAAAAACGTCGCGCATTTAAATGAAACTTGTTTACATTTGTTTTCGATGTTACCAAGTAAACCGCGAATCTCTCTCTCTCGTGTGTTGCAGTTACTCGTGTTCGGAATGATGGCCGTGACTTTGGCAACGCCAATTCCAGGTCATCATCAGTAAGTAACTTTGTTCATATTGAGAATTACTCGCTACAAAAAGTGTTTATTTTGCTTTTAACGAAAGCATTGCATATACCTTCCTCGTTTATCTGCTAATTGTGTGCAACTTCAGTGAACATCACGTTATTCACGTGCCCTATCACGTACACACGGTTCATCATCATCACGTGAAGAAGATACACGTGCCGGTGCATCACGTCGAAAAGGTTCACGTTCCAGTTCATATCCCAGTGCATCATGTCGAAAAAGTACCAGTACCCGTACCAGTGCACCATGTTGAGAAAGTACCTGTGCCTTATCCGGTTGTTGAAAAGGTTCACGTACCCGTTCACGTACCTGTTCACGTACCCATTCACAAAGAGGAGCACGGTTGGCTGTAGAGACAGAGCACTTCATCTTCTAGCTTTAATTGTTTTAGGTTCGTACTGTTTATTTTTACCAAATAGAGAAAAAGAGAAGACAAAGAAAAAGAGAGAGTGAGAGAGAGAAAGAGAGATTGCAATTAACGTATTAAAACTAAAGCAAATTTAAACTAAATAAATCTAAGATATATATTATTTTTAAATTCAAAGAAAAAAGAGAGAGTGTCGTATAAGCGGTCATTATCAATACTTTTAAATTTTTAACGTTTTTATGTTAAATATAATGTGTAACATTCTCTCTGAAAGATAATAATTATATACTTTCTTAACAAATATAAAAAACGATTTTTAGGTTGTTATTAACGTGTAGACTCGAGTAATAAATAAAATTCACTAAACTTCACTTCCCGGTTCGGATCGGATGATAAGAAGATTTAGTCAGATTTATGCGCACACGCGCATAATAGAGGAACATACATATACAGAAGAAAAGAAGAAAACTGGTCAGTACAAAATTACTCGAGTACCCGTCTCTTCATGTAACATTTAAGGAGTTAAGGAGTTAAGAATTTAATGTAAGAACCAAATATACTCTGTATGCACGCGTGTGTACTCAGAACAAAGCTTAAAGTTGTATATACTTTGTCACTATGTTGAGTCATTATTTTATATAATAAATATGTAAAAAAATATTTTGTCTTGTTTATCAATATATTTATTTATATTTATAAATACTTATAAATACTTCTTCTTCGCTAAAAATACAGAAGTAACAGTTACGCATAAATTTCTTGCTTACATTTCAAAAATGTTCGCACAAATGAGAGAATATTCTAGAACAATGAAATATAATCTATAATATATAAATATGATTTAGTTTTGCAACAACAAGCTCAACAATAACAACAAATCAATAACAAAGAGTCATCAAAATAACAACAGTGATACAATTAAATAAAACTCCATTAGCGAGACGAGTTCTTTAATCATAAGCCGTGAGAAACGAAGTAATTTACCAGCTGTCCTCGTGTTCGTGATGCTCGTGATGATCGTCTGATTTGACCGGTATGTAAATTTTCTTCACATGCGTGTGATGATGCTTGTGGATGAGATGTGGCACGTGAATGATAAAATGCGTGCTGAAAAAAATTTTGCACTTTGTCGAATTATTTTCCATCGCATCTTGTGTGAAAATTCGCAATATATTTTTTAAGAAAAATATAAAAAAATCAATAACTTATTGTCAGCAAGACAAAAAAACAACATTACTGTTCGTCATGGTGACCGCCAGGATGAGGCATTGCTGATACCAGTGCCGTTGTAACAACCAGCAGCAAAAGAAACTAAACAAAAAAAAAAAAAGAAAATCTTTACATAAAGTGTCATAAAAAAATCTGCTTCAAAAATTTTAGAGATTGCCGTGTTCTCACACGTCTGGCGCTTCGCATGTGTCAAAAAATTATAGCTAGCTGACACGCCCAGTTTATTTTCTCAAAGACTCGGAACATAAATTACAGATCTTGTCTTTCACGGTAACGACTGGAGAAAGTGTATATGTATATTTTGATTATACACGTTAGCTTTGTTGAAAAATTAGAAATATCACGGCAGTATAAGCAAGCGTCGGAAACATCGCAAAATTATAGATATTAAAAGAAATTATATCATATATTACAAAGTGTTCGAAAAATATTTGTGAAAATCAGTAAGAACATTTACATAGAAAAGAGTGAATTAAAATGCTTCTCTTATCACACGTTTATATCAAGATTCAACAAGTTGCGTTTATTAACTTTTTTTTATCCGTACTATCAGTATTTACAACAACAATCACTAAACAAAAAATAAAAAGGACATCATTATCTGTGTGCCATTAACATGTGAACAAATCATCTCTCTTTCGACAAAAAAATCGCTTTATGACGCACGATTAAACAATCGGAACGGATCACTGATCGGATTCAAATATGAGACACCCACGTGCGTTCCGAAGTTGCTCATGCTTGTGCCGTATGCGCGAAATGTATATGTTTAATTCTTCCGAGACTGCGACCAAGCAATGACTAAGTATTCCTTTCGCGATCAGCCTTATAAACAGAAACATAATCAGTGAACGCACAGAAAACAGTTCCTGAGAGCGCACCACCTTACCCCACCTGGATATTTACTCTCACCTGAGCGGTTATACGAAACCTCACGTACGGTTTCGCCGCATTATTTTAAACCGCGATTTTCGCAGTCTTCCTGTCGCTACTTCGACGTTCACGCTTCACTTAATGGGCGTCATACTCGGGGCGCCTTTCCCGAGAGCGTAGTCGCCGTCTACAAATTATTCAGTTCGGAAGTGTCGAAATGCACCGGAAAAAGTGAAGTCGACTCGAAACTCTCCGATAGAATTTCTCCTTCAGAAGGGAAATCGATGCATTATTTTCGCTAACAAAGCAATGAAAGCAAATGAGAATATCACACAACAACAGGAAGTAAAAAGGCGTATCATAGCAAGATGTATCAGGAAGTGTGAAGAAATTAAGGATTTGTAAAGGTAATTATATTGTATCTTCATTAAAAAACGAAAATATATATTCTATCGTGATCAAAGAAATCTACTGATTTCACTAGAGATAAAAATAAGTATTTTTATCTTTTAGTGAAATCGGTTTCCATAATTCTTTAAACATTGCTTAAGCAAATTACGTTAGTTCGTAAAAAGATGATTGCGAAAAATCCTTTTTCGTCATTATAAGATCTTAGACTCCGTCTTAGACGTATGGTTCAAGTTTGACACACAGTAAACACTCTAAATAATGCTTACTCACAAATCTTGCTCATCATAGTTGAATAATCGATTCTCTGCTCTACTTATATAAACGTTACGCACAAAGAACTTGAAATATGTAATATTAAAAATATTACGTTGTGTGGCTTATATAAAAACCGATGATTCGTTCGTTATGTTGCATAAGTTTGTAATCAATGTTTATTTTATATGTTTAATATTCATTTCAGTTTTTTAAATTTCAACTACGTATTTGATAATATTATATAAGATAAAAAACTTTTTTCTCTTTTTTTCTAATTACTTGCGATTACTGTCTGTTTTTATATAGAAGTTAAATATTTCTTTTTTATATTTTTATTAATTGTTTCTTAAAATAATATACATCGCAAATATATATGATTTTGTGAACGCAAATTATAGATATATTTGCGCTTTATTGTTCTTTTAGTTTTTGTCTTAATGTTCTTTTAACTTTACGCGCGCCACCGTCTAATTATAATCTTATGTTTATCACAAATAGTTTTACGAAACAATGAGCACAAGATCTGTGTATATTTAAGTGTTCCGCGTACATGTACGCGTATATGCATATGAGTGAAATCGCGTCTCGTTTATCAAACGATTAGTTCTTTCACTTTTCCGCTTCCACTTTCCATTTCAAATTAATTCAAAGTTAATATATGATGTTTTACGATCTCATAATTTGTAATTTCACTGCCAGATGTCTTTTAAAACATGCCGCTGATTGAAGCATCTATAAAAAAAAAAAATCATCTCAGTGCTCGTTAAAAAGTGAAAATTATATCTGACACATTAGTAAGTACGAGTCATTTAAGATTGATGAGTTTTTTTTATTATTTTGTATGAATTAGAGAGAGTATAAGAATACTATAATTATATTTATATGTAGTAGAATTTTTACTTGAAAAGATATACCAATGATATGAGTACTTTAAAAAATACAGGTTAAAATATAGTAATTATAATATAATAATTAAAATAAATATAATAGAGCACAGAAAAATTGTGTACATATAAAAAAATGCGATGTTTATTCTTATTAATTTAAAGCTTGTATTTACAGTCAATATATATGAACGTCGTATCCAATTGTACCAGAAATACAAGTAAGCACGTTGGGTTGCATATGTTCTGGATGTGTTTTTGAGAGAATTTCTCTGTCAGCTTTCAATATCACTAGATATTTTATAGATCTGAGTATTAAAAATATTTTCGAAAAATACAGTTACGAATAATTATGTTAAAATCTTTGCAAAAGTTGAAAATAATTATCATTTACAAATTATAATTGTATAAAACAAATATTAAGTATACTATGTGTGTTTGTGAATCGATTTGAATTGTATGAATACGTAGTAACAGGAAATGCGGGAAGAGAGGTAATACATATAATATACTAAAAAACATATAAAAATTTTATTGAAACATAACATTATAATATAATATATATCCTATGTACAAATTTTATTGTATATACAAACACAACATATTGTGATCAACATGCACTCAGATGGGTAAATCGTAATCGGATTGTATTAACGACTACGATTTGTGTAAGCAAGGCACGTGAAGATTCAACGTGAGAAATGCGTGCCAAATTTGACAATGAGGTATACAAATATATGAATATAATCGTATAATCATATGAGTTATGGCGATATACGCCTAATAGTTTTTATCACAAACTAGTTGAAGTGCTTTGTAAGCTTCAGAAGTCACTCAGGTTATGAAGTTATTTTGGTGCTATTATTTCTTAACATATCGGTAACAAGATCGATCAAATTTCATATTCTGAATAATATTTTATGTAAGTTGTTTAAACGTTACTAAAATTTTGATTTGCTTTGATACAAACACAATTTTGGATGCATTTTCAGAGAACGTTGTTCCGTAATTATTTTTCGTGTACTGTTTCATACGTTTGTCGTGTAAGTCAAGTCAAGTTGACATTCATTTAACTAATTGTGCACTGCAAATTAATTTTGTAAGCAATCAAGTTGGAAAAAATTGTCACATGTCGTTGTCGTACGCATAACGTCGAGTTGTGTCAAAACATAGTTAAGTTAAGTCAGATTAAATTTGATGTAAGATGTTTTGTTGTCGCAATATTGTCTCTTAGAAAGTTTACGATAATTATTGATTAAACTTGTCAAAAAACATTTAAAACAGTCTAGAATATTCGAGATAACAAAAATCTCAAAACCTAAAAAAGTATTTGTGAAAAATAAGTAAAACAATATTATTACTGTTATTTTTCACTTTAAAAAATTCCGTTGATGCAAACAAGTTCTAATAAATTGTTAAATTGTGAAAAAATGGAAATCATTATTAAATATCACACTTATCGATTGTTACACTATAATAAAAGTGGAGATTATTGTTTAAAAGATATTTCAAGTTAAAATTTGTATCGATCAATTGAAATAAAAACCAATATGCACGGCTACTGGTGTCTGTATTGCACATTTTGCGCAACATATTGGTCACAGCACTCTTATTTCTTTTTTTTGTGGTAACCGGAGAAACCACCGCCATGGCCTCCGCCGTAACCGCCGCCGCCGCCGCCGCCGCCGCCGCCGCCACCACCATGACCACTCGAGTAAGAATCGAAACCACCGCCAGAACTACCGTAACTGCTTCCACCGTGTCCACTATAAGATATATTAATCAAATGCGCTTTGTAAACGTCAATTAATATCAACATACGGCGATTCTCAGTAACTTAATTACCTGCTACCAAAGCTAGAAGAACCGCCAAAACCGCTAGAGCCGAAATGATCATCACCACCAATGTCGTGTCCGCCGCCAAATCCGCCTCCTCCATATCCGCCGCCATGACCGCCTCCAAAACCGCCGCCACCGCCACCGCCGTGTCCTCCGTGCTCGATAATAATACCGCCTCCTCCGCCACCTCCATGTCCGCCACCTCCTCCTCCTCCATATCCACCACCAAATCCGCCGCCGTGTCCACCTCCGAAACCACCGCCACCGCCGTGTCCACCTCCGAAACCGCCGCCACCGCCGTGTCCTCCGTGCTCGATAATAATATCGCCTCCTCCGCCACCTCCATGTCCGCCCCCGAAACCACCGCCATAACCTCCGCCGTGTCCACCACCAAAGCCTCCGCCGCCGCCGTGTCCACCTCCAAAGCCGCCGCCACCGCCGTGTCCACCTCCGTGCTCGATAATGATACCGCCACCTCCTCCGCCACCTCCATGTCCACCTCCGAAACCACCGCCATAACCTCCTCCATGTCCGCCTCCAAAGCCGCCGCCGCCGCCGCCGCCACCGCCATGATCATCATGTTCTATGATAATAGCGCCGCCGCCGCCACCTCCGTGACCACCTCCAAATCCACCGCCGCCTCCATACCCACCGCCACCTCCGTGGCCACCTCCAAATCCACCGCCGCCGCCGTAACCACCTCCGTGTCCACCTCCAAAACCACCGCCGCCACCACCACCATGGTCATCATGTTCTATGATAATAGCGCCGCCTCCACCACCTCCGTGACCACCTCCAAATCCACCGCCACCTCCGTGGCCACCTCCAAATCCACCGCCTCCACCGTAGCCACCTCCACCTCCACCTCCATGGCCACCGCCGTGATCTATGATGATATCTCCTAAAAAATTATTATAAATTATGTTGAACTGTTTCTTTTTAGACACACACACACACAAGTCAGAACAGTAATAAAGTAGACTAATACAAATATTATATACAAGTCGATCTATTTTCTTTTTATTACTGTATTACTTTTTTTTCTTTGTAAAAAAGTAATATAATAGACTTATTTAATGTTTAGAAAGAGAGAAAATATGTGCAAACCGAAAAATGCACAGATCTTTCTTTTTTACATATTCAGCACTATATTTATTGTGGTATAATCAAATATGAAACAATGCTACATAAAAAACAAGGTGAAACAAAAAAACTATGTTTGAGATTTTCTCATAAATATTCATGATCAGGATGCATCGGATGCGTGGTACGTGATAGTAAACTTTCTCGGTATTCGAAAGCGAAAGGAGAAGGTTTGATAAAAAAAATACCTGGTCTACTGTGTGTAATGAAAGAGTCACTGTTCGGTTTGCAACGTCATTGCGCGTAATGAAATGAGGAAAGAAGAACAGTAATTCTGACTACACACAGGTTGCGCGTTTGAAACAATAATTTCTCATACATAAGAAATGCGCTTCTTAATAAGTATGTAACGGCGAAGTGCAAATTCGGTGAGGGGTTTTAGCAAGACTTTTAATATCAACCTCAAACCCGTAGAGTGCAATTTAAATTTTTAGAAAAGAATGTTTAATTAACACTTCGTTGGACTAGAAATCACAGCAGACTATTTAATTACTTTTTATTATTCTGAAACTCATTATATGTAAGTGAAGCACCGGCAAAATGACAGCCTTTCCTTTCTGCCGTAATTAATACGTGTGCATATATTATTTCGCACTATAAAATTTATAAGCACACAGGAAGTTAATATTAATATTGAGATCTCGTTTTTTCGCATTTTTCTTCTCAAGTTAGCACATTTCGTCATGAATTATTTATCAAATTTCCCAGAACTATTTTATAAGTAATATAAATAATAGATATGTTATTTGTTTAATCAAATTTTGCTTTGAATAAAATATTTCTTATCGTGAGACATTTCTTAGATAAAAATGAAAAATATTAAAAAATCGATATATTAAAAACAAAATCTTTGTAAAAGACTTCCTCGATGCACTACGGAATCTATTCGTTGAAACGTAATGGTCACAACTCGCTCTTACCTCCACCGTGGCCACCTCCGAAACCACCGCCACCTCCGTAACCTCCACCATGACCACCTCCAAAACCGCCTCCGTGTCCGCCGCCAAAACCTCCGCCGTGGCCACCTCCTATGTCCCCAGGACCGCTGATCTCTATGTGATGATCATCACCTCCGCCTCCGTGACCTCCGCCTCCGTGACCACCGCCCCCGCCATGATCCTCGTACTTAATAATTTTTTTTTCATCATGCTGCACTATCTCCGGCACATGTATTCTTATATGTACGCTAAAATATAAAAAGTGTATTTAGATCAAAAAGTGCTGAAATGATAAAAAATTTTATATTACGATAGAAAGAAAAAATACTTTTTTTTTAATTTTTGTATTTAAAAAAAAGAGAGTAAATTTAAGAAACAATGCGAGTGCAAATTCTCGTTCTTTTTTTCTCAAAAATTAACAGGACAGTATTGCAAATATTTCAACGTGATTAAATAAAACTTACTGTTCATGTCCGAAAGTTGCGAGGCCTACTGACAGTATAGACGCAAGAATGATGATTTTTATCTGTAAGTAAAAGAATGAATTGATAATTCTTATCAATATTTTCTAATCGCACGTGAAAGAGGGTAAGGTAAAAATTCATGTGTAATTATCAATCGTATGTGCGCAAAAACTCTTGATCGCGACGATGTCTCGTACTATATGTACAATCACGAAATTATTTTGCAATCACAGCTTTAACGAGAAACAATTCCGTTCGGGAGTCACTTTCAATAGCATAGATCGCAAGAAATTTCTGTGTATGCAATTTCTCTCAGATCGAACAATAAACGACGATATAAGTTTTTATCCAGTTTTAATTCCTTACGGCGTATTTGGGCTCCATGCTGGTATCTAGGACACGGACGGCAACCTTTTCCCGCCTCTTATCCCGCGCACAATTCACCGCGACGACCCGGTACACACTGTCATATATTTGCGGCCACTGTCTTACCTATATATATACCAAACGGGAGGAAGTATCGAAAGGACCAAGTGGGGAGGAACGAAGATCGCGGTCTACCACCGGAGGTGTAGAAACACTCCGAAAGAAACCGAGGTGAGCAAAACTGGTGAGCACACACTTGCCGCACTTTGTAACCATATGTACTCGTGTATCAGGTGATGCTCGATACATGTGTAAGCGCATGTGATGCGTTTCTGTGAAAACGAGAACGATCATGACCCACACAACTTCGGTCCTAGAGAAATTCGCGTCTGGGCTTTCTCAATTTTGCTAACATATGTATTAAATCGATATTCCCGAAAATGGCACCAGTTGCTGCCGGCTACGTTTTTTAATAACGTACGTTTTTAATAACGTGAGTTGCATCAAATTTCGAGATTAATATTTCACGAAATTGCACGCGTGTGTATGTTTTACACGCGTAAGATTTTAGAAGAATTTTTAGAAAATAAAAACAATTTTAATAACGAGCTTTATTAAATTTTGAGATTAATATTTCACGAAATTTTAAGGAATATTTTAAATGCGTAAGATTAAAAAAAAAAATTATTTAAAAACAAGAACAAAATTTAAATTTAATTACAAAAATTTTAAATTAATTAACACATTGCTCTTGTTGCGATACGATTTTATTTCAGAGCATGTAAATTAATCACATACATGTGTAAATTAACATATTAAATTAGCAAATTAACATGTTTACCACAACTCGGAATGTTATTGTTTTCTTCATTGTTCATGCAAAAATTTCATTTCATTTGTGTGATATGCTTGTTGCGCTGATAGATACCACTTTACAAGCGAGATGTGCGCGCGCGTTGTGAGCAGACACAAATAAACGTTTCAGTATCGAATCGGAATTATTACCACTGTCGGCTCTACTCACTTTCCCCGCGATTTCCAGAATAAAATTAACTGAAAAATATGATTGATGAATATTTCTCTGAAATCTTTTTTTAAATATTTCAATCAAACAGATAAAACATGCCTTTACATTATACGTCGCAAAGAAGAAAATCAGCTTCTCTGTGTCTTTTTTCTTATTATTATTAGAGTTTACATTTTCTGCAATTTGTTTTGAGATTAATATTTATGTGCTATTAAAGTTTTTTTTTCTACATGATAATTTCTCTGATATAAATCTCAATACGCTATATTGTTGTATGATAACGTCAATACGCACAATATCGTAGAGAGAGGAAACACTTTTCGTTATAGAAAAAAGTACATACACGTATTTATCTTTAAATTGTCCTTATAAATATATAAACATTATTATTATTACAATTTCTAGAAGTCCATTAATATACGTAAATGGCTCTTTAACTTGTTAATTATTGTCACGTCACTTTAACAGGCGCGTCGCTCATGCGAGACTCTAATTATATACGTATTTGTCGTTTGATCGGAAAATTGCATTGATAACAAGGTTTTAATCGGTCATCAGATACTGGTTGCTAACTGGCTCGCAAACGCGCGTAATATTAAATGTAAATAAATACTCTCACACAGTGTAAATCTGCGAGAACAACACGTGAATTCTTGATTTTATACGTAATTAATGAAAATCGCAATTCTTGCGCAAAATAGACACACGTTTACATTTCATTAGAATTTTAAGTTTCCCTGCGCTCTTCTTTTGCTTTCGCCGAATTTAAGGAAATGTTTCACCTCGAAGATTATTACAAAATGTGTCACAGTTCTTGCGCCGTGTTACTCATAATAAATGTATGAATCCCGCTAATTAGAAGAGAGATCCATGGAGGAACATTTTGTCTCTGAGAAAGAATCTTGTGCGTATATATCATAAAAAAGAAAAGAAAGTGTACACTTTTCGCGGTGCTTCATTTGTTTTTTACAACGTTGCGCCAGAACATATGAGTTATAATGCATAATTTATAAGTTAATAAATATTAAATTGCGAAGTGTCGCACATTTCTAGATAAGAAAATTATTAATTCTAATAATAATAATTAAACTTTTATAAGTTTATTTCAACAATTTCACACCACACGCCTTATTACTTTTACATGCAAGTTTCTTTCTTGTGTAATTTGCAACATACATTTTTTCCGATTGTTGCGCTTAGAAACTTAGAAAACGCGATAGCACTTTTCGATACAAAAACAATCTCATTTTAAGATATAAAAATTTCTTATGTTACTCTCGTTCTTTCTCGCGTATGAATTCCTTCGGCAACAAACAAGCTTTCTTAGTAAATGTATTGCACATGTTTGAATTTCTTCTCTCGATCGAGTGGAACGCCCGTAAGGTGAGATAATTGAACCTTTTCTCATTGCTGCTACAAGATAAATACTTAGAACACACATTGCAGAGTGTTTTTTGCCTTCATTGCTCGTTACAATATAACGATAATTGTAGACAATTGTGTGACTAATAATCCTTTCGCTTTACCATCATTTACTTATCGTCAATGAAAATTATTGGGTTTGTGGTCGTTACTCGTTCTAGCAATTGGTTAACGAGTCAATTCTTGTTTAATATATTCAGATGTTTCAAGGACATTAGAATTTTTGCGTAAATCGTATAAGCATGAAGAAATTACTAAATAATTTAATATTTGAAAAAAAGTAAAAATCATTTTTTAAATAATTTTTTATTTTTCCTAATTCAATAGTCACACGTGTGTGTATATTTTTATTAGTTTAAGCAATTAAATCTAATGTGTGCATAAAAAAAGATCATCAAAGAATTTAAAGTCTGTTTTATAAAAAAAACTTGAAAAGAATATATGAAGACAATAGAAGCGGTATATCTTCAAGCAATCTTTAAACCTTCAACTTTCTCGAATCTTTATATTTCATCTCAGCTGATTCATGTGTAATCTTTAAGTGTATATGTGTGTCTGCGTGTAAATTCAGATTCTACTACATTCATAGCAATAAAGTATCAACCATACTCGAGCGGCTTGCTTGGATTTAATCACTGGAAGATCTACGTCGATGCAATCATGTGAAAGCACAGAGTGACGATTTGTCTTATACTTCTCAGCCGGCGTTAATTATTGCTAGGGGATTCTCTGTACAGGGTGTCCTAAATAAACTTTTTTTTTATAAATCTATTGATCTGTGATTTTCTTTTAAAAACATCGATTAATTTAAAATAATTGTTTAAATTATTGTCGATCTTGTCTTTTATAATATTTTACTCGTCAAAAAGTCTTTGTTTTTATCAATGTAGAATTTGAGAATTAAAAGTAAAACATTAAGCGCTAAATAACATTATAAAATTAATTATTTTTTAAATTCTTTTATTAAAATTTTTGTGCAAGGATATAATTATTATCTAAATAATNATAAATTATATAAAGATATTTATTATATATATTAATTATGTAAAATAATTATACAATTAATAAATTATATAATTATTATCTAAAATTCAAGCTCTTAAGAATTAATGTATAAAATCACGCATACACGCGTAAACTTGTGTGAGACACAAATAAAACGATCTTCATTTAATATTTTGTTTTTGTAAAAAATTAATCAAAAAATGTATAAATGTGAAATGATTCATTTGATTTGCGGCACCCTATATACGCCTGTGACGCTATTCTGCATTTGCGCGAGTATCTGCCGTATGGGGGCAACACGTTAATGGATTTCGTACACACATGTACATCTCGCGAACGGACTCTCGTACAATGTAGTAACAAAATAGAAAGTCGCAGGAATACACGGTAGACGAGATAGGGCGCAGGGAAAAGGGAGAGTGAGTGAAAATAAAAGGGTGAGAGCGAGAGCGGGTAAGCGGAAAGAGGCGGAAGCAATACGTACCGCGTCGCGGGGGAAAAAGACAGTTTACTCGTGGCTGTGATAATCGTGAGAGGCTCTCCCGTTCGTATTGTGCCGCTCCTTATCCTTTCACTCTTTTCCTTTATCGCATTTTAACTCGTACGATAAATTCCGCGGCGAAACACTCTCGGCATCTTTTTTTTTTGCCGCGAATTGTTGGCCTTGATTTCCTGCCACTGAAACGTATTTGTTATATCATCCGTCGATTCGGAGATACGAAATTACGCTCTGATGATTCTCATTTTTCTGGACGAAAAACGCTCGAATCCGCTCTCCGATTTTAATGAAGTTTCGATTTTAACGGACTTTTTAGAGCGAGCCGAAATAATTATGAGGCGTCGTTTTCGCTTCTGATGATAAATTGGATTCAGTAGTAGTGTGTGCACAAAATCTGTCTGTCACTTTCTTTAAAACTGATCTTGAATATTGAAGAATAAAGAAATTTATTTCATGTCGTAAATTGTAAAATTTGTCAAAAAATTAAAGAAACAATTTAATTCATACAACGTGTAACTTTTATTTATACATAACATATTATTTATACATTGGGAAACAAAACTATAAAAATATGATGAAATATTAAATGTGTATTTATAGATCGCATTTTTCGGAAGTGTTAATATTAATTGGTTAATATTAATTTTCAACAATTTTGATATTATTTTACAACAATATAAGCCGTTACAACATTATAAATCGTAATGAATATTGTATGTTAATTAATCGCGATAAATGTTTTATGTCGCTAATATATCAGAATATTACACGTTTCATACGTATGTTTATTCCTATAACTATATAACCGACTATCAAATAATCATAAAATGTGATTTTATATACTTTGCAGATAATAATACATTAAACACGGTATTTTGTCATTAGGCCTTGTCATATTATGAATGTCCGCGACGATATTTCCATCTTTTTCCCGCACGAACGTTTTGCAGCGCAGCTTTGACGATGCTACTCGGCCGACGACATCTGTTTCCTTTCACAATCCCGCTTCCTCGAGAAACTATGTGAAGGTGCACCGAACGACCTTACTAGTCAAGATCAAGATCAGCCTTTCGCGGTTGAAATTAAAGCGCTGTATCGTGACGCGCGGTGACGAGCAATTAAACACGTGATATTCACATGAAAAAAAGCTTTCGAATGGACTGATGCTGTAATTAAACAACAAAACTTAGAAGCAAGTCATAATATTAAATAAAATTAAATAAAATTTCGTATATGAAATATATACAAATTAAACATTCGATACGAATTTTTAAATTAAATCTGATTCGAATGTGTTCAAATTTATTTAAAAAATGTATATACTATATGTACACACTATATGTATAAAAATTTACAAATATATTTAAAAATATATTTTGCAAAAATAAATGTTCGATTATCATAATAAATATCTTAAAATATATTGTTAGTAATTCGTGTATATATGTGACTGTGTGTGTTAAAGGAGGAGGACTGTGGGTGTTGTTGTATGTCATAAGAGAAGCTCAATTGCATTCTTAAACAAGTAATTGCGTGACGTGGTCGATTTAAAAATTTCCTTCTTTGCCGTCAATCATTTATTTTTTTTTGCTGAGCCCTTTCCCGATCCTTTCACTTTCGATCTTCACATCGATTCCCTTTTTGACGATCACAACCGTAAACGATACCTATACAGCGGCATCTATATAGAGTGCAGATCGATGTGTTGAAGAGAACGTTGCTTTCTCGACTTTCAAACGTTCAACCGGTCATCGGTCTTCCAGTGAAAGTAACCGGAACGAGAGGATATGATCTTCGCACGGTGACCGTGATCCCCTAGCATTACTCTCCACGACTAGCCGGCCAATTTTTTACAGTTGCCTTCATGACCGCTCAACCATGAAAATGACTCCCATTTACGATCACTCAGATTTAACTATCTTCTTTATTGCTTACCAATGCTTTCAGTTATTGGTAAAAAAAAAAAGAAAAGAAAACCTTATAGAAACTACCACTATGCCAATTTCGCTCGCAAAACGATAGAAAGATCTCGATATTGTATACCTTTTTGTAGAATTATAAATAAAGTTTAGATAATTATCGAAATAATTGGTTACATATAGTGAACAATAAAGAAATAAACACTGTAACTTTGGTGTTACACTACAAATCTACAAGTTAGAACCGATTCTTTGTTTTTGAATTTGTTTTGCGACTGCAAAATCCACTCTTTGATGTAACTTACCGAATCTCACGAAGAAACAACAGAAATCCTAGGATTATGTAATTAGTATTTAAATGTACACACATATTCGTAAACGTACACATTATACATATCACATATATTTTATAAACTTTTTCACATTTCAAACATGTACTCGTGTGTAAATAATACTTCGTATTTAAATAATCGTCAGATATACACGCGAGTGTTTATGGTGTAACAATACATCGGAATAAGTATCTATTCCTCGTCTTTTGCATAAACAATACAACAAGTCAAAATGTATATGCAAAGTATAAGTAACTTATATAAAAATATTTTGTTAGTACGTATACTTGAAATAATTTTAACTGACGTTATGCGATCAAACGTTGTTGCAACAATGTATTTTATCGATAATTTATGTTAATTTTTATATTTTTTTACACAACTTTAAATATAAAAAAAGTAAAGATGTTGTATCAACACACATGTATGTGTAAACATATGAATGATATATCATATATGTGTTTACTGTCCCTTAATTACAAAACCATCAAAAGTGTTGCAACTCGATTAATAAAAAAGATATTAAAATTTCGAAAATTATAAAAAGCTTAATGTTAACTTTCTTAATACTATAAACACAAAGTGACATAAATAACTTAGGCAAACGTGAACAGACTGCTCGACGAAGCTCGATCGAGACGCTGTAATGTGTTTCGCAAAAAATACAAAATCACACATTTTAATTTTGTGCAAAACAAAGAAGAGGAAGAATGTTTTGATTTAGAAAATATTTTTCTCACATAACTTTAGAAGATATCCTAAACGAGATTCAAATGAAAACTATTCCCGACAAGATTGTAAAATCAAACACAATGCATTATATCTTAAAGTGACTTCGCCTATACGAGAAAACTTCTTTGTGTGCGATATAACTTCGCTAAGTTCAAATTACGACGTCATGAAAGGCGCGCGAGAATGATCGTGTTTGTTCGTGGCAATTCGTACAAAATATATACATGATATATATTCGTACGAAAGATAAATTGAACTCGTCAAAATTACATCCGCAGTTCGAATCTCTGGGATCACAGGTCCCGCCGAGTCTAGCCGTGAATTGAGGGCGCGAATCCTAATGTAGGTCCAGCCGGCAGACCTATCGCGTTCACCCCAAGCGGTGACTGCTGATACGGGGCGTGAATCTGCATTGTACGGAAATCATGGGTTGCGGTATCACCGGTGTCCTCGCGCACAGCGTAGCCCTGTTTGGACTGCGCGAAGCTGGGAGAGATCCAATCGGTGCCGGTCGGAGCACCGTAACCAGTAGGCAAACCCACACCGCGCAGCTGATGAGGATGAGACGCGGAAATCGCGGCGAAGCTGGGAGACGAGCCGGCGGCGGATAACACGTTCGGCCAGGTCTTGGTCAGCTCTTCCAGTTTTCTGTGGTAATCGTCCAGGGACACGGTGTCCCGCAACACGATACCATCTCTGTTACCGGCGATGGTGGCCGACGGTATACCAGCTGGCAATATCACGGCGCCTTGCATACCGGCCGTAGCAGCGGCGTGATTGTACGCGACCGAGGAAACGTCCTTGGCGGTCAGTCCTTCGTTGTCCCTCGCCAAAGTGTTCCTGTCCCTTTCCATAACGCTGTTGAGGGCTTGCTGGTTTCTGAGGCTGAGTTCCCTCTCGATGGAACGAGAGGCGTAGTACTTGTTCGCGCTGTCCTTCAAACTGTCGGGCAGTTCTGCGCCTCTCGCGGTAGTCTCCACGTCGGAAAAGAACGAGTCTATTTGCGGATTCTGAAAAGTATGCGTTGTAGCCGACGTCGCGTAATCCTGACCTACCGACGTGAAACTGGTCGGCGGATAGTTCGGCACGGCAGGTTGATGCGTGTACGCGCCGGCATATCTGGACAAGAAAGAAAGTGGTTGAAGTCTGAGCTGGCGTAGAAAGTAGAGTAAATGTATCAGTAAAATATAGAGTAAACAGGAACCAGTTTATTTTTCCAGCACAAAAAATATCATGTATGTGTGTATTTTTTTTTTTTTTAATCAGCAATTTATTCTTGAAGAGGATTTAATTTCTAATGCAGATATTTGAGAGAAATTACTTCTCTAATATTTATAATATTGTATTAAAAAAAGACACAATTAAAATTATAAATGAAAGAACAGAGAATACGTGAAATAAGGGTATACCTTTCGTGCACAAAGGGTAAACTGCTGCTCTTAATGTTCTCGTACGGAATGTACCCTTTGCCAAAAGAAATGCCATGACCGATGTCTTTGCTATAGGAGCGTATGTGCATGTGATTCACGGGTTCATGACCTTGATCGAAATCATTGCCTCCTTGTGGATATGGCAGCGGCCGGTATGGCTTCCGATTGTAGTAACGATTGGCGTGGCTGTAATATGAAGGACGTTGAAAGTCGTTGCCTCCGTAAGACGATTTTTTGTAATAATTTGGTGGTGGTCGCCATGACGTTTCTTGTCTTATATGTCGTGGCACCACTAGCACCACTTTTCTGAAAAAAAAAAACACATAAAATAAAAACGTTAAATTTCAACATCAAAACATTCATATATTAAATTCGTTTTTTTCTACTATTTATTATTTTTATATTTTTATTTTTCTACACAATGCATATATTAAAAAAAAGTATGTATATAGAAATACTCGTGTGGGCGTTCATTATTTTTGAAATTTACGAGGTTTTTTTTGTAGCACGCATTTAAACTCTAATGTAGAAATAAAATCTTATGTACATTTAGGTGCGTTTGTAAAACTAGGTGGAACCTAATTTTGCAAGCACAATTCTTTGAAGTCACTAAAAGTTGTAAAAAAGGGCTGTACTTTCACACATTTTATGTTCGTATAAAAACTGCACGATCCAGATTCTGCGGTATTCATGTTCCACTTTGAAGATCCTGTCTGCTTTTAAGGGAAAAAAGGTTTCCGTCATAGACGCGGTGAAAGGAAAGTTGTACGTCTACGATTTTATACGAGGCTCTTCGTACCACATTAAATTAATGTCACATTTTATTACTCAACCTGCTCGTGTGTGTTTAACTTTACAAACGTGGATTTTATCGTTAATAAAATCTACACTTTTTATAGTGCTCTAAGTACTGTAGATTATTTTCTTAAAAACAACGCACGCAGAAAATATATTTCCCAAAAATATTTTAAACTACTTAATATTTAAAACATTGATAATGAGCATTTATTATTCCAAATAACCGTTAAAACAACTTTCTTCTTGCGCGTTCTAGTATTAATTTGATAAAATCACTTAGCCTTAATTGAGTTAGAGGTACTCACGCGTGAACAAGAAGAGGCTCGCTTATCGCCAGCAGCAGAACGCAAAGGACCTGCGAACATTAAATGCTGATTAATATTCATGTTAACGGTAACGAGCGTGAACGATGAAGTAAACGAACTGTCTATTGGGTTGACAGACTTTCGCGCGCGATCACGAAAGTTTTTTAGCCGCATGTGAAATTGTTACGCACGCTGAGACACGCAATCCTGATACGCTACAGTTGTCATTAGTGTTTGCTTTATACGGTCGGTTGGTGTAATTATCTGAACCGAGAGTTGTAATTTATGTTGTTATCGACCTCGCCCTTTCTTCTATATGGTTTCATTGATATGTGTGTATAATTAAGACTTTCACACAATGAAAGTTAAATGCCATACTTCGAAATCTTTTGTGTACAAATGTGCGCAAATTACACGTTATTGATTCAAAAAAATATAAAAACAAATAAATAAATTTGTTTTAGAAAGATTATTTTAAAACAAATTAGTACACACGTAAAATATATATCATATGTATACATATTATATCGTTTTCTATATATTTTGCGATAAAAAATGTGATAAATAAAAAAAATGAACACACATGCAACACACACACAAACGCGCGCAAAGAAAAGTAAAATTTACAAATCATTTTTTTTTTTTCACAACAAAATAACATCATGTTTAGATAAGGCAAAGAATATAAATTAAAATTGATGACAAATAAATATTTTTTTTATTTACAATTTTGAAAAATACTTGCATTATTTTTAATAATAGAAAAAACAAAGAGTCAAGATTACAATAGCGAGATAAACGCATTCTTGAATTTAATGCACTGACACGCGATGTATTAATTTTTTCGAACACACTTTATATATTTAGCAAATGAATTATAAAAAATTACTAAACTATTAAAAAATTACTATACAGTAATCAAGTTGACTAATTGATGCTGAAGGAAGCATCACAACTAACGAAATATTGTTTGAATTGCAAAATTTGAAAGATTTGACTTACCGAGCACCGCATATTACCGGGTTCCTTGATTTCTTCGCCGCTTGTCAAGTTTCCGCGATGACACGTTCCCTATCCGCCCTCTCACACCGGCGGTGTACTACAGATAGTGGTGGCACAAGGGCGGTGTTCGCTCGCCACCTGTCGACCTCGTTGAGGAGTCCCTAGTCTGATCCGACGTGTCCAGTCCAGCTCGCCACCGCGAATGATCCAGATGTATTGCGGCTACCCGCGCTACGCCTCTTCTCTTTTATACAAGATAAAAAGAACATAGATACAGCGTTGCACCGCGCCGCCTCCCACCGTGAAAATGACCGTACGATCGCGCGGATGGAAATGGAAAACAGCCGACCACGCCGAGAGAATCCGCGGTCGCCTCACAGCCTCGTCCGATTTTTGTTTAGGGAGAAATCGACGCTTTCTTCATCGAGACGCGGACAAACACGACGTACGTACACGTGAAGGTGGTGGACGTATCCGTCGCCATATCATCGTCCGCGAGATGCCGCAGAATTCCCGATCCCTTCTAGCTCGCGCGCGGAATATCCGCCGGATTCAGTGATAAAGTGACGAGAGCACGACTCAACAGGTGTGTCTCATCGGTTTCTCGAAATGAGAAACAAAACAACTCACGTCGCGTGAGCTACAGACACGAACGCCAAACGGAAGAGATTGTCAAACGAAAGCTTTGGTTGACAGTCGTCTAATCGGAAAGTAGATTGATTCTTCTGATTCGCTGCCCATTCTATCATTCTGCTACCGTTTGAAATCTGTGTGATTTGTAATTTGTTTACTTACCCTTCTGTTTTTCTATTCGTGTCTCACATCTCAATTGTATCTTTTAAACAGCAGTTTCCGCAATGCGAGAACGACAATTACATTGCGTGACACGTAAGCTCTCTTTGCAAATGTCTGCACGCAATTAATTATCAAAGTCTTTTCTGCAATTAATGAGTTTCAAGAGCTGAACGGGGGAATTATGTGCGTGTTGCATATTTTTTATTTACAGCGTGTGGAATATAAAATACTACTTTAAATATAACGAGGAGAAAGATTTTGCAGAGCAAATGAAATCGAAAATCTCTTGTTTTGTCGATAACTGTTACTTCAGACAGCGACGCGAAAAATGATCAATGTGCAACGTCTAGCAACCACACCCAACGTTTGCTTTCCAAAATGCGATTAACAAAAGAGAATGCGCCTATTCGGCCAATACGATCCCAAGGAAAGTGTTCCACATTTCCCATGCTACACCTTTGACGATGAATCGATTAAATTTTTATATTACATTAAAAAATATACATTTTTGTAACGTATATATTTGTGTGTTTAGAACACAACTGTAACACGTATAATATATTTATGTAACAAATTTGTTACATACATGTTACAGCAAAATAAAACATATTCCGAATGCAATATAAATATTTTGCATCGCATTGTAAATGTATCGTGACGAGGAATGCGACAAGATCTGCAAATATTACACAAGAGTTAATATAATGCACTTTTATTGAAATTACTTCGCAATTATAATCGTGATCACGCTTAATTTATTAATTTAATTTGATAGATTCCGAAACTTTCTTTTAATTACGTTAATTGCATTAGCAACATTGTGAATTCGTATCTTCATCAAAAACAAAGAATCTTTCGTGATTTAATTGCAATTTGCGATCGAAACCCGAGATTAATTGGCAATAAACAATGTTGTTCGAACTGTTTGCGAGAACACGTATCTTTTGTTGCAAAAAAAAAAATATGAAACTCGCCGGTACGTGTTTCAATGCCGCTTCAATTTGCAATCTTATCGTCGACATTGTGTGTTGATACGATTAAAAATAAAATTTCACTGACAGAAGTAATCGCGGTTTCATATTGCTGCTGTTACGGTCCACATACACAAACCCTTTCTCTGCGCTTCGAGACGCGAACGACGACGCGTCAATTAACTCATTCACGCAATGTACTTTCTTGGCCGAATTTAAGGTTCGAGTTTCGAACTTATTGAGCGTCTCTTTAAAACCTAAAAAAATGATAAATATTTTAACAAGTAAAAAAAAAAGAAGTAATAAATCGAAAACCACGTTGTTCCTTAATAGTGTGTAAGCTACTTCATCTCTATAAAAGAGGAGATTTTATTTACGTAATAAAATTTCAGAAAGAAAATACGTAGTAATACTGTAAGTTGCGATTATGTCTTTAGTCTTAGAAAAAGGTCTAGTTCAAAAAAGAGATTTTAACAATGGCGCTATAAAATCTTGTGTAATAAACGTCAACGAAAGATAAATTAGCGATTAAAAATGCAGCTTTTCGTGATTCTTCACACATAATAAGTCCGCGAGCCAGTGCATTCCGCGAGTCAAGATACGTGATTATAGAAGACTAATAACCGCGGCGTACTTGCAATTTTTTTAGTTGCTCTTATTGTTAGTCACGCTTTCGACTAAAGCGATTTAGCAATTATCTGAGAACTTGCATTTTTCATTCTTGGGGAAAACGCAATCTTTTAAACACAAAATTAATCTACAATTTGAATATTACAAATTATATGTAAAACAATTTTCTTAAATTAGGTTTTTATTATCTGTATATAAAAATTTATTAATGCAATGTTTAGTTTAAATATTCTACTCTAAACACATCCAAATATTTCAGAATTACTTGGATTTCATATTTTTAATATTATGTATTTAATATTACGTATTTAATATTATGTTTTAAAAAAATTCGCCACACTAATCACAAGTAGCGTTGAAATGTGCACAATTGCGTGCATTTAGCCATGAAATTTAATACGCGGAAATTTCACTGCCGCAAATCTTCCGCCATCGTTTAGTTGAGGCAAATTATAACATCGAACAACAAGTAAATTGGCGTCTGTTATAAGATCGAGTGTAAAATGCGTGTCGAAAAGAAAGAATACATACAAATCGAAACCGTGTACTTTACCATAGATTTTATGTTTTCTTTCTAACGTAATGTTTCTCTAACTACTTTATATTGCAGCTTTATTGGAGAAACGTCTCGAGTATTATTGGTTCCACAAAAATGAAAAATCACATTTACATAAAAATGTCCAATACTTTCACACAACAAGTATATGCAATTGTAACGCAAAAAACAAATGCAAAGTTGAAGCAAGAATAGAATGTAAAAACACTAGTTTAGAAATTGAGTGTATTAATCTCATCAAACACGTACACACACACACGGTCATTGTCTAATAAACCATATATATTATTTAAATAATATTTAATATTTGCAAATTGAAAAAAACTAACTTATTAAAACGATTTTTAATTACATCGTTGGCTCAATACCAAGGAGTAAATTAAATACTTTCGTCATTTTGCCATAAAAAACATTACTATTTCTTTTTTGTTTAATTTTGTGAATTTTGCACTGGAAAGAGAGTTGTGTGTTCTATACTCTAAGTTCTTTTTACTTCCCGGTAACGATTGTGAGGCTTCAATGGAGCGCCGTTGGCGAAGGTCAGTAACCACTCACAAGATCGATCGTTAAATATATTAGCGCACTTTCTCAAGTGATACATTTGTATTATTCAGTAAATATGAGTTATTTTCTATATTCGATCTGTGTGTATTCATCTGTTGATGCAGAAATCAAGACGCGCAAACCATTTTCATTCAGGCGGAAATGGAAGTGACACAAACGAGTATTTACTCTGAAGTAATACGCGATATTTAACACGTGCGTAACAAGATCTAATATATTGTTTAGATTTTGAAAAATAATTAGTCTTACATTTTGTGCGTAATTTTTCAAACTTTCAAAATACATTGAGAGGACTCGTACTTCGCCGTTAAATTTTCTCTCCCTTGGTTTCACTTGGTTTTTTTATTAGTTGTGTTTTGTTTCATAGTTATATTGTTTATTGAAATTTTGTGGTCGCAAACTTAACTGACCGTGATTGAACAGTTGGTGAAATCAGTGATCACCTTTAGAATGGCACCACTTGATATTCGTCTATCTGATATTTTTCCAAAACGACACGCCATTGAGAGATTGAAACGTAACACTCTGTACATTCACTCCGACCCTGAGCCGGATTGGATTCCTTCGGTAGAGAGTTCACTGTCACGGTCTCGCGAGACTTAAGGAAAAGGATAAACTGCATCGCGTGTTACTCGTTTTTGTTTTCGCTCGAGCGCCGACACCGCACCGCATCTCGCGGCACGGCACGGTATACACATATAATAGCGCTTCTGCGCGCAAATATCCTATGTTTTACAAGATCGATTTCCCTTTCACGTTTTGTGCTGAGGCAAGCACAAATTTCGAGAGAGTGAACGGCTCTCGGTCATCGCCTTTGCTAATTTTTCGTTCACCGCGTTATCAGCTCTACACTTGGCGCGTGTTCTCTTCTTCAGGAAGAGGAAACGCGAATTCTTCTCGTTCTCTTCCGCAGCTCGTCAGTGCAATTTTCATATTCAATAGCGTGTTTTCTCGGAAAACCACATTTAGCAAAGAAATCAGATTTTTCTTTTCGTTCTCGTTTTCGAATTCTCGAATACTTTCTTTCTCGCTGTGTAATTTGATTTCGCATTCTGTCTCTTGTCAAAATATGTATTTAAAAAAAATAATGTGACATGTGAGCGAGTTTTCTTTTTGTTGTAAAAAGGTTGATATGATCAGTTTTAAAGCGAATTTACTTTTTCACACAATTCTTATTATAAAGAATTGTGTGAAAAAAAATAAATTAAGAGATCAGAGAAAGTGTGGAAGTAGAAGTGAACAGAGTAACTACTTCCTAATATTCAGCGGAGAAGCCAGCAAGAGCAAATCGCTACATGACTAATTCAAACTTCAATTTTCACCTGCCGTTACTTTGATAGATCTATAATTCATCATTTGTCGTTTTTTTTGTTTTTTTTCATACCATTAAATTGCACTTCCATGATGAAGTTTATATTGCTCATTTAAAAGACATTTGAAATCAATTAAAATTACTTTTGAACTCTGTGCTGTACTTCGCTCGTAACTCTCAAACATTTTTCTCGTGATATTTATTATCATAATAAAAATATAGATTTTATCAAATATTAAATTAAGAGAAAGAAAGTTTAACGTGTGTCTACAATTATAAGAGAGCATATGTTAAAAACTACATTAAAACTTTCTAAAATATATATTTTACATTACATATATTTGACGATGTTATCAATGATTACATCTCTAATTGCCTGATTTGTCGTTAAAAATTTATTACATAAAGATGAAGACCTGTTGCATATCCTTCTATTCAAAAGCAAATTCTTCTTTCGAAAGCGCAAATTTATCATTTGAATCTATATAGATGTGGCACAACGCAAATTTGACGGCTTTTTAATATTTAGTTTTTTTATAATACATTTATAATAAATACTAAAATAAACTCGACACAAAATAATTTCAATAATAAAAAATATAAACTATAAATAATATAATTCTTTTCTTTAAATATTATAAGTTTTTTGTTTCAAAATTTAACATGTATGTGTGTGTTCTCTTTTTATTAACAATTTATTAAGCTGACTTTCCGGAAGATGTCAGAACACGCTACACAATCCTTCCGTTCGCGCGAACGTACGAAAGACTAGTGAAACGAACGAACGAATAGCGCGGCCCGCCCGCTTATTATGATCTTGATCTTGATCTTGGCCGTTCACCTAACGTCTGCCTTTCATTAAGAGGAGGAACGGTCTCTGCCGCGGATCTAATCGACTAAGAGGAAATGCACAAAAGAAGGAAGGGCGGGGGAGGAAGGCGCGCTTCCACCCCTCCCGCTTCTGCGCGATCGGCGACTTTTTTGCCGCGAGAGTCGTATTAGACGACTCCTTTCACAAACGCGGCACTTAGGTGGCAAAAGACTCCCTTTCATTCTTATCACGTACATGTATAAAAGCGGCACGCGTGTTCACGGTACTCGTCAGATCGAAACCCGCCGCCGAAACCGAGAGCGGAAGAAATAATTCGCGTGGTTATTTCCACGCAGTTAGTTGGTGATAGTTTTTAATTTCGTCTTTAGTTTTTTGTTTGCTCTTGCTGTGGAGGAAGCTAACATCTTCCTCGTTGATCCTATCCGGGACAACGCGAAACGATGTCGAGTCTTTTGGTAAGTCGATAGAATATTATGTATTGATAATTTGATAAAAATTATGTGGTGACAGGAGTTGTAGCGATGATTTGATAGCGATAGGAATTTTTCAAATTTTCATTGACAGAGTGTCAATGTAAATTAAAACAATATAGTCAAAGTCGAATATATCATGTTCGTCATATATGATATTTTATTTTAGAATAAATAATTAAATAAAATCAAATAATTTTTGTTAATTTTTATTATTTTAGTTAAATCTTCTCCTGATCGTTTCACTAATTTGCTTAGCAAAGGCCGGAGGTGGACACGGTGGACAGTAAGTGCGCGCATATACTATGAAAAATTTTTTTCAATTATTATGGTTAAACGATTAAAGAAATTATCTATAAACAAATATTTGTGTTGAAAAACCACGCGATTCGATTTTTAAGTCAGTCGCCGTTTCTTTCGTGTCTATTTTTTTAGCAAACATGTAATCATCCACGTGCCGTACAAGATCAAGACCATTCACCACACGCACACGATCACAAAACACATACATCACGGCGGTGGCGATAAATACGAAGTACTCGGATACACCGTAGGTCATCCGATCGATCTCGGAGGTCACGGAGGTGGAGGTCACGACTTCGGAGGTGGTGGCCACGATTTCGGAGGTGGTGGCCACGATTTCGGAGGCGGAGGCGGATACGGAGGTGGCGGCGGCCATGATTTCGGCGGTGGTGGTGGCGGCGGAGGACACGATTTCGGAGGCGGGGACGAAGGCGGATACGGAGGTGGCGGCGGCCACGAAGACTGGGGTCGTTAGAGAGACTTAGTTCTCGAAAAAAACAAAAGTAATCAACACATGAGAATCTTTTGAAGCATTATTATCGGCATTGTTCTGCTCATCAGATTTATTTAGTCTTGCGTATTAATTTTATTATAGAGAAAAAAATTCTGTTTGTTGTCGTACTTACAGGGTTTTTTTAGGATAATTGTTGAAAAATCAAGGGTCGAATGTTTGTAATTATAAATATGAAAGTTCCAAATACGCCATGAAACGTAATGATAACTCAGAAGAGGCGTTATAAGGTTCGAAGTGCACTTACGATGCACTTTTACAAGGCACTTTTACAAGGCACTTTTCTTTGAATTGTCTTCGAGGAAAGAAAAACGGAAAGCCTTCGCGAATACATATGCTTGAAAGAGCTTGAACGCTACCACGCACGACACACTGCTGCACGCATCGGTGCAACGAACTCGATTTCATGTTGTTTCTTGTAATGTCCCTAATAATGCAAACTCGAGCGACTAATTGCGCTGGTCTGTTCCGCGAAGAATCCAATCGAGCATCTGTTATTTTCGACTTTCGAAAAAATTTTTGAGAATATTTTTTTCTACTTTTTTATTTCTAGTCTGAGCAAATTCTGTTAAATCTCTGACACGTTCTCTAAGCACAATGTGTATGTAAATATTGTTATAAAAAACTTGTTGTTTTCTTATATATATATACATATATATAAGACATATGTTGTATGTTGTTTTATGTCTGTTTCTTTTTTATACACTGCAGATGAATAAATTATGTATATTTTTACGGTGCGTATTTTTTAATCAATAAACTATGCGAGCACCCGTTTTTTATACTGCAAAAATAATATCCTACATACTTAGGTTTCAGTTTTTTGGCTGAAATTGTTTAGTGAGTATAATCATTTTCTCTCAACGCTTCCAGGTATACCGGGTTGCATACCAACAGGCGTACTGTAATCATCTACAGATTCGGATTCGACGTTTTTTTTTTACTTAAAAGTATTTATGTTTACAAATCTATATAAAATATTAAAAAAAAATATATAAAAAAAAGAATTACGAAAATTCGTATATTACAAATAAAAATTGTTTAAGGATTAAAAAATGCAAAGAGAGAAAGGAGAGGGATATTCAATTTAAATTATTTATAAATATAAAGAGAATATATATTTGAAAGAAGAAATAATACAAAAACATCAATTCCAATACAGATAATCTTCTTAATCCTTACGTTATAACTTTCTCGTGCGTGAAAATCAAGGAAGCAGAATTTTGCATAATGCGAAGATGCTGGAGGCAACAATAAGCAGACTGGTTGTTACGTGTAATATAGACGCTATAAATGAAATTAATACCTTAGCATACGTGGATTTCATTGCTGCGCCAACATATCCTGTAATCAGTTTTACGAGTTGCTAAAGACTCTATATAATGTTACACATTATCTATCTATTATTATCCATAATAATCATGTCTGATCGCTTTTCAATTACCAAAGTATTAAAGATAATTGAAAGCACATGTAATATTACTTTAACACATTTATGTTACGTTGTTATTTTTTACAATTCTTTCACTTACATAATAATACTTAGTATTAATTTAATATTTATTTAACATGCATTATATCATAATTGTAATATATTTATTTCTGTACTTAACTCTTTGTTCCTCAATATTTATTTTTGATAATTAGTAATTTACAAAATTACAGCAAAGAAGAAGATCGACAACTTTTTCATGAAGACAAAAATAAATAAAAAAATACTCAATAAAAATTACTATTGAGAAACAAAAAGTTAATATTTAATATTGGCACTTCTCTCTCTCTCTCTCTCTCTCTCTCTCTCTCTCTCTTCGCATGTGTATCTAATAATTTTTTATAACCACTTTTTCGAAAACATGCGCTTCTTCGCCTCGTACTTATTATTCTTGTGCTGATAATCCGAATCGTCGACGAAGTAACGACCGGCGTGTGTTTTTTCTCTCGATTCATTTTTTTCATTTTTATAGTCCTCAACGGAGTGACCACCTTCCTCGTGCTTGTTATCGTAGAACTTTGTCACATCGTTCGAGACAGTGTGTCCGATCGCGGACTCACCTCCTTTGTGATAACCCTCTTCGTACATGTGCACGTAGGGTTCCACGTCATTCTCATCCGTTTCTTTGACATTTTCTTGCACCGAGTACTGCGGAGGATACGAATATCCAATCATGTCGCCGTGTTTTCCCTTGAGATAATTGGACTCGTCGTCGTGATGCGGCATGTAAGAATCTCTGTAAAGCGGCGAGACGGAAGGATTGTTGTTCTTATGTGTCATCTCTTTGTTTGCCGCGTCGTCGTTCCTGTAACCCTCGGACAGATCATTGCCCGAATCCTCTTCGTGATTATTGTTGTAATCGTAAGCGCTCCAGGAACTCCAGTCGTGATGCGATTCCTTGTGGTACGTCTTCTTCGGCGCTTCTTCCTTGTGCTTGGGTTTCTTCTTCGGTACCGATAAGTCCGGCTTGTGTACGTGTATGAACACCGTCTTCGTGTGAATCTTGTGATTTATAATCTCTGGCACGTGAATCTTGAAGTGCACGCTGTTAAAGAAGATTAAGATAAGTCGAGAGAAAAAGCAAGAGTTTCGAAAATAAAATTTATTTCTCGTTTTCTGCACGTATTTGCACGTAAATTTTTGTCAACGATCTCAAAACTTTTGACCGACATGTACGAGCTGTTATTGGCGAATATCTTCGCTCTAGAATTTGATTAATGCTGTACACGCGCGTCGGTAGCAAAGCAAAGCGGTAAACGTCGCGAGCGTAATAGAAGTAAGCGCAACAGCGGTGCGCGCGCTGGATTAATTATCCTCGCGCGACTTATTGTAACGCGAAGAAGAGGCGTATATATTATTTTAATTTGAGAAACAACGAGTGAGAACGAGAGTGAGATTGCTCACTATGATTTTCGTTACGAGAAAGCGTAGAAAAACTCCGCGACCACATTTAGTGCCAAACGTCTTTTCACGAAAGCGGCAGCCGCTTCGCGCAGTCAGCCCGCGAAGCAGATGAATTTAAATTTCAACACTCGTGTTCAACATTCCGTGTTGCGTATGCACTTACTGATGATGATGCTTCTCGCTGGCGCTTCCGGTGTTCCACAACATCTCGTTCCACAGAATGAGAAAAAGACCGACAGCGAGTCTCTGAAACACAAAGTCGTTATAACGTAATTACGCATACACGTGCGTGTTTTTCGAATGAATTAATCGACGATTATTTATGCTCGCTCTCGCGATTTCGTTGTTGTTCTCTCGCCGATTTGAATTGCATCTGCAGAAAGTGCAGATGTGCTTATACGACTCTCGCATGACTCTCTCGAACGAATAAACGATCGAATCGCTAAACCATCCGGAGCAACCATGCGGAGAATACGATACGTTTCGTAATCTCGCGCATTTTAATCAAACGCGCATATTTGATATTTTACGTGTTCGAAGCTTTCACTCGTGTTCAAGAATAATGATTATTCAAGGCAGGATAACATCATCGCGTTTTGAGAAATCATCTCTCGTTCCACGCACACGCGAACGCTTTTGTCACTTCGAGATACTTCGTTTTTTTTAATTTTGTTCTTTTTTGTATTTTTAATAATTACCATGTTCTATCAATTGTTATCTCGACAACGAACGCGATTATCGGCGATCAATCGCGGTTTGACATCGCGCTCCCGACGATTTGCCGTTTATATGCCATCTTCGTTTCATCGAAGCGAATCTCGTGGAACGATAAGCTCAGTGATGCGGTTCACGGTCAATGATCACTTTCGCTGTTCTTCCGGTGACGCGCTTCATCTGACGATCAGGTTTAACGTCGGATAACGCTTTAGAAATTACGGAGCCGACAAACCATGAAGATACGGCCAAGTTCACTGTCGCGGAGAAATTACTTTTTTTGATTTTTTTTTATTTATTATTTGTTTTTATTAAGAAGACTCTTCCTTTGACATTTGTTGCTTCAGAGAACTGATGCTGAAAACCCGATGTTGATCGCTCTTTTTCTTCCCGTTTTTAATGGCTATGCAGCGCTCGGAATCCAATAAATCGGTGATCTTTGTTGGCAAATTATCTGTTTACAGATCGTTCTAGCTGATTTCTATAAACGCAGTGTTATAATCCCGTTGTGGTTCGTTTTCAGTCGATAATTTGAGGCTGAGAGAATCAGAGATTCGAAAAAGCTCCGAATGGAAGTAAGAGAGATTCAAACTACTATAACTAATAACTTCGAACGAAAAAACTATTACATGGTCGGTCGCAAATAAATTAGTTTTAAACTGGAAAAACATCAAAACTGTTACATAAAACAAATATACTTAAAGAACCATATGTGTAATTTACTTCAACTATAATTTGTAATCAACTAAAACTTGTGTGTAAAAATTGAAATAGGAAAATTTTTGTAAAATTTATGTCAGATTTGTATTACATATTTTAATTACAACAATATTTATTTTCTTTTTTTTTAATGCCAAAAAAATAAATAATTCGTTTTTTATAATCGATTTTCTCGTGTATTTGCAACATTAAAAAGATACGTCAATTATTTTAAGAATTTGTCTCACACGCATCTATACACATGATGGGGAAAACCAGTAAAATGTAATTTTATTTTCACATATTATTTATTTCTATAAAAATAGTAATATCACATGTTATATTACATAATATGTGTCACCGAATGCATCTAAGTGCTCGTAATAACAATCTAGTGACTGCTTTTTTTTTTAACTTGTTTCTCGTGAATTATTGCTACAATTATTGCTACAATTCTAATCTATAAAAGTACACGCATTATCGTTTTTTATAATTGTCGTAGTGTTCGTCTTCATCCTCGTGTTTTGATTCACGATGATGATGGTGAGGAATTATCTTGTAGATCGTGTGGGTGTGTTTCACATTCTTCACTGAGTAAGGAACGTGTATCACCACCTTCTTCCTAAAAGAATAACATTACAAATTAAAGATTAGATTGTGTAAAATAATTTACAGGATGTTTGAAACTTTTGACATAGCCGAATGTATAAATTAAGTTATTTGACTCACATTAATCAATTAATAACTTAATAAATATTGCAAATTGTGCAAAACACATGACTTTTCTGTTATAACTGACTTAATCTACTTTTTGAATTTTAAAAAGTTCCAGACATCCTAAATAATAATAATAATTTATGTATTTAACTCGTTTGTTGAAAAACTACACTGCTATATGTTTTTACCTAAATACTTACGATTCGACTGATTGATGCAACAACGCAAGAGCTACTACGAACAAGATACTGTACTGCAACAAAAAAATAACACATTAGTCTACATATTCTAGTTGTCATGCAAAATGTGTCACTTTTCTCGAGAAATAAGATAAAACCGAATATAATCCAAGTAGAATTTAAGTTTATTACGCACTAATAAAAAACTGTGATAAAAGTTAATTAAAAAAAAAAACTCCGAATATAAATGTGCAATTACACAGTAAAATTTTAACGCGTGTAACAGCAAAAACATCTCACCAGAAACTTGCTGTTCATCGTGAAAGAGCTTCGTTTAATTTTGCGAGAGCTTTTCTCAAAGCGCTTCGGACAATTGAAGAATATCTTCTGCGCGCAACGGAATAATGCGCACGGAATTTATATAGCGCAAACCAACAACCACCTCTCTCTGGCAAAGCATCGCAAACATCATCACAAAAAGTATTCCGCGAAACTCCGCCCAGAATGCAACGCTATCACTTGTGATTATCACTGTACAATACTGCAAAAAAACACATCTTTCCAAGCTGGTGGAGAAGAAGGGATTTTTTTCTATACGAGAAATCCCTATTTTGTCACGCGGGCGTGGCACACGAAAATATAGTCATTATTACCCACTATATGAATTTAATTTCCAATTCTCTATCTCTCTTTTCGGATTAACTGATAAAATTTCGAAAAAAAATTATGTTTAACAACTTGTGTGGAGAAAAACCGACAGTAGACAAATAATTGTCAGAGTATTTTTCAGCATCTAAGTAAATAAGAGCGCGTTCTAGTGCAAACGTACACTTTCAATACAAGATTAATTAATTAATTGAGATAATGTTTTTTGTTTTTCTTCAGACTTGTGTAAATGCAAAAAAGAAAAAAAAAGACCGTGAACTTTCGCGAATCGAATTCGGTGGAAAAACATATCAAGAAAATGCGCAATTTTCTTTTCGAAGACGCATCCACGCAAATCATTCCGTGTAATCGGAATGCAGCACATATACGGCAATTAAAAGCGAAATTGGTTTAGTGCTGGAAAGCACAACAAAACATACCGGCTATTTATACACGCGTTGTATGTAGGTACACGCATTTTTTTTTTCTTGTAATTAGCCATATGCGATACGCGCGCATTTTCCAAGCGTCAATTCTTGGCCGAGGAAATAAAAGAAACAGATCGCCGGCGCGGCGTGACCGCCTCTCGACAAGAGAATCGTGATCGTATAATCACTGGCTACGTTAATTTCACGGCCACGGTTATTCTACGGCGCCTACGGGTGGAAAACCAACGTCCGACGATCATGGCGCGAGGAACCGTGGGTTGGAAAGTGCATCGTCTTTATTTCTCATGTTTCTTTCATCTTGTCGCTTTTTTGTCTTTTTTTTTCTTTTCCATCGCGATACGCTCGACGCGTCTCGATGGAAATAAAAAAAAAAACAAAAACAAAAAAACTTATGCCTTACTTTTGTCTTTTGGTCGTGCAAGCTTTTACGCGAATCAGTCTGATCTCTAGATGATATCAAATAATCAATTTCTTTTAATAATCGACTTACTTTTTGCATTTTTGTCAAAAAAACTTCTAACAACAAACTCTCAATTATTAGAAGCTAGACGACTCGCATCTCTCGGAATTTAAAAAAAATGTTTATCTTTTATTTTTACTTTCCCGCGTTAATAATAAATGCTCATATATTAAAACGTTAAATTATATCATAAAGTGCATCTAAAACATACATCAAAACTTTCTAATACCTACCGCACGTGATGTACAGAGCAAATTCTTTGTAATTAGAGTTTAACAATAATAATAATATATTGTTCATGTGTATTACTTTCCCATTCGTCACGCAAATCGCAACTTACCTACTAATGAAAGTGCAAAATTACAATTAACTAACTGTGAAACGTTTTATTTACACACTTACCGTAAATTGCAAAACTTAGATAAGAGATAAAAGTGCATTCCATAGTATAGAAATCTTGAATATTTTTTTTTTTATTTCTATGTGTATACAAATGATACAGTAATTATAATGTACAACATACACATATATCTCAAGAACCGATAAAGTTTCGAACAAATGACGTTAACATTGTGTTAGGTAGATCACACATAACAAAACAGAGTCACGTATAACATAAACAATAACTTAAACAATATGCATATATGCACGTATATTTATATATTATTTAAGTGATGACTCACGTAACTATGGCTATGCTTTTTGTTTTACGTATATATATATATAAATTCGACTATATTTTTATGCACAAATTTTATTCTCAATAAAGATGTCGAGATATCTCGATGCGTAGATAACAAAGTGATAATTCTCCTTTTCCATCTGACTTCAAGCAAAATGCATAGATTTTCTTTTTTTTTTGAAATATTCATAAATACAAGGAACAAGACTAATCTTGAGGTATTCTTCGCGTATTAATAAACAATATGACATAAATAACTCACTTTGACTTAACGTCCATTTAGACGTTCAATAACGTGAAGAAAAGACGTCTGTAACTCCATGTTGAACATTTCAATGGAGTACAGAATGTTGTTTCTCCGTGTGAGATATACGTGATCGCAACAACAACGCAATAACAGCTTTTTTTATTTTGTTAACTCATTTACCTTCATCATTATCAGATCGATGATGAAACACGTAAGTTCAACATTGTTTATTTTCTTTAATTCGCTTTTTTTGTATAAATTATCCAATAGTCAAATATTATTAATTATCATCAATTCTTTCAAAAAAACACTTTTTGTAATTCCTCGCAAAATAACAGATATAGAATATCTTTTATCAATATTTTATATGTAAAACAGTATTTTTTTAATATTTGAACGTTGCTTTGTATAAAATCTGTAAGTGTATGCCAGCACAACTTTCGCGAGCGCAACTATTTGATATTCGATTGTTCGACGCAGATAGATTATTTTACTTTCAAGTGGCTATTCTGATGTAAACAAAATATATTTCTACATACACACACACGCGCAACAACACACGCACGCAAGCACGCACGCAACTATTTGATTCTTTATAGCGTAAAACATGCTCACAAATCATTCGAATATTAGTTATATATAAAACAATAAGACTATAATAATGCCGAGTTTTAAAACAAAAAATCGCCTGATCAATCAATAAAATATCAAGTGGTGCTCGGCTTTCTAGAATGCGCGCCTCGGAATTTCGAGAACTTCATCGAACTTCTCTTAGTCGTCGTGCTGCTCGTCGTCGGATTTTGCGTCGTGCTGGTTGCCAGCGACTTTTTCGACGCGCTGTTCGTCTCCGTTCTCTTCATTATAAACATCGGTTTCTTCATTATCATAGGCCTCTTAGGCAGTTCCAGTTTTCTCGAGATGTTATTCGATACTGGCCGCTTCGTCGTGCTGTTCACCGAGGGCTGTTTCGTCGATTTGTCTTCTATTTTGATCACGAACTTGTTCGTCATTTCGATCAACTTCTTCGTCGCGCCTGCAGTGCTCAGCTCAGGACTCCTGGTTGTTTGAATTAACGGCTGAGATTTTTCTATCATACTATTCGCCAGGTTACTCGTGTCTATCAACAGCGGGGGCCTAGTCGTCGTGCTCACATTTTTCGTCTCAGGTCTCCTGGTTGTCTGAACTAACGGCAGAGGTTTTTCTATTATTTTACTCGCCAGGAGACTCGTGTCTATCAACAGCGGTGGCAGCTTAGTCGTCGCGCTTATATTGTTCACCTCAGGTCTCCTGGTTGTTTGAATCAACGGCAGAGATTTTTCTATCATTTTATTCGCTACGGGACTCGTGTCTATCAACAACGGCGTTAGCTTAGTCGTCGTGCCTACACCGTTCACCTCAGGTCTCTTGGTTGTTTGACCCAACGGCAGAGATTTTTCTATTATTTTATTCGCTACGGGACTCGTGTCTAACAACAGCGATGATAGTTTAGTCGTCGTGCTGCTCGTCGTCGAACTCGTCGTGGGGCTCCTCGAGGTGATGTCTGATGTCGAGGCTTCAGTCGTATTGAAACTCGCTGTTGAATTCGAAGCGATCGCAGAAATCGATTTGGCGGTCGGCTCTGCTTGCGTCTTCTCAGCGATCTGTATCGTCTTCTTCAAATGAACGGTCTGATACGTCGTCTCCGTCGGAGCAGGATCCTTTGTGGATTTTGTTTCTTCGCATCCGTCTTTTTTGTCCGTCGCGCACCACGAGCTTCGTAATGTTGATCCGCGGCGTTTGCCGTTTTCACGCTTATCGATAGTTCCCTTTTCCGGCGAGCTCGTCGAAGGATTTCGCGAGATCTTCCTCGAACGATCGGATGATGATGATGGTGGTTGTTTCGTGGTGGTCTTGAACGCGAGACCGGTCTTGAACGCCTCTTGCCAACCCGCGTTCTCGTGCACGAACACCACCGGCTGCCACTTCTCGTAACTCTTCTCCGACGAGTTCTCAGAAAGATTCTTCTGCAATTCCGATTCGCTCTTCTGTTGCCTCGATTTACCCCAAATAATTTTCTCGGAGGGCGACCCAGCGCCGTGCGCGTTATTATTGAGACCGTGCGAATTGTAACGCGACGGCTGATGGATCGCAGCGGGATCGAACGATCGATTAACGTGGTTCTCGAAGAGTTTCGGATAACCGGGGAAGTAAGGTGGATCGATTATGTGGAGCGCGTCGCCGGAATTCGAACCAGATTGAGCGCCTTGCTTTTGCTTCTCGTAAGGAGTCGTTATGTGGGAAGCTGAAGTGGTCGGGATTCCGTTCGGTTTCTCGCGGAAGGTCGCGTAAGTGCTGGGCAACGGTGGACTGCTAGCCGGTGGTCTGTCGTAAGAGGTCGAATAGGAACTGGGCGCGCTATATAGATCGTTGTGGTTGTCGTAAGAAGCCGTATGAGAACTGAACCCGTTCTGATGCTGATAAGAAGTCGAATAGGGGTTAAACTCGTTCTGCGTTTGGTAATTGATCGCGTTGTAGGTGGTCGGAGTGGAATGAACGTTACTCTGCTGGTTGTAGGACGTCGCGTAGGAACTCGGCGCGCTGTAATGCTGGTCGTACGAACTGGCATAGAAGTCCGGAGCCGAGTTCGCGTCTTCGTACTGCTCGTACGAGCTCGAGTACGAGCTGGGACCGGTTAGAACGTCGCTCGGCACTTTGTACGTATCGGCGTTGGGATCGGGATGAGTCATCGACGTTAGAGGATATAACGGTGCGATCTGCCGAAGAGGCAGACGATGCGTAGTCAACTGCTGCTCCTGCGCCTCGTTGATCGCCGTTGCATTGACTTCGCCTAATATCGCACTCACCTGCTTCAACGCTTCTTCCTCCGTTTCGAAGTGATAGTACGAATTACCGGATACGCCAGGTAATTGGTTGTTCTGAGAGCTCTTCAAAGTCTCGTCTTTATTCGGCAAAGAATCTCCTGCTACTTTACTATCTTGAAGATCCTTCGAAGGATTTTTCAATGGAAGTTTGGTAATTTGCTTGATCGATTGCGAGCCTCGAATTTTACCGTGAGCCAAACTAGCGTTGAGTCGCGGCGGACGAATCGAATGATGATGGCGATTGGAGGAACCAAACACCGCGTCGGACGAACCGTAATGATGATGCCCGCCCAATAGCACGGTAGCGGGATCGATGACAGGAGGACTTGAAAAGACAGGATGTTTGGCTTCGGCGTCGATCACAGGAACCGGCACCTGCGTGACGAAGCGCACCATCACGTGGCTCGCGTCGACCGGCTCGACCAAACGCAGATAGATCTTGCGTCCGGATCCTGGCACTTGGACGGGCCCGACGAGCGGACCCAGCTCGTCCTTATGCGGATCCAGCAATTGGTGTAGTATGTCGATAATCGATCCGAAGACATTGTTGCTCTTCTTGCTGACGCGAAAAACGGGCTCGATGTGAATGGATTTGTGATCGTGATCGTGATCGTGATGCACGTCGAGAATCGAATTGGAAATCAACTCGTCGGTCAGTTCATTTATTACGGATGTTCCGACAACCGAGCGAGTTTTCAGACGTACCGGACGTTTCGTGTGACCGCGGTTGTAAGACTGTTGCTGCAAAGGTTCGAACTTGATCTTGGAAAGATTCTTTTTTGGCTTTTGAGAAGTCTCGACGCGCACATGCGGCGGAAGCTTTCGTAAGATTGCGTCAGGATAGCTCTCGACCGTAGGATTCGACTCTTTTCTTGACGTGCCATCTTTAAGGACAAGTTCTTCCCATGACTTCACCTTTTTTATCCTGAAGAAGTTAATTATGGAAGTCGGATATATAAAAAATGAGACAAAAAAAAATCAAAACAAAAAATAAAATATTGCTATTAATAAAAAAATTCAATCTTGCAGTTTTATAAATAAGTCTGTTAAATAAGTTTGTTTAAACAATAAACCGTGAATATTAAAAATTATAGGTGCAACAAAAAGTAATTTTTTTATTTAAAGATCGTTGTATTATTCTTTAGAGAGAACATAAGTGTTAAAGTTTTTAAAAATATTTTCTAGCTCTTTTACTCTGGCTCTCACCTATTTAAATGTTTGATCTCCTCAGTGGATACAGTTGACGATAGATATACGCAGACCTACGTGTGAGTATAAAAAGAACATGCATATAAAAATATAGAAAGCATATATTTCTTAAACCAATGAGTGAATATAAGGCCTTACGAGCCGTTCATATATTTCTTATTTACATATACAATATCTGACACATGTATAATACGCAGATTTTTTTATTATAATAAACAGATTATTTTTTTATAATAAATTCGGTATCTATTTGTTCACTTGGAAAATTTTTTTGAAAAATTTTGAACTGACCGAATTAGTGTGTTTCACGATTAATTTACGATTAGTTTACATCTAAAAAAATCAAGAAATGTTATTAAAAAGTTTTAACCAATTTTTTGTCGCGCGCAAATCTTTATCGCTAATTTTGTCATTTCGTGAAAATTAGAAAATAGATATAAAGAGAATAAATTAAAGAAATTTTAGAGAATTTGTTTCAGTCGAGATAGAAGCCTTATGTTGGCGGACCTTTATTAAAATAAATCGAACGAAGGATACACATCGAGAGATCGAATTATTATCTCGACAAATTTGCGCGCGCGCGATTAGACACATTATAAATTGCATTTCGATATTCACTTTTTTTCACTGCGAAAACAATTATCCTCTTCGGCAAGTAAATCACTCACCATAAAAAAACACGTGATCTTCATATCGTTGCTCGCACGGAATTCCGTTCACCTCACTGTTGTACTGCGAAAACGACTGCCGCGCGTGGGTATTAAGCCACCTCTTTTAAAGCTTCCCCCGTAGCCCATTAGAACGGCGTCGACCAAAGTGGACATGATAACGCACTCGTGATGGCGTGTGTGTATAATCTTCTACGTATACATATACGTCTTATTAGAAGCGCAGTATCGAGATATTGAGAGAGCTGCTTTTTTATGTTTCCTTATATCATCGCAACATCACATTTATTTTATTTTATAAACAGGAGCCATTTATAAACTCACAGATCTACTAACTAATAAACGTGACAAATATGCCATATATGTAAGATAAATGGTTTATAGATAAAGAGTGCAAAGAGTGTTAAAGTAAAGAGTGCATCTAAGCTTGGAAAACGATTACATGTGTTTTGTAACACTGTTATCACTAAAATATTTATGAGAAATAATAAAAAATAGAAAGAAATAATAAATATAAATATAACTAAATTGATGATAAATTACAAATTTTTCTATTCTTTTTTTCTAACGTATATAACAAGGAGAAAAATTAATTCATATCGTAAGGAACAAAACAATTTAGTTGTACGTATCCTATTTCCGGTCTACAAACTTTAGCATTTAATAATTCGCGGTTACCAAGAAGATGCTTACAACAGTTACGAAGAAAATGTTGCTCGAAAAGATAGACTTGTTAAACTTAATGATTGCATAGATGAAAACACATAGATACACATAATAGTGTGATATACGTTTCTTAACAATCAGCACGTATAACGATGTAACATACACGTAGCTCTGACTTTTTTTTTTTGATCGCGTTTGAAAACATTAAGTGTGCAAATAAAATAATAGAATTGTCTATTTATTATTATTTTTTTTTATTATATTAATTCTAATATTCCAGCTTTAGTTGAACACCAAAGGCCATTGGCTTTAATGAAAGTGTAACCACCCGCACGCCGTTTTAATTGCGTGTTTATGAGTTTCCCATCCGCAGCGCGAAGGATTAGGTTTCTATCACATGGAAAGTTGTTTGTTGAGAGTTGCAAAACAAATTGTATCGAATTGCTACGTTCGGGTGTATCGATCCCCGTCCCGTTTCACATCCATTATCATCCAGATCGGATGGAAATCTATCAATTAATTAGAATAGAGCGAGAGAAGCAGTTCTGATAAGAAAGCGACGAGCTCTCAAATAATTATATATGGATCTACCACAAGAGAGAATCTATTCAACGGAAAAGGCGTGGTTGCAATACAGGTTGCGAGACACGTTTGAAAAATGCGCGGATTAATGGAAGAGATCCCGCATAGTCGGTTATTATAATGACGCCCGGTTTGGCGGTTAATCAACGCTTCTGCAAGATCGAGCATTAAATATAATCAAACTATCAAAACCGGCGCATAAATAATCTCGTTTTTTCGTATTTATGACATTTAAATAAAACATTTATCTAAAGTGTTGTGCTGATAAAGGTCTCTATATTAATAAGATCAACTCCTCTAAATGTGTGTGTGTGTGTGTGTATGTGTGTGCACATGAGTGCACTTTCTTTCTTATCTCAATTAGTTATGCAAATATGTAATAAAAATGTAATATATATATATATATATATATATATATATATATATATATATATACCATGTGACATCTCAAAATTATCGAAAGCCAAAAACTATATAGTTTATAACTATATTAGATCGCTGCAGGAAGATTTGAAAATGATTTACGATCAAAAATTATTAATGTAATGTAGCTTGACTAATTTAATAACTACCTTAGAGACAAGAAGAAATATATCTTATAATTTTATAAAGCGGCGTTCATTAATCATGTTATCGTTACGCGCGAGAGAATTTCTTCAAATATATTTTTATTCATTTTGTTTGATTTGCACGCGCGCGTTCAGCTTTTTGAGATTTTAAATTAATAAAATACATCTGAGTCAATAAATATAACACAAAGTATAAGTAAAAACGTATAAGGAAGAAAAACACTATGTATATTTTGTTTCCTCGCAAAACATTTATTCGAAAAAAGCAATATTTCATTTTACATTTGCATACGCATGTATTTGAAATTCTCTTGCTTCGAGAAAAGCGATTATATGTAAATATCTATATCTCTAGAATTTTCTTACGTATCAACACTTTCGCGTAATACGCACGACTGCACAAAGTGATGCTAACCGCTAACCGCTAATCGGTCAGACTCATGCGCATTCTTAATTTTCATATCCCACCGCAATTGCTGACGAAAGCGCGTCGGTAATGTCAGTGTTAAATTGTTTAAAGTGCCGCAAAAACGCTCAACTGAAATTGAAACGGCGTTTCCCATCGAACCGGAAACCGTACGCCGCGCTGTTCGGCGCGTCGACCAACGCGGGATTTCGATATTGATGAAAGGATCCGTGAAGATGGGGCGGCCTCACTGCGTTTTGTTCCTCGTCTTGCGTACCTTTCAGATAGAACGCCTCGAATTGACCCTCGGGCAAGAGAATATCCTTCAGGGATTTATCGTTCGGATCGTACGCCGACGCGAAGCTAATTGACGTGATGAGAAAGCACAAGGCCTGTAATGAAGTTTGTTTGTTTTTTTTTTTATTACCAAAAAGAAATCAATTACGTTACAGCGATAATCGCTGAAAACTTTTGTAGAATTTGATATTGCACTCGACTATTGAATGTCGATAATATTGTTTGACCGATTCAACAATAGTTACATCGTTGGTATATAGTTTTGTCGAACATTTAAACAACAATGATATGATACGTACCAATAAGATGTTTCGCTCGTCCAACGTTATTATCACTTTCCGTTCCATTTCGCCGGTTATGTCGCGCGTGATCAAGATGATACTGAAAAATGACAAATAATGTAACACAGTTGTGTGAGAGCGACGCACAACGACAATCTGTCGCTATAACTCTCTCTTCTCTCTCTCTCTCTCTCTCTCCGGGACTCAAATCAATGAAACAAGAAAAGCGATAAATCAGGTCATTCGTTGGACTAATCGGAATACGCGCCACACACGTAGCGTCATTGCGAATGTATTATTGCGGCTAATGAGCTATAAAAAAAGGTCACGTTTGCACGTCCGTGAAAACGTTCGCCAACTTGCGTTTAGCGGCAAATAATCCATGAACAAGTGAATCTCTCTAATGTCGCGTGCGAAACGGGAGCGTAGTTTCGATTCGCAAGGTATAAACTTAGAGAGACAAAATATATCGTGCCTCTAATAACAAGCCTCGCAGAAACTAAGAGAAAATCGAAGTAACGTCAACTCTTGCTTTGAAGCGAACTTGAGAAATTAAAACAGAACTGGACGTGACTGAGCATAATAAAGTTTCAAAGCTTCTTTATAAGAGAGAAAAAAAATCGAAGTAAAAAATAAAATAAAAACTAAGACACGATTTTATTATTTATTTATTTTTCACGTTACTTCGTCGAGATAAAGCTTTACGAAGTTTTAGAAAAAAAAAAATATATATATATATGACAATGAAATTTTATCTGCATCTTCGTTTGTATGTCTCGCAACTTGTGCGTGCAATTCGAACGTTTAAACGCAGATCAATTTAGTTGAAGAGAGAGAGAGAGAGAGAGAGAGAAAGAGAGAAAAATTATAAATTTTAACATCTATTTTAATTCAATGTATTGTTTTAAATCTGTATCTTCACGAAATCTTTACGGAACGCTGCCTTGTAAACTCGCAGTATTACGGTCGCTCTCCATTCTCTTTCTCTGTTACGTGTACGTATGTATGTACATATACGTGCGTACCTTGACCGCACTCGACCATTACGGCATAAGCTGTTGACGAAATATAAGACACCTCTTGCACATTTTGCATTGTTTATTCTATTGCACTTCTTGCTGCACTTTGTTTTTTCACAAGTGAATTGAAAATGAAATTTAACAGCAATTTTAGGTATAAAATTACATAATTGAGAAAGAGACACTCGGTGTGTGTGTAAGACACGATAACTAATATTTGAGAGAAAATACGTTTCGAAACAACACAAAATTTTCGCCAAAATTTACAAATTCTCATACATTTGACGTATCGATAAATTTTTCATATCAATTTTCAATCCGATTTCAACAATCATTTCATATAAATCAGTTCTAATAATATTTTTCTAGAGTTATATATTGTTAAAAAAAGCGAAAATATATCGAAAATATTATTTAATGTGTCTTATAAAATTTCAGTCTTTTAATTATTTTTTTCAAACAATATCAAATTTGAAAAACGTGTAAGAAATATCTGAAAAAAAATGTAGGTCGTTTCTTAAATCATCTGTTATATTTGCGCGCAACATTGTTCTCACGAGCTTATTTATTTTCGCTCTACATAAAGCTACTTATATTTTAACGTTATCAGGACAAGAGTGAGAGTCTTCATAAATATTTACTTAATATTTTCATGATGCCGATCAAGAAAGAAAAGTTATTTTCGTAAATACTTTCTTTCACACGTGAGATGAAAAATATTATTCCAAGATGCAGTCTCAGTTCTCGTGTTAATGGTCAGAGCTTAACATATTCTTGGCTAATCGTTTATCATCACGTCAGATCATAGATTTTTGTTTATGAGATAAAGCATCAGTAAATAACTATGAAACGACGAGAGCACGAGAGCGAAAGTATTGAAGCAAAGCGTGACGAGAGACGCATGACTCGAACAATATTCTTCGAAGATTATACGTTCAAACAACAGAATTTGCGAATTGTCATTTCGTCGAGTCTGTCTCCTCCTTGAATCGTGTCGACAAAATACTGTAATAGAAAAGAAAGTTTCTTTTTGAAAGAAAGCCAATTTTTTTGGCCAAAAATTTTTATCTAAAACAATTGTCAATTTTCTAATTATCGCATCCATCAACAATAAACTCTTACGGATCTTAGACACGCGCACGTGTTTGACAAATAAAGTTAGTAAATATAAAAACAAAATCGCGCGAACTTTCGTGCGGAAAGCTGCGAAAGACTTACCCGCCTGAGATATCGCCAGGAAAAGTGAAAGCCAGGCAGCGCGGCACCAGCAGCTATGACGACGGCGAAGGCGACGTTTGCGATATAGAGGCGAGTTCCGAGCGTCACCGCTTCGCTCGGCGGCCTTGTCGCGTTCGATGAAATGGAATCGCCTCCTCGTCCGCAAAAACGGAAGTCGATGAAAGTGGAGAAACAAGCCGATCCGAGAGCCGCGCACGTTTGTTTTTTTGCCGCGCTATCGGGGCCTATCCAATCGCACGTGTCGGCATTGCCGATAGAGTATCTCCTCGAGTCGACCGACTCACCTTTTTCTCGATAATCACTTTTTAGACACACTTTGTTTCTACGCTGTCTTTTTGCTATCTACTCGACTTACAGCGGATTCGAAGTAACTAAATACGTATAGAAGTTATCGCTTTGGTCATCGCGCGCATATCTTGTTCTTATATGGAAAAATACATGATGTTGAGATATAGAGAACAAGAGAGAGCTTAGTTTAATTCTTATTAGAACATATCGAGCAGTAAAAAGAGAGAAAAATTATAGTGAGATCATGATTTAAGGATACATAATATGATTCAGCTTTGAATAGCACGACATAATTTAAACCAGAGCGCCATATATTGACAATGTAATAAAAACACAAGCAGTTTAAACACACACACACACACAATTAATATATATACAATTATATACATACATTCTATACATGCATATAAATAGAAATTATTTAATAATGTCATTTTCAAATAACGATATTTAATACTAAAAAATTAGTAACATATTAGATCACTATTATTAATGTCAATATCGCTGGCTTTTACTTTACAAAAATGTTGTTTGAACGACAAAGCGAGTTTACAAGTTTAGACACGTGATTTACGTCGCGATATTATGCGTTTGTCGATTTTATCGTCCGGAGATTTATAATTTATGTCATATTTGCGCATGTAGCACGCGCGCGCATTTATAATAATAAAATATAATACTTATTCAAATGTATGGAGAGCGAAAGACTAGAAAGTGATATGGAGAAATCATTGATGATTTAAATCCTAATCGCTAATTTTTTATCATATTAGCGATCATATTAATTTTTTATCATATTAGCGATCATATTATATATCGTCAAATAACTGTGATCGTTCGTTTTCAAATTACCAGGGGAAATCGTGTTTGTGACTTACACGACTAACAAGGAAATTCCGAAACTCTTATGAGTTTCCAGATAAATAAAATTCGTAATATGAGTAAAACATACATGCGAATTAATTACAACGTATTAAAAGATGTATGTTTCATTCAGATTAAAATTTTTATTTGAACTTGTGATACATTTTTATTTGAACTTGTGTATAATCTTCTTAATTTACAATTCAGCGATTGATCGCCGTATCAATTTTAAAAGCAAAGAGAAACACATACACGATTGTTCTTCAATTTGCTCAAATTCTAAATTACATGTGCGTATGCTACGTTTCTTTTTATAAAATTTATATAACAAACGCGCAATATGAAAAATTTGGAAACGCTGAAAAGATTTTCCAATCATTCCGTTGCTCATAATATATTTCACTTGTACAATGTTTATATATATATATGCATATGTATAAATTTATGCAGAGCGTTATATTCGAATATTTTATATGTATACAATATGGTCCAGGTTCGAGATAAATAAAAAGATGCCAAAGAATCATTTCTATTCGTTCATTTCTATTCGCTCGAATGTGCATAATCGTAACCAAAAAACGGCACTGCATTTTTTATATATGTAACATAAATCGATTACATATTTTTATTTTATTTAAGTGGTTTTTTGTATATATTATATTTTTAGGAAAATATCGAGTGTTTCTTTGGATGAGAAATATTGTAGTTAGCTTAACACCACAGCAGATCGCTAGTCATTTTTTTGTAAGTACTTTTCTAATGTTCTTTTTAACATACCCAGTAAGCAAAGTGTAAAACCATGACGGCAAATTGACAACAATTGCACAGTTGGCATGCAAATTGCTGTCTTTTTGACGACAAGTTGTTTGTTTTCAAGACAGACTTTGCTATCAGAGTAGTTAATACGGTTTAAGTAATAGTGTTGTGTATAAAATTACAAATATTCTCCACGAAATATAATAATATGTATATATATCACAGTAAAAGCATAGACTTTAACTAGTACACGTACAGACGTTAATACTTCTTATTGATAAATGTGTACATTTAGTGATGAAAAGTAAAATGTATAGATTTCACGCTTTTACTGTAACATACATGTACATATACGTGCTCTCTATATGCATACAAATATAATATTGAAGACTTCATTTATGTTTTATTTCCTACAATTGCACACCATCATATATTTATCATATGTAGATTATATATAGATTCAAGAATATATATATCTGTGAACAAAAATGTTTGGAAAAAATATATGTATACGCAAAACAAGAAAAATAGCAATAAATAAAAGTTTTATAAAACAAACTAAATAATTGCCTTATTCATATTTAATATGAGCGTTACATTTAAATTTTCATAAATTTCTTTTTTTCTCTTTTTCTCTTTCTATCAGTATACATCTATTTTTACAATAGATCTCTGTAAGAATGATAAATAAAATTTCAAAAAATAATGTAAAATCTACAATTATACACAATGTAATGTTTTACACTAAATATGTATTTTTTCTTTTATGTATATTTATACATATATATTTATATAGATGTGTATACACACACACATATATATATATATATATATCACATATATATCAGAAAAAAATTATATATAGTCAAACGCCGCTATTTTCTTCTCTTGTGTTACCTTTTCACTATTGTACATTCGCCGTGCGATCATCTACTTCGTGCTAGCGTAAAATTCAAAGAGTAGGAATGAAAGAGACATAATTAGAATAGCAGTCAATGTAATTCTGACTTGTCAAAAATAACGGCGCGTTTGTCTGTGTAAAATATATACATTATTTCTATATAAATACAACAAACCTCATTAAACTATACTTAATTTGTCTTCCATTACTTCGATCTTTCATAGAAAAAAAGGAGTTTTTTTTTACCAACATGTTACTTTCTAAAATCAGTCTGTATGTGTCAAGTAAAAAAAATATCCCCATCTTGTAATAAATTACTATTTATATACATTGAATATAAATATCCCTCTGTGTGAGTCATGGTTACATATATCAAAATATATAAATGCAATCAGACAGAATATAAATAAGAATCAAGTTTTGTCTTTGCATTGGGAGGCGAAGTAAACGGAGAAAACCAAGCTATCGAAAATCTTCCGAAAACCGCTTGAATCGACTTCCATCTGCTGTTACGAACCCATCTAGCTTCCTCTTTTTTAAGTTGTTCAATCCCCTGCACACAACCCACGTTTTCAATACGTATTACAATTCGTAACTTTTTCACTTAAATCTGCGACACAATCGTTCTTAATATACTTACAGTTTCGTCATTCCAAATGGCTTGCAATTGAGTGCCTAACATCACAGCAGTAAAAATGGCAAATAAAAGTGCCTCAAATCCCAAGAACAACAGTAACACTACTGTTAACGGTGGATTAAACGTGGAACATTCTCTCCATTCTTGTCTAACACATGTGGTGAATTGTTGTATACACAAAAATAGAGATTGTAACGATATACCTGCTATATAAAACTAAAACACAGTACAACAGAAAAGAATGTCATCATATTGTCATAAAAACTAGTTTAGAGAGATAGAGATTTAAAATAAAATCTTGTGTACAAAAAATACTGACTGTAAAAAGTACAAAGTATTTTTGATTGTTTTCTCCCACACAATTATTGACCCACGGACAATGGTGATCCATCTTTCTGATACACCTGTAATCAGATTAAGTAAGACTGTAATCAGTATTACAAACACACAAGCTCACAAATTTACCTTTGACAAACAGAACAATGATGTGCTCTATCTGGTTTGATAGAACAACATTTTGGACACTTAAAAATAACTTGCCCATCTCTAAACCCCATTTGTTGTATCATTTCTTTTGTTGCATTACCTTTTGGTACTGCACCCTGTAAAAAAAAATAAGATATCAACTTTAGTATATCTCTGATGCACATCTAATTTCCAGCAAGTCTCAGCAAATATATTGTCAATGTTCTATTAAATTACCGGATCTGTGAACATGGTTCTTAGATGTGATGCAAAAGCTAGGAATGCTAGAGACTGAAAAATAGCCATGTTAAAGCTGGAATATAAAGTGTGTATTGTAGGAATGAGAATTACTGCTGTTACTACAAATTCTGCATAAATGATAAGTATCCATGTTAATACTGCGCATATTATACCACATATGTCCTGCAAAAAATATATATATACTTTATATATAAAGCCACATATATTAACATAAATAATACACAAAACAGTTATATAATATATAATTGTATATAATAAATATTTATAAAACTTGCTTTTATACACCAGAGTTTTCCACCACAGCATCTATTATGGAAATCCTTTTCTCTGTGAAAAGGCATATAATCGTAATCCATTGTAGAAACTATTATTCACTGAACTGTACCTTTTGTAAAACATAAGGAAATTCACTAACATTTCCACTTTTGTACATACATGTGACAGTTTGTATCAATCATGTTCCTAAAAGTCATTGGATATAGTTATATTATTAAGATATAATTGTGTTGTGTTTTTAGTATTAAAAATATCTGTTTGACGTTTGTTTGTCCGCGATATATACACGAGAGAATCATATTATATTAAAGTCACACACATAAAAATAAAACAAGTTAAAAATAACAAAACTTCTTGTATAACCTTGCAAACTGCACACTCACATCGCTATGCAACAACATGTAACAGACGACGTATGTTCTTCATTGTTTTATTTTTTTCATAAAATGTATACACACAAAATGTTATGCAAATAACGATTGATTTTCTCTGATATTATCTAATTTATTATCGAAATGTCAAGTTTGTGTACTCAGTGATACACCATTACAAATACACATATTTGCTTCACTATTAAGTAACAAACATAACGTAGAGAGAAAGAAAAAAAAAAGAAAGACAGGAAAATCAGTTTGTGTAGAAATTATCTGTCTTTTCGTTTCTCCCTAAGTCGTCGTTTTTATACTGGCTTGCCATACAAATGCGTGTAAATCATCATCTTGACCGTGTAAAACCAATTAACCAAAGGGTCAAAAGAAGGAGGCGCGCCATATAGGTTCCCCTTGGAGTTCGTAATGATCGCGAGCGTAGACCGTGTCCAATCGCATTGCTCAATTCATCACATCAGCGAATGCGATACGAACTGCGTTCCGAAAGTTACCGCTTGTTGTGATCGGTATCAGCAGAGAGAAGACTGAGAGCGGCCAGACCTATAAGAGGAATGTGTAATCACTTTTCCGCCAGCGCAATGTCCATGGGTGATGCACATTGCAACTACGTAGCTATGTCCACGAACGACTTGTCGGTACGTACGTCATGTGCTATGTCCACACAACCATGCCGTTCTATTCTAAATTAACGTCACGTGACATAGAGGAAAGAGAAAACAACACGTGACTAAAGTCACGTGTCTTAAAAAACGTGATTGAAGTAACGTCGCGTGACAGGAAGAGAAAAAACAACACGTGAAAGTCACGTGACCTTAGTGACTCGTGCATGTGGCACGAAGTAGAACCATGTCCACGTTACGTAACGTACCGACAAGTCGTTTGTAGACATGGCTACGTAGTTGCCAATGTGCACCACCATGTGAACACAGCGCTAGCTTGCAGAGCGAAAAAGCTATTAGTTTTCGGCCGCTCTGTCTTCTCACTGATACCACGGTGATATTTCGGGATTTTCAGAAATCGGTCATGGATTACCACAGTCGAGATAGAGCTCAAATGGGACTTTATCTTCGGTGTGCCGCATGCGCCGCCAAGAATTTGACAGTAACGTAAGGGTGGGGGCGATGATAGACGGCCATATTGGCTACTTGTGACTTGGGAGGAACGAGTAAAAAATAACCCAACTTTCTTCATCCGTCATTGCTCGAGAGAAAATGTTGCCTTGTAGGATTGTTCATTGATTATTGCTACACTAATCTTGTCAACGTAACTGTGGTTTCACGCCGAAACATCTCATTGTTTGCACGAAAACTGTCCTTTCTTCTGCAAAATGGTGCGTTTACACTCTCGAAGAGCAGTTCGTCGTTCTCGCGATTCAAAATTTTCTTTAATTCTTCGTTCGAAACTTCTCTAATACGCGTAATATATCGCTTTCTGTTTTACTTTTGCCGTAGAGTTTCTTCGGTTTCGGCCAATCCGCCGATATAGAGATCACGTTGGATGGTGCTGAAACACGGAAGACAGCGGATATCAAGACAGAGGATGGCAAGAAAGAGCGACACTTGCTTTATTACGATGGAGAGACAGTGTCGGGCAAGGTAAGTTTGTTTTTTTGGAAAAAAATTTGTCATTTAGTTGTAACTGATTAAACTCGATTGATGGAGATTACAATTGAATAAAAAATGAAATGGTAACACCCATGCGTAATATATTCAATGTGACAGAAACTATGTACAATTTGTTTACTTTGTGTAAAGTTTATGGAACTTAAATATGAATATTATGTTTCTACATACGCACAAACAGACATAGTTTTAGTTTTGTGAGTAATTACTTGCGCAATTAATAGTCAGTAATAAGAAATTGTTATTAACTCTAGATATATATAAAGTTGAAAAATAAATTATTGTTTATATGTGTAACAAATACAAATTTTATATTTATATGTAGTACATTTTTATAGTATTTGATCAACGATCTTTTTATTAATAGATGACGTCTTCACAAAGGATTTATAAAACCTAACATACAATATGTATAGTTATATAACATGCAGCTTAACAAAATTTCTATAATTTCATTTATTTCTAATATTTTTTTTCTAATCTTCAAAGTTATATTAATCATATTTTTTATTAATGTAATAATATATTTTGTATTATATAGTTTATGATTTGTATTTTATTGTGCGTATGCATCTTTATATGTAAATTGTTTATTCTAATCTAATTTTTGCAGATTAACATTAGTCTAAGGAAAACTGGTAAATTAGAACATCATGGTGTCAAAGTAGAATTTATTGGGCAAATTGAGTTATATTATGACAGAGGTAATCATCATGAATTCACAAGCCTGGTAAAAGAGTTGGCAAGGCCTGGAGAGTTAACACACAATACAGTATACACATTTGAGTTTCCAAATGTGGAAAAACCATTTGAGAGTTACACTGGTTCCAATGTGCGATTAAGATACTTCTTGAAAGTGACAATTGTACGAAGACTTAGTGACATTGTAAAAGAACTTGAATTAGTTGTACATACTCTTAGTTCCTATCCTGACATGAATAATCCCATCAAGATGGAAGTTGGAATTGAAGACTGTTTGCATATCGAATTTGAATACAATAAAAGCAAGTAAGTTACATGCTGTAAAATATTTGCGTCGGTCTCTGAAGTTTTTTTTTTAATTTCACTTTACATGCCACGTATGTCTCTTTTTTTCAGATACCACTTGAAGGATGTAATTGTTGGCAAAATATATTTTCTTTTGGTTAGAATAAAAATAAAACACATGGAAATAGCAATTATCAAACGAGAAACTACAGGTTCTGGTACGTTATGGATAATTTACATGTACAATTTGACAGTAGAAATAGTGTTAATTATAATTTCTGCAGTTTTGAATGCATGCAGAATTGCATGCGACAAAAAAAATTGGAAAGCAAATTTTGGTTTGAATTGTATATTCTTCTAATATGTGGTACTATATAAGGCCATAATTAGACTATATATTTGCAGGCCCTCATACATTTACCGAAAATGAAACAATAGCAAAATATGAAATTATGGATGGTGCACCTGTTCGAGGAGAATCTATTCCTATAAGGGTATTCTTAGCTGGATACGATCTGGCGCCTACAATGCGCGATATTAATAAGAAGTTTAGCGTTAGATATTATCTCAATTTAGTTCTTATGGATGAAGAAGATCGGCGATACTTTAAGCAGCAAGTAAGTTTGTAAAAATACTATTTTTGAATTTTTCAAATAATTTTATTTTCTTGTATTTATGTTTTTAAAATGATGTTACTATGTGTATTGTTATCTTTACGATTTTATCATCTGTGCTTAGGAGATAACATTATGGAGGAAAGGCGAGAAGAGCAGAAAGTCGCAAACGGCTTCGCCACACATGCCATCGCATTTAGTGTCAGCTGAAACAGGATTTCCGCAGGGCGCCGCCCAGAATGGTCCACAATCAATGCCACCTATTACAGGTCAATTACCAACAAGTAACATCACGACCGTAGAAGATACTCCAGCGCCAATTGAAGGCATGACGCGAGAAGAGGGAGACGGCGAAGGCGAGAAAGAAGGTGGTCCGGAAAGTGATTGAGTTTCTGAATGCAGTTCTGTTTCTGGCGTCAATTATGGCCCAGATTAGTTAAGAATGTCAAATAGGCTGAGATGTGCAGCAAAGAAATTTAGCTTAAAAATATATCTCCTTTATTCCATCGGGAGATTTGTTTTTAGTAAGAAAAATAAGCAGGGTATGCAAAAGAGACGCCTGCTAGCGCGAAGTTGTACATATTTTGGATACATTATATATATATATATATACTTGAGAGCGAATGATTTATAAGTAGCAGATTATCGATCAAAATTATCACGATAAAGTAGAGAAAAATGCGAATTTGCCACTTGTGGAGGAAAATAATTCCGAGATTATTTTTTAACGAGCTCACATGTTGCTCGTTATAAATATGCAATGCGAACAAGCAGTATAAATATTCCTCAATGGACGGCTTACTAATCAAATATTTACCAACACAATACATTTTGCAAAACCATGCTGGGTGTTACAGTGTTCTAAATGTTTTATACAGATTCGCCCACTGACCCGCCCACTGTATAATTCTGGAAAAAAAAAAAAAAAAACATCTGGAAGTCTCTCTTTATGGCAGCGTATCATATTTTATGCAAAGAGAGTTTATAGTATGAAATGAATATATACTCACAAAGGCTGCCCCATATTAATCCGTTCACCTAGTCTACGACTGCTATAATGAAAGACACAAAAAAAAACTACTTATGTACATGATGTGTGCGCACGAACGCAACAGACACATACACACACATTCACGTGTTCTTTTGAAAAAAAAATGATTTATATACATGGAAACACATACATATGTAACATCACGAAAGCGAGAATGATCGCACTTATTTTTAGAACGAGTTTGTACAAAAAAAAAAAGAAAAAAAAACGAGGGAAAGATATCGAATCTTGCATGATACAAACTGTATAGATTTATCTTCAGCTTTGAGTTTAGCACGTTTGTGCATAGGGATGCAATTTCATAAGATAGACTTTTATATGTAAAACGTGAATTTTGCAATCAATCTCTTCCAGACACGAATTACAATATCTGCTCAAGTCGATATGCCTTTCTGGACACGAGAGTGGACTATGATAGATTAAATAATGGGGTAGCCGCCTCGTGTATTTATAATTATACATATATACTGTAATTACGTGTGTACATATACAAGGTGAGGCGTATAAAACAACTAACTAATAACTAAATAATTTTTTTTGGCAGTAATGACTGACTGGATTGTATAGATTGCCTAATTAGTTATAATAATACATCAGAAAAATGACACAGCGTAAATGCGTAAGTGAAAGCCACAGAATGTTTTTTTCAGAAAGAACACTAAAAACAATTATATGGAAATATCACTTCGTAATCTTTTTTTTTCAAAAGATTTTTATCAGTCATTATGAGCTATTCGATGCTGCGCTGTATATGTACACACGTACGTGTGTAACATCACTAACAACCATCAACAGCATATTTCATTTTTGCAGTTTTACAAGACAGGCTATACATATATTTGCACGGTAACGCTGACGTGGTTTCTGTAACAATCGGTTTCGTGGAATTGGCCAATCAAATTGATCGATTAGTCAAATTAATCAAAGTATGACTGGTCAATTTCATGAAAACTGGTTATTACTAGAGTTTAGTGTTGCCGTATAAACATAGTCACTGTAAAAATGAAAGCAATGCTGCTGCAAAGGAAAACCTATCGTTTTGTACTGTTCTATACATATATATATATATATATACATACATACATCATGAAGATTTGACTGTAAAAAAACATTATCGAGAAAATGCATTATTGAAATAATGTTAGATCCATACATATACGTTATATGTAACTTACTCTCGATAATTTTGTTTCATATATAAGTTTAATCAGATTTTTCATAAGCCACATCATTGTTATTTGTTGACTATGGGAAATAAAATTGAAGGAGAAATGTAGAAATAAAGGAACAGGAAAACACAAGAAAGAGAAGAATAATGAAGGAGAGAGAAAAACGTGTACATGTAGACGAAGTCCAAGGAGAAAAATCTGTGAATTTATTTGACATGTTAAATATTGTATATATATACAGATATATACATATTATCATGCGGTATGCAACTAGTTGTATATTTTAATGCCCACACATATGAATATATTATATATTGTATACAATGCATATATGTGCATACATGTATATTGGAAAATTATTACATTTGTTTTGTATATGTACCCGGTCCAGACTTGTATCCTGTCTATACTTTCATAGGATAATTTTTTAACATAATCAGATAAAATTAATTTACTGATATGAGGTCGAAATATTGTTACGGCGTTACAATGTGTTGGTTTTTTTTCGGTAAAAACTCGTAGGGCGGTTTGATTGTCGTTGATTAGTCAAATAATGGCTCAAATAAACACCAAGAATAAGTTGATTTCGATGGCGTGGATTTTTGGGATGCCTGTCGTTAGTCTTATAAAATAAACAAAGTTAATTTTACTTATTCAAGCACATCTACGGAGATGGAGGACCCTTAATCAATAATTCGAAGTTAAAAGTGCTTTTCGAAGATTTATACATGAGCAATAATCGTAGTTTCGTCTTAACAAAAAAAGTCAAGTATTTCTTTTTCTAATTTTGGTGAACTTTAAATGTTAAAAACACAATGAAAGAGATATTTTTCTTATTTGCTTGTATATAGCCCTTCAAGAAATATTACTCTTTTAAGAAGACAAATTTTTCTCTTTAAAATTGAACTGCGCAATTATAATAGTTTGTTGAATTGTTTCTAAATAATTTTTCTTGCAAAGAATATAAACATATATATATATAAACATTCTTCTATAAAAGAATCGATGTCGTGTGTGTATGTATTTATTGTATATGTAATTATTAATACATATTGTATTATCTATGGTATATATCATAGATAATACATATATACTAATACATATATATATATACATTAAGTTAATTTTGTTCGTGCGTTGAATAAAGTTCAAGTTTACATATCCAAGTTTATGACCAGTATTTAACGTAACTCGTTATAAAAGAGTTTGTGCGGAGACCCTAAAGCGCGCAAACGTTCAAAGCGAACGCACTCAATAAGTCTGTTCTTTTTATCTGCACTAAGTTGCACTATGAATGGACAAGCGAGGATAAATCTTGCTGTTGCGAGTCTGTCATAAGGTTCAGTCGAATAAGTATTGTTTATATATCTGTTTGATGTTGTTTTCCAAATATCTTGAGAATAACGAAATTAGGAATTATGTATTCAAGAAAAAAGCACAATGTACTGTATGTTAAACCGGAAGAACCAAAATTTCTACGAGACATGAAAGAACAAATTGGGTACAAGGAAGGTCCTACTGTTGACACAAAGGTTTTGTTTGTGTAATCTTATAATTGTACATGATTTTTAAATTACTTAGTGATAAACAGAAAATAAACATATTTGAATAATTATTAGAGAGAAGTGTTACCAGAAATTTCTGATAATGATGATGATGACAGAGAAGAGAGAGCTGACGAGAAGCCTGTTGTCGTTGTGGTAAAATCTGGTGATTTAACAGCGGAAGAAGCAAATGCTTTTAAAAAACAGAAAGACGAAGGTAATGAACAATCAAATTTTTTTAAACTTTTAAGATCAATGTGCGATATTACACGGTGTAGAGAATAGAAATCTTGTAGATATGAACACACTACTTCACAGTCTTCAATCAACAAAATTGTTCATTTATTTTTTCTTTCTCTGAAAGTATTATAAGTTTGTCATAATTTACAGAAGAAAATAATACTCGTGCTGATCTATCTAAAAAGGTCGTATTTCGCAAGACCAAAGCAACAGAAACAGAGAAAGAAAGTGACGCGACTGTCACAGATAAACCTGTAAAAAAGAAACCAAGAAGAGAAAAGCAGAAAGTTGTATTATCCTTTGATGCTAATAATGATGATGACAACTGAGAGAGTGCGTACGTGTTATAAGTGTACAAAATATATTTAAGTATAAACTATATTATTGTAAATAATAAAATATCAAATATATCTATCATCATAATTATAGAAGCACCCAATTAGAAAGTTCAGGGAAGGAAAATAGAAAATATTTCTATTATCATAGTTTGTAAATTGTTTATGAAATATGAAAAAGAAACTACAGTAAAATGTAAAGAGGGCATGTAAGAACTGTCATTTTTAATGTTTATTAAATTTTTTTTTTAAACTATATACTTGTATAAATATAATATACTAAATATCTTTTTTTTAATTGTGTAAATCTCAAACTATAAATATGATAAAATAATTTGTTGTTTTTGTCAAATCTAGACTGTACTTTCTCGTTTTTGAGAAGTACATTTTTCTCGTTGGACGTGTACACACGTGCACTCGGTCACGTGACAATATGCAGCACCATCACTAGCTGTGTCTACCCCACGGCCCTTTAACATCCAGCAATACGTCATAAAACAGGTCACGTGATTGCCATTCGCCATTTTGGCCGTTGCGACGACGGTGGCGAGAGGAGCTAATCGGTGACGTCGTGTCGCGGCTCAAATAAACATCGGGTGCACGCGAATAAGTTTATCCGCTTTTGTGTGAGCAGCAGCGACGTGTTTCGTGGAGCTGTGTGTGTCGCCGCAGGAATTCGCCGGTGCGCCGAACGAACGGTCAGTGGGAATTTAAATAAGCGCGGCAATCTGCCGCGAATTGACGCGTGTATTGCGCGGCGATTGTCGTCCAAGAGGGTGACAATCCGTTCGACGGTCGGCAGCTGTTTGACAGGCACATTGCGACCGTCACGAAAAATGGCGGGAGCTCCGATTAGGTCGCTTACGGTCATTGTGATGATGTGCGTGTGTGGCAGTGATACGTGTGCGTCTGTGCATATGAAAGAGCGAGAAAGAAAATGAGAGAGTGGGAACGAGCGAATGAAAAGTATGTACGTGTCCCAAAGCATGAATGAACATTTCTGTCTCGTGTGCACGATCACACAAGTATCAATTGATCTCGTGCTTCTCTCGTGGCACGCTCGTGACACAGAGTCACGATGTGATAAGGGCTGTAACACATTCGGCAGGCGCACTGGTCCCTCGCTCTCTCTCTCCCTTTACCCTCTCGCGCCTATCTCGCGCCCTTCCTTCCTCATCCCGTTCTGTCCGCAAAAATTTTTTCCGAGTTCTTCTTTCCTCCTTTATACTGTGCAAAGCCATGTATGTGTACCAACCTCTTCTTGTTGCAAGACCGTAATGATGGACACACATTGGGTAGACACTACCAGAAACTCAAAATGGAAACTTTAGGTAGGGAATTTCAATTCTAAACAGTGGTGCTATGCGGCGTCGCTGAATTCATTTGAGCGATTATTTCATCGAGTTATATTTATTAATTAATAAAATATATTATTTGCATAGTTGGTTTGCGCATACTGTAATACACTGTAAAGTTCATGTGTGTGTTAAATAAATCAGTAATAATAACAATAATGTGCATTCTAAATTTTTGAATATAAGAAAGATAATAAATAATAACTAATTGTTATAATAACTGATTTTAATTAAGATTAATGTTTACAAGTTTGTTAATCAATCATTGGTTTACAAAAGTGATTGAGAACAGTAGCTTTTATACTCACATCTATGACTACTTAATAATCTATAGCTTTCCCACTCTTCTCATGGAACCCAATATTTCAGGGATGATAAATAAAGATGTTAGAGTTAGAGACGTAAGAGAGGAATGGGAGAGCTACAAAGTGAAATGTGTGGGGACAGTCATAAACATGACATCAAAATCACCACGTATATATACACACTAGACACATGTATAATATATACATACACATACTTTTAGACAGCATCAGTTTATAGAATTTTATAGTAAATATTTCATTTTAAATATTTTATCATTTATAAAATTTGCATGAAGAGCTGTTTAGAAGTACAAAATTCAGAAAGTAAAATAGGATACTGGTAAGTTTAAGAATTATTATTTTTATTTTATTGTGTTAACTTATTAGAAAATTTTCACACAAACACCATGTATATTGGGTAATTTAACTATAAAATTTGACATGTATATTTGTAAAATTTCATACTTAATAATCCAATCAATAAATTTATAGTAATTAAATTTATAGTATATAATAAGATTATATATAATTTTGAAAAAATATAACGCGAGTATCTTTTTATTATAGAATTAAAATGATCGGATATTATAATGAAGGATTATTTTTTTATTTTATTGTCAGACTAAAAATTTTATTTTTTTTTTTTTATTGTTTTTTATTATCGCGCACTGTAAATTCTAAGCTTGTGCGAACCGTGGTAAAAGTATAACGGCGATTGAATTACGCGTGTTAAACAGATATGGTGAAATCGTGAGAAACGCTCTTTCGTCTGATTTCTTTTCTTTTACTTCTTGCCGCGAAAAAAAAAATCATTAAAAGATCGTAAATGTATGTTATATTTTTTTAGATCGTAAATATATGTTATATGTTTCTCGTTTGTCAAAAGATATTTCACTGTGTCACGCGATATTGCATCAGTGCGAGAAAATTGTTTCTGTAACGAGAAAATTATATAATTACGTTATATAGTTACGTTGTAATAAACTGTCACGTTCACGAATGAAAGAGAATTCTTTCAATATCTGGTTTTGTTTTATTACACAGAACAAATATATTAGCAGACAAACGTAAATTATTTGACAGAAAAACCGATTTGTAACTTGTGTAAAGAATGACGATCATGTGTGGAAAGAACCAAAAAATATTTATCAATTTATTTAATATATCTTATAATTTTAACGATATTTTATTATTACATTTATTACGGCATTGATTTTACTGTGTAAACTTGGCAACCTTGTGTATCGCCGGAATATAACGTACAAAGTAATAATTTTAACAATTAAAAAAAAATATTCTACAGGAAATCTCGAAATTGATTTTTAAATGAAAAATATTGTAATATGAGATATACCCACCACTCATCGTTTACTCTCTAAACTCTAAAAAAACAAAAGAGGGAAAGAGAAAGAGAGAAAGAAAGTGAGAGAGAAAAAGAGAGAAGGAGAGAAAGGGATTTGAAAAATAGAGAATCAAATAATTTATTAATTTTATAAATATAAGTTAAGGATCCTGGATGATATATAGCCTCCTCAAGTTGCAATTTAATTAATAATTTCTTTATACAATTTTTTTATACATATGCGAAAGAAATCAATAATTTAAAAGATTAAATCCAATTGATAACAACAATTTTTCTCGTAAATTTTGTAAATAGAAACAATTCTCTCTTTCTGAAAAAGTTAAGATCTAAAGACTCATCCAAATGAATGTTTTATAAATGACTAGTCGCATGTATAAAGGAAGCCATATTGTTATATATATATATATACTTTCTATCAAGTTTGCGATTGGTCTATTTGTGCGTGTGTGTATTATCGTGCAACTATTGTAAGTCCGCCTGCTGAATAGTCATCTATCGCTGGGGTTTAACTCCCGTGATTCTTGCTACGGTCCTGGATAACTTTTTTTAATGTTCCTCATCCCGTTGCGCCTGCCCTCTGGTGTGCCAATTGTCAGTGATGAATGTTCACTATTTACAGATTTTGTGAATAAACCGCGTAACCGTCCTCTTTCTTCACCGAGCGATCAAGTACTATTGGCATACAATCGTTGCTACTATAATATTACTACCCCGCTGTTATCCGTGCTCACAGCAACGATCTGGACGGATATCGTCCGTCGCTGATGAGGTTCGCGAGCATGACGATGTCGCGCTGACGGACGCTCTCTTAAAGCAACCCCATCGTCGCCGTGGTCGTCGTCCTCCTCCTCTTGCTCCTCGCCTCTAGGTGAGTATAACTCAGAAAGTATAATTCCGCGATCTCAATCAAGATATCTCTCTGTTCATTCTCGAATCGGAAAGAAATCGAATCGCCGATTTGACATTCTCAGACGAACAGCGAGAGAAGAGAAAGAGGGAACGTTAATTACATTTCGAAAGGGGGCTGTAAAAAAAAATTAACCTCAACCTTCTTCTCACTCCCCAATTTCTCCGCATCGTGAAGATCCGCTTTTTGCTCTTATGTGCTTTTTGTATGTTTCATGAATTTTTAAAAACGAACTTGGTGCGGTTCGGTGAGAAAAATAAAAATGTGCATAAGATAGGGAAGCGCACAACATAAATGTCTTGATGACTGAGTTTTCACGAATTATTTCAGTCGCATTTCGCATCCTTCCCTACATCTTCTTGCGTGCGACGAGGAAGGACATACAGTCGTAGACGAGCTCTTACGTTCTGACCGGTGTGTGTTGCGTTTCTCTCTCTCTCTTTCTCTCTCTCTCTCTCTCTCCTCTCTCTATCATTTTCTTCCCCCTTCTCTGTATCTTCTCTCTTTTTCTCTCTTTCTCTCCTCTCCTCTCCTCTCCTCCCCCTCCTTCCACCGGTTTGACCGTGTGCTCCTGCGCTATCGAATGCGCATCATCCCGTCCTCGGCACGTCGAGTGGTGCATCGCGTAAAGAGTGTATCATCTTCACGACGACTACGAGTATTTTGGACAAGCTCGACGGTTTAACGCGAATTTTTCGTTACGAGAGAGGACTTCTCTCCGCGTAGGACGGACGCGTGCGATTTCGGATCGGCGTCTAGAGTCGGTACCGGAGCGAAGGCGCCTCGCTACGGTAAACACCGCTGGGAGTCGCCTCGCCGAGCACTCGATTCAGACCCGTAGAGGTCCGCTACGTGTTGTATGCACTTCCTACACTCGGTGCACTCGAAACCAGGCGTTCGCGTCGGGCGCGGAAGCGAGAAAAAGGGGTAAAGGTACCGAAAAATTGAGTAAAAGTGTGCGCGGCATGATATACGATCCGAGTGTCGGAGAACCGACATCCGTATGAACGGGGGCTGGAATTGGAACGTATCGGTCTAAGCAAATTGTTGTTCATTATCGTTCTGATATTTTACGGTAAAAATCGCGTTCGCGTTCGCGCCGCGATTTTGCAAACGCGGAAGTAACTCGGGAGAGCGATGTCCTGAAAGACAAGCGCGGAGTACCGTTGAAGGGAAAGCTCTTTTTCATTTCAAATCGCCAAAACAGGTTGGTGAAGATCTGTCAAGTTTCCGCGTTGAGGAACGAGAGAGAAATCTCAATGTCATAAGAGGAATATTTTTATATCATTGGTCCTGTTGTCTTTTTGTTTTTTTTTTTTTTTTTTTTTTTTTTTTTTTTTTGGTTTTCTTAATTCCGAGTACTCTTATGTGCGCGGAGTTATAACCTTTTTTACAATCTCTCGACTGTCTCCACCAGTTTCTCGTCTCTCATCTTACTCTTTGCATTTACTTTTGAAAACAGAAACGAGAAATGACAGGTCGCCGAATAGTACGACAAAATTTCCCGCTTTCTTCTCCGACAATGTCCGGACCTAATGTGCAAAATTATCGCGATATTAAGATCATCAGATTCGTTGACGATGATGTATCAACCGGAGACGAAGCGGTATTTGATTTCTTCGCGGAAGTTGGTATCACTTAGGGTGTAAACTTTGAAGGAATTGTAATTGTCATATATTAATCAAGACAAGTTGCTGCTTCAAGCGATTGTCACGGTCGTCATTTGTCGTCACCTTTTGATCCTCGTCGCGCCTAGAACACGTACTAGGCTCTTCGTCAGGAAGCTTTGCGCGCGCACAATATTGTGTGCACATACACATACATACGTACGTGTCTCACGTATATGTGCAGGCGCGGAGTCTTTTCTGGATGTAGGTGTAGACGGTTGATAGGTGCACAGACGAGGGGGAGCGAGAGAGAGGAAAGGGGAGGGTATAACGCGTTCACAGAGAGTCGAGATCCGACGACTGGCTGGCTGTTGGCTGGCTGGTTGATAAACGGAGTGATTGAACGCCGAGCGGTGGCTAACGAGCGCAGGTGACTGACTTGAAGAGACGACGCTATTCTCTCGTGCGATCTCCCTTGTGCTAGTAAACTCTCGGGATATTGTACATTGGTGCGTTCCATCCATTCGTCTGTCCGTCCGTTTGTCTGTTCTCCGTTCGTCCGTCCATCTGTCCGTCCGTTCGTCCGTCCGTCGGTCTGTCTGTCTGTCTGTCTGTTCGTTCGTTCATCCATTTGTTCGCTCGTCAGTCGCGTGTGCGCGCGTGCAGTACAACGGATTGTTGTACATTCGCTCGTGTGTTAAAAGAAAAGAAGAGTGAAAGAGCGCGCGCTGGACGAAAAACTTTGGACGACGCTTCGGAACCGCAAAGGACGCCGTTCGTAAAAAAAAAACGACACGGTCTCATCGTGCGCTCGCTCGCGCGCACACACATACATAGACACACATCTACACACGCGCGTACGTGTGTGTGCGCGCGCGCGCGCGCGTTATATCGTGGACCCCCCTGTAACTCAGACGTCTCGTCGGAGGTTTGTTGGTTATGGGAGCGAAAGCGGACGCAAGTGCGGAATTCGCAGCGCCATTTTGAAAAATTCGGCCCCGCTAAAAATTCCCTCCCTCCCGCATCCTCGTACGCCTATTCTTCGGGAGGTAGAGAGCGCACGGTTGGAACGCTCTGCCTTCTTCTGGTCTTGTGTGGATCTGCTGATTATTATCAGTGATATCGTCAATTGTTTAGATTGACTGCGCTGCGGTCCGCGGTGGACTCATGGAAGGCACGTTGGAAGAGTCTGCGGCTAAGGACTCTTCGCGGAATAGTCCTGATAAGCACTTGAAAGGTAAGCAGAAACCGTTCCTTTCGCAATACCTACATTGTCATTTCGGTCTTCGTGTACTAATTTGAGTTTTTGACAGCCAATTCGCATAAAACAGAGACATCTTTTATATTAAATCACTTTTATTTATTAACTTTTTCTTTACATTGTCTCATATCACCAATATTCATTTTTCAACTAACATTGTCTCAATTTCTTCAAAGCTGTCATTAAAAGGTGTTTGTTTTAGAAAAAAGCTCAAAGAAGAAAATCTTGATGTTTCTTTTATAATAAAGCTATCAATCTATAATGTTGTAGATTTTTTCTAGACACATGTGTATATATAATTCAAATCCTTGATTTGATACTGATAAACATTTTCAACATACTAATAAATAAAAATAAAAAGCATTTAATATATAATGTCATTAAACATTTTGATGATTTTATTACAGATATGATTATTCCAAATGGTGTCAACGGAAACCATAGTGCTGATAATGATGAGTATATGGATATCAGTGATACAAGTATGAATATGTCCAGAGAGATGGTCACAGAAGAGGAAGAAGGAGAAGATGGAGATGAAGATGAGGATGAAGATGATAATGAAGACGATAATGAAGACGATAATGAAGACGATAATGAAGACGATCATCAAAGCACAGGCGAGAGTCAAGAAGGAAAGAATGAAGATAGTGAACAGAATAAAACAATAGATAATAATAGTAAGGATGGTGAAACGTCCGAGATAAAAAATGAGTTTCAAGTATCCAAATCATTGGATGGTGTCAGTGAGACAAACAATTCTAGTGAAGTGTCTAAAACTGAATCTGAGTGTAAAAATACACTTTGTGAAGCTATGGAAGTAGATGAACAGAGTAATAACTCTGATGTAGAGTGTCTCGACGAAAGCATAACAGAAATACAATTGGATAATGACGATGTGTTTATTTCTAAAAAGAGTATCGAAAAGGACAGAAACAATGACGCGTCAAACTGTCTGTGTTGCGACAGTCCAGGTGTTGATCATAACATGGAAAAGTCAGATGTCAAACTTTGCGAAGAAAACGGAAGCTGTGACAGTCCAGATATCGAGGAAATAACCGATGGTGCAAAAAGCAACAGCCACAATTCATCGCCAGAACGTAGTAAGGACTCTGCAAAACAGAGGAAGCCACGAAAACAGATAGATCTTAGTAATATTACACCGAGAAGAAGTTCGCGCAATATTAAAAGAACAAGTTATATAGAGAAAGAGTTGGAAGAAGAAGTGGACGATGATGGATCTGACATAGAGGAGATCAAACCGGAAGATCCCTTGGCTGGTGTAGACAGTAAGGATAAAGAAAATTCCAAATTAAAATCACCACCCAAAAATAGTAAAACAACAATCGTTGTCAATGATACTAAACGTCTGGTGGAGATTGCTGCTGGAAGCAAGTCTGTTAAAGGAGGCAAAAAGGAACCTACATTAGTTATAATAGATACAAATTCTATTCTTTCAGGGCGAGGTGGCGTCCCTGTTAGTAACAGTAAACCTCATCATTCTGTCTCCTCCAATTCCAGCCCATTCTCAGTTGTCCCTGTAGGTGTGACAACACAGACGATGTACCCCAATATGAGGACAACCATCACGCCAGTACCCATGACATCAAAAACGGCACAATTGAGTCCGAAAACTAGTAGTATGACAACGGTTACGCCGACAGTACCGCCAATTTTACCGACACTGACCGATGATATGTTTGTTGTTGAAGCACCATCCTTTATAGTACCTTATGTATACGAAAAACCACCTCTACATCCATTAAAAGACTTTGTCGCCAAATTACTGAAAAGTCTTGAGGAAAAAGAAAAAGAGGATAAGGTAAAAAGAACTACTGATGAAAAGGATAATGAAGAAAATAAAGACGATTTGTTGGATACAACTAAAAAAAGCAGTGAAAAGTTGGAAGACAGTGAAAGTGAGGGGAGAAGTAGCAAGAAAATCGAAGATGGAGATAGAGTCGGTGATACTTCGATAGAATTAATTGAACATGGATATAATAGTATAAGTGACAAGCAAGAGCTAAGGCAAGATGACAGAAATAAGATCCCGACATACTTCGATCTGCCATTGGGAAAGTTTTTCATGCAAATCGGAATGAATCTTGTTCAAGAATATGTACAAACTGATCTCTTACGGACTCAAAAGCGTAAGCAAGGCAAAGGTAGCACATCAGCCGAGACTCAATTAGCTATAAATTCACTTATCAAGAATCTAGAATTTAGTAAAGAAAATAATGAACCATTCCATTTAGAGATGAAGAAATGTGAGTTCTGTAGTTTTAAAACAGAATCGACATTAGTCATGCAGCATCATCTAGAAACTCCACATATGCGCAATTATGTTTACAAATGTAACTTTTGTCCAATGGAAGTTCGCAGTCCTCACGATATTCTTTATCACATGGAAGCGGAGCATAATACTCGTGGTAGATTGGAACGCGGTCCAGCTTTCCATCAGTGTCCAAACTGTCCGTTTGAGGACAATCAGAAGGGCAAATTGACACGGCACATTCTCGCTTGCACGAAAAAATTCAGACCGGAAAGAAACTTGGAGCCTGCTGTAGATTGGGAACCACCGGCCAAAATACCGAGATTAAATCGTGCGCGACCCGTCGGTCCGACTAATCCAAATGCGCTCGCTGCAATGGCAATGAGCGCTAAAACTGGCCCACAACCGTTGCTACCAAAATTACTGCCGGCACCGATCACTGGTCGTGGAAGAGGACGACCGCCGAGATATCCCGACATGAAAACGTTGCGACCAGGTGCTACTCCAATGCGACAAGGTAAATTTTTATAAAATATCATACAAATGTTTATACATATATGTATAAACACAATAATCTTTTCACAGAGAAGTTTCTACGAATCGTACACATATAACAGATTTTTAATCAACATATATTGATGCAAGTTGCGTATTTCAGACAATGTTGCAGGAATGATGTATCGTCCTTCAGCTTCTGGTTTATTGGTACCGACACCATACCAATTCGGAAACCAAATATTCCAGGTAAAAATAGCACTTTATATCGTACTGCATTTTATTGTATGTACAGACAAACACTAATGATTAGTTTTAATAATAAATCACAAACATTTTATAATAATACAAAATAAGAATGCATAAAAAATTAAAAACTCGTAAAACGTACTTTATAAAAAGTAAAAGAAAAGAGAGTATATTAACAAACAAAAAAACTTATTTTAAGTGTCGCAAATCAACGAGTTTTTACTTTAATATATAATAGATCATGTTTCACATGTTACAAATATATAATATTTTTAGAAAAAAAATATACACACATGCATTTTACACAATTAGATATTATGTCTTATAAGTTATCATTTTATAGCTAATTATATAGCTAATATCTCTTTGTTAAAATTATGCGCTTTTTAACATAAAAAAGGGCAATGAAAATTGTGACAAGTCATGCCCTTTCTCAAATTTGAGAGAGCTATTGCATAAAAAGTTCCATGGTTATGTGTGCGCATGTTCGAAATACACATAAATATATAAAAAAATATATATATATATATTCTGTTATTAACTAAAATTTTATTTACACACTATATATTGCGCTAGAATATAATACTTTTATCCTGTTAAACTTTCTATTTAAATATATGCATGATGTTATTTTATTTTTGTAAACTGATATTTATGCAACAATTTTTGTCGAAATGTAGGCAGGACATATAATAGGACAAATTATGCTAAAGTATACTTGTTAAGCGAAAATCACAACCAAAACGTGGAAAAGTTTTAAATATACATATCAAATTTAGTCTCTTGAATAATAATGTTTGCGAATGTATACACACATTCACAAACTACACACTTTAAATAGATTATTATAAAAACCTCAAGAACTAGTAAAAAGAATATATGGGTGGTGGCAGGTGGTGGGTGGCTCTGGGACTGTCATGTCGGCTGTCTCGGGAGTGAGTAGCAGTAGCGGCGGCAGTTCCGGTCAACCCACACCAATTTCACTTGTACCCAACGTAATCGACTCTCTGTCTAGGTTGTCCTCATCACAGGTAAATAAATATTGGAAAATAACCAGAGAGAGTAACTGATTTTGAGGTAGTTATGAAATTGCATGAATACTACAAATTGTGTTTTGCGAAGAGAACAAGTTAACATATTCTCTCTAAAGCTGATATATTATAATTGAATAAAGTTTGCTTGAAAATCTTAACACCACGCGCAATGTGACATACTTTTCCACATATTTAATTTTACACAAGTCATCTTTTTCTATACGATTCATGGTACATTGCACATGTAATATTAATAAAAATATACATTTTGCCACTATTTATTTTACACAATTCAATATACATGTACAGGAATAGATAATCAAGCTTTAAATTCCCATCAACCAGCACGTACATAATTTTGTTAATAGAGATATACTCGGTATTTATATCAATAAAATATATATCGGTATATTCGTATTAATCTTTAAAAAGAAATAAATTATAGTTGCATTATAATCCTAAAAAAAAAAAAGATTTAAGTCAGTAATTTTGGAAATGACAACGTATCATTCATTTAACAAATCCATATTGTCGTACTCTGCAGAAAACAAAATCATGATACAATGAAAATCCATTGCGTTCACGTATTACACGCATACACGTACATTTTGATGAAAACAAAACAGCCTAACAAAAATAGATACAAGTTTGATATAAGACGCAAATTTTAGGTGGATAATACTAATAAGACTTATTTGTAAAAACTGAGTTATAAGATTAACATATTGATGCGTTTGCATATTTGCCTCATATATTTGAATATTATATCCTAACCTAACCTAATATATGTTATATGTGTAATATTTTTTCAGAATACTACAGCCACTCCCAAAAATCCCACGGCAAAATTATTAAGTCAGCCGAGTATATCGATTACTCCATTACCACGTACAACATCACAAACTTCCGTTCCGGGATCAGGTACTTCTTCAAAGTCCGGAGGGAAAAATACGTTTGTTATATGTGAAATTTGTGATGGATATATTAAGGTATGATTTGCATAATTTGCAATTCTAAATACTAAACAAACAAAAAAATTAGTATTATATTAAATTATGCCTAATAAATTACTAAACGAAAATATGTCAACTTCTCAGAATATTTCACTAAATGTTTTGTTGTATATATTTAAGGATCTGGAGCAATTACGAAATCATATGCAGTGGATCCATAAAGTAAAAATACATCCAAAGATGATTTACAACAGACCTCCTTTGAACTGCCAGAAATGCCAATTCCGATTTTTCACAGATCAGGTAAAGCACATCTGATCAGATTATTTAATAAAAAAAACCTTACTAAATAAAATCCATCTAAGCTTTATAATTTATTTGATTATTACGGATAGATTTATAAAATTTGTGCATAAAGTTGCAAATTTAATGATATAACATCTTTTCTAGGGATTGGAAAGACATCTATTAGGATCTCACGGACTTGTTACGTCTAGTATGCAAGAAGCAGCAAATAAAGGGAAAGATGCAGGTCGTTGTCCCGCTTGCGGCAGGGTGAGTTAATTTTTTTCTACACAAGTTAATTGTTAACAAAAAGTACGAACACAACAAACGTCACATTTGTTAAAAACCGGATGTTGATAATTTTTAGGTGTATCAATGGAAATTATTAAACCATGTCGCACGAGATCATGGAATGACTTTAAAACCAGCACATCTATCCTATAAGTGTACAGTTTGCACTGCCACATTCGGAATGTACAAGCAGTTCGAGAATCACGTATACTCAGCGCATAGTGTTGTAGCAAAGAGAATAGATAAGAAGAACGCGCCTGCGTCTCCGTCGTCAAGATCGAACGATTCGCTTTTGAAACCGTTGAAAATTAACGACGAGATCACAATTATTCCGCAACCGGCAAAACCCACAACCAGGTCCGGCGCGACTCAAAGCAGGGGAAAATAGCAATGATGAGCTTGAGTGATATTTGTGTCTTGTCCGATCAAATTTCGCATAACTTTTTGTGGTACGCCATGCCGATCGCCGGAATACGGCGATCAATGTGCCGTGTACATGTGTATGTATCATGCGTAAGAAGTGAATTTACGACACATAAAAAAAAAAAGAAAAAAAAAACAAAAGAAAAATGAAAAATCAACCACTCTCTTCAACGGCAGAAAATCTAGTTGACTGCGCAATATAATATTCCATCACTGAGTATACCGATATATATTTATTTAAGAATTTTTATTGTTATTATCGGACCTACATAAAATAGACTATAAAAATATTAAAGGGTGGCCTTCAGTCTGACTCCTTGGTTTAACTCCTAGAGCTGCATATTCCTGACCTATAAACGCCTATGTGTAACGCGTGGACTTTCTCTCTCTCTCTCTCTCTCTTTCTCTCTCTCTCTCGCGTGAAATACTGTGTAATTTCTATTCGATGTGACGACGCGTTCGCGACACGTTATGTGCAGTGCAGATCACACTCTTGCATAGCGAATTCTCTATAAATGTGTGTGTAAATTCTTTTTCTAAGATAAATATATTCGAATTTATTCTATTTTGTTATTAAACGACTTCGCGACGGTGAAAAAGATTTTGGATTGTTCTCAATCTCTTCGATTTGAGAGCGTATAATAAAAAAAAAAAAAAACGTCAGATATATTTGCGAAGCGATTTTTGAATGATATACGATGCGATAAGTTGTGCTAATTGACCAGAGTGCCCTCGATTGTGTCACGAATTCAGAGTATGCAGGTACTAAACAAGAGCTATGTATCTAGCTACCGTTGTGTGGTTTTATTCGGCTCGAATACATACTGTATAATCGGACATATACTTTTTACTTTGCCATCATATAAATTTTTTTTTTTTTTTTTTTTTAAATTAACATTTAGTGAAATTATCATCTTATTTATATAATATTTCATTATATTTCCACTGTGTGTGTACGATTCATGCGCTGTAACATAAATTTTTTGGTTTTTTAATGATCGAAATTTCTAAATTCTATTGTACCTATATATATATATATATATATATATATATACCGATGTATAAGTTTGGAATCTTTTTAGTTGAGGTATACTGTTAATAAAAAACAAAACTATCCAGTTTTATTTTCTGCGCTCTTATAAGGACTACAAAAGTGTACATTAACATAGGACATAATATAAAGAAATATATCAATAAAATAGGATGGCACACACCAGTGTATACATTTTTTCTGATAAAGGATAAACGTGAGCATTGATCTTGTTAGCACACAACACGACGTACATCTAAACGTTTATGTATGTATATATATAATATAAACATTCAACGATATTATATATATAAATATGTAAAATTTATAATAGAGTATAGCAATAGTGTAACACAAGAAGATATATTTCACGTTCTTCTTGTGTACACTTCGAAAAAAAAAAACGAGTATAAGATTACATTAATATGTAGATAGTCATTAAAAGGAAAAAAAAATAACGGGTTTAATTTAGTAATTTCAATTTGCCCCGGATAATTTTTGTACGTTATTGTAGGATATATAATTTTAGAGAGAAAAACCGTGAAAAAAAAAACTACGATAGTGCGTTTTTGCACTTGTACGGCTGTATTATTTAATTCTGCTACCTTGCCAAACGCTTAAAGGCAAGTCATGTTGGTAAAATTAAGAAACAGACATAATTACAGAAACATATAGTTTATTGTAATAATTTGTACAATATTATATGATTATAAAAATAAAGCGCGCGTACCAACATATTGAGCATATAAACTTCTTCTTGTAGTACGCATTATCCTTCGAAAAAAAAAAAAATATATAATTCAGAAAAAAAGTTGACAGAATTCAGCTTGGGCGAGAAAAGTAAACGCTTTCCACTTGTTTCGAAGCTTACATATCTACATCATATTACGAGATATGCACACACACACACACACACACGTTAAAATTTATACATATATATATATAAAACTGTAACTAATATATTTATAATTTATATGTTAAGTTGTAACATGATATAAAGACAAAAAAGTAAACTCTTTTGTATTACTTTCAAGCAAAAGTATGTATATGAAATAGATAACGCGTTTTTTACTCTGTTAAATACATCTAGAAAACTATTTTCCTAAGTTATGTAAGAAATTCTCGAACGTGTAAAACTTTTTCTCTATATACGATTATTTAAAATATGTGTTATTATAATAAAACAATATTTAATGTTAATTGCTAGATGTATTTTGTCACATACACTTGTATTTACAGAGCTTTTGGTTGCTTTTGAAAAAAAAAATGAGTCACACAGAGTTATATTCTCGTAAAATGATATATTTTTTTTATCATATACACATATAAATTCATAATAAATTTAATACTCAAAATGGAAGTCGAAGTATGATTGATCAAAATTGTTGATACGCATATATCCGTCTTCTCCGCCAGTTGAGTAACTGCGGCCATTAGGATGAAAAGCGAGAGAATTAATAGGACCGAAATGGCCTTTCAGACGTGCGAATTCTTCTTCGAATACTAAATGAAAGAATCGCGAATCGAATTTTCCTTGCCTAGCAGATGTCGTGGTGACATCCATGGCATCCTGACCTCCACCCAAAACAACCTGGAGAAAAATATTCGTTCAGAAATGATATATAAATTTTTTTTGATTGTTTGAATATCTAAGCATAGAATTACGAATGACGAACAAGAAAAAAATTTTTAGTAAATCTTACGTGATCAAAAATTGGTGATATTGTAGCAGAGTTTACAGGTCTTTCTGTTTTGTACGTTTTTAACAACATCAAAGATTCGCTGTCAAAAAGTTTAGCTGTGTGATCCTTGGATGCAGTTACAAACATGGTGCCATCTTTGTTAAACTGCATGTCATTTATCTGAGACTTGTGACCTTTAGTACTAGACAATTTTTTCCCGGTCTGTAAGAACAGAAACATACGTATTGTTAATTCGTTCTCTCACAATATTTATCATTAATAAAAACAATACTTGCCCCCACATCCCATAGCTTGATTTCGCCATCCTCATGGCCTGTGATGATAGTCTCATCTAGAGCACCCCACAATACAGAAGAAATTCTAGGTCCATTAACAGAAATTCTAGCGATTGCATCTTCTTGCGACATTGTGGATGCAACATTTCTTACATCCATAATAAACATTTCGCATTGATGACCTAAGGCTTTATCAGTGGAGTATACAGCAAGATTTGCTGAATAACTAAAACCACACGTCCTCACAGAACTGTTTGTATGTAATAGACCTATTTCTTTTCCTAAGTAAAATTATATAAAGAAGTGATTATATACCGCATATGATGTATAAATTATATCAGCATCTCATTTTGCAACTTTCTTATATACCAACCAGTCATGCAGTCCCATACTCTCAATGTGTTATCACCACTACCAGACAATAATTTTGTGGTATCCCAATTGACATCGATACACCATACCGAGCCATTATGGCCATTGAAAGTCCCAAGACGTTCTCCATTCAGAGAGTACCATACATTGGGCTGTTTGTCTTTACTGGCAGAAAACAACAAATCTCCTTCTCTGTTGTATTTTATCTTAGTGATAGCACGTTCGTGCCCATGTAACATCAAAGGTTTCTAAAATAACAGTTAAAATTTGAAAAACATTGTGTCTGAACAGACATTTACTTATTATCAGAATAGACTTTTGCACAACACATTGCATGCGTAAAAGAATCAATGAGTTCTTTGTTTTTCTCTCTAAGCTGTCACACGTCTTTTAATTAAATATAAGAACGCTTTAGAATAGGGAACCTACAGTATTTGGTAAAAAGTGGACTCCGAATAATATTCGAAAAAAAGCATTTACAGGTTAGACTGTCACACGGTAAGCAGGTTTTAACGATACAAATACAAATACAAATTTTTTACAGCAAGAAAATAACAACACGCATTAATCAATGCACAAATAAAACGAACTAACCATTTCACGGTGTTTCTCTTAACAACAAATTCTTCATAAAATGACAAAACTTTTACGTATACTGTTTTTTTATACAAATCACATGGAACACCTCACGCTTCGAAAGAGATCGTGGAATCGAGATAAAACATGCGCAAAATGGCGGCGCTTGAAATTTCCAACCAATCCGATTTTATCCACGTGGTAACGCGAATATTTTAAATGTTGTACATAGTTGCCAATGTGCATCACTCATGGACATTGCTGGCTTAAAGGACGAAAAAGCGATTACACATTCTCTCATGGGTCTGGTCGCTCTCAGTCTTCTCTCTTTGGCTTCACTTTACATTTTTTACACATCATAATAATTTTAATCCTATGGCGTAAAGTCCGTATCACACTACAATCGCTATTTGACCAATCAGAGCCAAGTTCACTAAACTTGAAATTAGTTTTCTTTATTCTGATTAGGTGAATTCGCATATCCAATCTCAATCTTTTACGTTAATCTTTGATACGAGCTTAAAGTCTATGGGCATAAAAACTTAAGTGATTGCAGAGTTGCGACGTAACCTGATAGATTTCGCGCCAATTTCGTGTCGTCTCTGTTTGCGTTTCAATTTTTGTTTACTCGGGAGCAAAATCATATTTTTTGTCGAACATTGTTGTGTCAAGCGATATACTTTTAGAGAACGGAGAAGAGTTTATATATAAGAGTTTATATTTAAAAAAAACGTAAAGTTTCAAGTTGTAATTGTCTGATAAACACAAAACGTCAAAATGAGCGAAGTTTCAGACTTACTCGATTTATTACCTGTTTATTATTCGAGATTGTTCCCATTCAACGATTATTATAGATGGTTAAGTTACGGAAGTGGTAAGTTAAAAATTTTCAAGTAAGCAAACACACATTTGTACTCATTTACTGTGTATAGATGTATGCAGAAATATATATTCGTGATATAGCTGTGTAATAATTTTATTTATATTTTTTAGCTGCCACCTTTAGCAGAAGAGAGTTTTCATTTACACTGTCAGATGATATTTACATACGTTATCAATCTTTTACTGATCAGAAAGGATTGTCGGATGAAATTAAAAGGCTGCTGCCACACAAGATAGATATAGGAGCGGTTTACAATATCCAGTATATATAAGTCACATTAAATCAAGTATCATTTAGTAGATCATTTTTATGTTATAATAATTATAATAACTTTGTAATTGCACAGACCAAAGGATCAAAGAAGAGGTCCTAATTTTCAACCGGTTGAAAGAGAACTGGTGTTTGATATAGACATGACTGATTACGACGAAGTGAGAACTTGCTGCAAAGGAGCTGATATTTGTAATAAGTGTTGGAAGTTCATGTCACTTGCTTGCAAAATATTGGACGCCGCACTGAGAAGTAAAACTAATTTTCTGTTATCATATTTTATTGTCTGTAACAACACAAACAGTATCCTGGAAAATAACTAGGATTTGGATTTTGCAGATGATTTTGGATACAAGCATATATTGTGGGTATTTTCTGGCAGAAGAGGTATTCATTGTTGGGTATGTGACTCAGCTGCACGCGCTTTGTCGGCGCAAATACGTGCAGCAGTAGCTGAATATTTACAAGTTATAGGCGGAGGTGAATTCATGAAAAAGAAAGTACATCTTAACGGCGATAAGATTCACCATTCCATAAAGTAAATAAGTCTATGTAAGATTTGTATAATAGTAATCCAATAGGAACTACTGATGAGAATCTTGTTACAGACGTGCTCTTGATATAATCGATCCCGTTTTCATCGAAATGTGCGTCAAAGAACAGAATATGTTGGGCACAGAGGAAGGAATTGAAAAGTTTCTTCTCGTGTTGCCCAGTGAAGAGGACAGACAAGAAGTGAAGGTGTTGTTCAACAAGGAAACTACCAGTGAAACGAGATGGAACGCGTTCGTACAATATGTCGAATCCAAACGAACAGAGGTTGGTGTGACATAACATTTAGGTACATCATTTTATATTTAATTTATTAATTAAAACATACTCGACTCGTTCGATTTGTGCGTTTTCAGGCAGATCGGAAGTGGTACCTGTATCGTCACTTGATACAGGAAATAAAATTGCAATATTCGTATCCGAGATTGGACATAAATGTCAGCAAGGGTTTAAATCACTTGCTCAAGTCACCTTTCTGCGTTCATCCGAAAACCGGCAAGATCTGCATACCGTTTACCGCGAGCGCTGTAGACAAATTCGATCCCGACAAAGTTCCCACGATAATGACGCTGATAAACGAGATCAACGCGTACGACGTAAAGGACAAGATCGAGGAAGAAACGTACGACTTGAGCAAAAAACGAATAAAGGATTACAAGAAAACGAGTCTGAACAAGTCGCTGCACGTTTTCCAGGAATTCTTGCGACACTTGGAAGCTGAGCGACGGGAGCAGAGATTAAAAGGAAAACGTAAGTTCTCTCTCACAAGTTAATTTACCTTCTTCTTTGTGGCTGACAGTGGATGGCGATTTCCAGCAAGAGTTTTGATTTTAGTTTCAGCCGACAGTATGGAATTCTAAGAGGTTCTCTCGTGGTGAAGTGTGTGATATTGTTTTGTTTTTACATTTGATGCAACATCATGTAGATAAGAGCTTTGCTATGTGCGCAACGTATTTATAAAAATAAAACAAAAAAAAAACAGATATTTAAGTACGTGCGCGTACATGTGCTTTTTTTTTTACAGTAGTTCCGTATTTTGCCGGGTTAGTTTCTTTCTCTCTTGATATATAAATTGCTACGCGTAAGTAGGACTGTGTGACAGGAGGGCAAAAGAGCATTCCGCTTGAAATCTCTGTAGCGATCGAACAAAAATCATGACTTTCGAATTTTTCCCGCGAAACCGAGACGGTCGCTTTTAAGAGTTTGTTTTGAGGCGCGAATTAACGAGATTTCTCTTTCTCTCTCTCTCTCTCTCTCTCTCTTTGAGGCGTCTGTACTCCACTTCTTCCTCGATCAAATCGTGAGATGAGGTTCCAACGGCGGGCGCGTTGGACAAAAGTAACTCGCTCTTTCTCGCGAGTAAATCACCGTGAAATTTTTTTCGCCGGCGGTTCGTTCCCGTTAAGTCGGAGATGCACGGCTTTATGCTAATTAGTTATTATAATAAGCTGCGTTAATTGCTCTAACAGGTGCTCGGCTCTCACGGCGTATGTATTTGGCCATACCGTTTTTTAATTATACCAGACCGGAATTAGATGTCGCGTCACGTGTGGCTACGGTTATTGCGTAACGAATTTGAGAAACAAAAATGCGGAACTTTTATGTCTTCCTTCCTTTTCTCTCTTTGTCACGGAAGTGTAATCGAAAAGCGATAAATATTTGACATTGAGTTCGCGTCGCACGTAAATAACGTCTTCAATTCACGTTGGTAAATTTTCCACATGGAAAAAAATTTGCCAAGCCTATTAGAACTTTTGGTTTTTTTGCCAAAATATTTTTTGTTGATGGAACAAAATATTCAATAGAGTCAACAATTTGTTTTGTTTTAGCAAAATTTTTCAGGAAAATAATAAATTGATCGATCAATGATATCAACGGTGCTTTACGTGTGTTTTTTTATTTTTGGAAGTTGCAATTAGGCGAGAGGAAAGCTCGAACTATGTTCAGTGAGCCGACCAACTAATCATCTTCCTTCGTCCGATTAACGCGGTCTTGTTTCTTTTTGAAATGTGTTCGGCGAGAAATGAATGCGCGTGACACAGACGCTCGCTGCAACAGAACACAAAGTGATTAACCTTCATGATGATGTTTGAGATAATTCGAGATATTTACAAGCGCGTATGCGTGCAAGAGAAAAACGCGTGCGTGATCGTCGATTTTGAAATTGCATTTTGCAACGCCGGACTGCATTTCCGTAACGCGGAACGTTTAAATGTTCTAACGCACACGAACAAAGTTCGCGATTTATGTTCGTCGGGATATCGATTCGGAAAAATTTGACGAGGCGATTCAATCCGGTAATTTGCGGAACGAATTTGCGAATTGAAAATAAGCGACTCTCATTTAACGGTATCAATAGCCGCACTATTTTGATAGAAAGTGAACATAAAAAAAATCTGACCTATATATGTTATACGCGCGCGAGTGTGTGTGTGTGTGTGTGCGTGACGGACGTCGTCCGACGGACACGAACATCGCGCGGCAAAAAGAGCGTGCGTGCAAAATTTAATCCGTCTGCGCAAATAATATCCGTGTGCGCTTGTAAAATCTTAGATTACATAATTACGGTCATTGCACGGTGAATAATAAGAGCAGCACCGTGTGGTGTTATTGCAACTTGTACGTTTTTTTTTTTATCGTGATAAGTACTTTTTCTCGGAAATTATTTAACAGCTGTTCGTCTTGTCGTCTAAAAAAAGCTACGATTTTTTCCGCATCTTGTGATCGGATCGATTGATTATTATCATCACTCTTTATTTTATATGTCCACGAGATATTTTTTAATTCTTCCGCGTCGCAGAAAAAAATCTAGTTTACGCAGCAAACACGCGCGCGCGAAACTTAATTCCCAAACCGGAAACGCGAAGAAGAAACGCGTCTATTTTCTGAAATGAAATAACATCAATGTTTTTTTTTTTTCTTTCTTTTTATCGTACATGCTTTCTCTCGCTAATGACAGGCAATGAAATCGTAATGGATTTTCATGTGCCATTTCTTTCGCGTGTTTCTGCGTTTGATGAGCATTTGATGCGATATTACTCCGCGTAATCGACGCCACGTGGAGCTGAAGTTTCCAGCGTTTTTTTTCGTAAAAAGTCGGTAGCGGAGCTGAAAAATTCAAGCGACCAGTTTCTATTACTTCTGCAGCAAGTTGGAGATGTATTTCTTTGAACAAAAAAATTTCACTCACATGTATTCATCGCGAAACGAGAAATAATATCCTTCGAAGGCGCGTTGTTCTCTCGCCGTGTTAAATCTTGAACGGGAGAACAACAGGAAGAGAGGAGGAGAAACGTAACAATCGATGGCAAAAGAAATCTGCCGGTGCGGGGGGAAGGAAAGAAGCACTCGGATAATTCGATTATTCCGGGTATTCGGAAGACGATTTCCGCGCGGTTTCCGCGACCATCTGTGTCTTCGATGCCACGAATACCCGTGATCGTCGCACAACACGACGCGGCGAACCGCACAGCAGGCGCGACACGTGTCGAATAAATACAAATAACATCACGCTATCTCGAGTTTCACGCGAGAAACCGAGTCACTCCGGCTTTTCCCAGTAACTACAGCGGACTAGATTTTTCCCCAGATCTAGGATAGGTATGTAACGCAATTTGCCGCCGGTGATCACGTCGTTTGATACACGTCGAAAGCTGTTACAAGAGCAAGAACGTCGTCGTTGCGTGCGAGAGAAACGTATAATCCGAGCGGACGTTAATTTTTTGAACGGCTGAGTGGAGCGCGCGTGTGACTTAAAACGTGACTCTCGAGGGAATGACAAATCCCCACGTCGCACTGATTGCAGATTGTCATGTGCGCGAGAAGCGATTGATGGCTCGTCGATCAATCGCGCAGCAAACGAGATTGAAAGACGATTCGCGCGAGTCTTCCTCGACGACGTTGTCGCCTCCGCGGCACGCGGAAACATTGCGAGGATCATTATTTTACAAGATTGATTGATTTTCATTATTTTGCCCCCCCTCCCCCCCCGTCAATCCTCGCGTGGAATTAGAAATCTCGCGCGCACAACAACGGATCGATGCGCGCCGATATAATTTAGAGCGCGATAATTTCTGAACTAGAAATCTCTCTGTTTCACAACCTCCTCCAGAAGATTAGATTTCGTTTCTGATAAACGCTCGATTTCTCCCGCGGAAATGCCGTTTCGGGAAAATCTCGCGAGACGCGACTTGCGATTCTCGAAAACGATTCCAACGCTGCCAATCATCGTTCGTCAATCCTTTCCTCTCGGATGGCAGCTCGGGATTTACGTCTCTCTTCCATCGTTCTTCGCGCGCGCGCTTGCAACCTTCGTCGAAGGGGTTTAACGAACTCTTCTCTCTCTCTCTCTTTCTCTCTCTATACTTCGATTCGTTCGAGCTATCGTATATTCTCGACGAAAATCTCACGCGGAAGAATTATATTCCGCCGCAGACTCGTAAAACTCTTTACGACTTAATTCTGCTTTTTTTTTACAATGAGAAACTCGCGATTACCTCGAGATCGACATCGCGCGAAGACGGTCCTTGTTTCGCGCACAATGTACACGCGTGTGTTCCCGAACCTTAAGAGAGAAAATTATTACGCGTGTAATAATTTTCGAATTTCGCAATATAATTCGAACGTTTTCTACAAACGCGCTCGATTCGAAACACATATATTGCGTCAAAAAAATGACGAAGCGAGCAAATATGAAACTCGTGAAGAGCAAAGCAAAGTGTCGAACCTCCGCCTCGTCTCTTTTCAAGTATTTCGTAATTCGTTTGCTCACTTGCCAGTAGATTTTGTGTTCCTTCTAGTAAAGAAAAAAATCCTCTTTTTGCAATAAAATAAATAAATATGTTTTCTACAATAAAAAGCAATAATCTGTAATACAAACAGTTATTGTGCCATTTGTGTAATGATAAAACGAGAGACGAGCGGCAGCTATTAATAGCGTTTCGTGCCGCATATCGTGAGGCAGATTGCGCGCGTATACGGTAGCGGCATCCATTGATACAGCGAGAGTGCGGAGAAAGTCGGTGGCGGAATCAACGAGCTTCACGAGGTAGACACAATATCACGAACATACACCACGATGATCAATCACGAAAAGAAAATTAGTTCGATCGAACTAACAAATTGACGGTTGAGAGGATACGTACCGAGCGTGACGAGGTGCGCGATGACGAATAAAAATTATAGCGTATAATTGAAGGTATATCGAAATCGCGCGGGCTCGCGCGAAGGGAAGAGGAAAAAAAAAGGAGGTACACGGACGTGAAAACGGAGGACTCCCTTGTGATATTTCGACGAGAGAGAGAGAGAGAGAGATAAGTCGCAAGTAGATCGCGGATTCAAAAATTTTGTCTGTCAATGAAGCGATCGGAAAGCAAAGCGTGTCTAAGTGCGAAATAATATACGTGCGAATTAATTTTGTTAAATTCAAAATGTCGACCCTGACCAAGATGCTTTTTTTTTTCTTCAAATTACAATTTTCACAAGAAGGTAAAGAAGTTGTTGTTTCTACATACGAGACGCGCAAATCAAGAGCATTCGATACAGATTGTCCGATTAAATCTAATTCGAATTCCAACGTAAGGTAATTTATACACTTTTAAAAATATTTCGCACTAGCGTTCTCACCTTGTTATTTTATCCTAAGATAAATGTCCCAATAGCCGAACATTTGTTAGAGAAGTAATTGTTACATGTATAAATATTTTAATTATTAGCTTCTTCTAATTTTACATATAAAAAATATAAAATTATATAAAATCTTGTACAAATTTTATTGTTATAATGATTTTTTAAATAAAAGTTCGGCCAGTGTGTGACCGGTCATTTTGGAACATTTGCCTCAGTTGAAGTACTAAGAGAATCGTGTAACAATTTGTACGGTATTTTTTATTTATTTTCATTCTGTTCGGGAAATTATGTTGCGAAAAAAAGAAGTTGCGTGGAATGAAACTCTTCGTCGAAATGTAAAAGCGAAAATTCGAAATGAAGACCCGGCATCTCTTCGGCAACTCTTTGTGCTTAGACTTGTAACGATATCGTTTGCGGGCGAGCAAGAGCAAAAGTGTCATGAAGAGTGAAGATGAAGCGGCAACAAGAGTGAAGCTCTCTCGAAGGAGGTGCGAACGAACGAAAGTGTGCCGTCTGTATACGTAGTCTTGTTCTTTAGAGGGGGATATAGTTCTTCAGACGCCAAGAAGAGCACGAAGAGACCCATGCCCGTCGAGGTACACGTCGTTTCCACACAGTGGGGGCAGCGACATAAGTACAAGACGGTCTTAAGAAAAGCCTTCATTCTGATAGCAGATCGCAATCGTACGAAGTCGGTGAATTTGTGCGAGAGAATACGAAACACTTCGATCCGGAGTCGCGAAGCAACCGAAAGACGCGAAGAGGCGACACGACTTTTGCGGCGGGGGGTTGAAATCGCAATCCTCCCAAAGAGAGAAGGAAGAATCGTCCTATTTACGAGACGAAAGAAGAAACACTCGCAGGGGGAGACCGACGTATCAGATTCGCAGACAGACGCGGTAAGTAAATTGCGCGTATTGCAAATGATTGCGTTTTTTTTTCTAAAAACGCACGATTATGACACGTAATTGCATATAATTGTGGCTAATTGCGCGGAGATTCTGCGGAATTCTGTGATTACGCAGACCTGGATCGAACAAGAAAAAAATTCACTACGTGACTACCGCACGCGATAGAAAACACCACGCCGATTTAAAAATAAAAAAAAAATAACGTTACGAGAAGTAGATATGTTTAACGATTTGATCGCTGATTCGATAGTTAAGTCGTTGAATAAAATATGTATTTTCATTGATTGCACGTGCGATTTTAATTTCAGTCCGTATAGCGAAGGGGTCGGATTTCGTCAGCGTGCCACCTGCGCGCGACTTCTGTCCGGCGCGATCGATTTTTATGGATCGCGAGCGCGAGATCGCGAACGGAATCACGTTCGACCTTCCGCGAGTGATCGAACGTCGATCACGATTCCTATCGCCGTTCTATCGATTGATATTCTCGTAATGTTTGATCCGAAACGGCTAGGGAGCGAGCATGGGAAAAGCGCTAGGAATGCTTTCGTCCTGGCCAGACGATCGATATCTTTCGCGTCGCGCTCGTGAATGATAATAAGATACCGCTTTTCTTCTATTATCTTCGTTCCGCTGTCACTTTTCACGTACGTCGATCTCACTGGATCTCTTTTTAAAATCGAGTAGCTGTTATTAACTGAGCGATATATATTTATTTATATTTGTATATTAATTTATTATTTTATTATGTGAATCAATTTTTATCGAAATCGATTTTGAAAAAAAAACACGCAATAGTTACTTTGATCAATTATCGCGATCAATTAATTACAACGCGGAGATTTTGTTGCCATCCGATTTTCTTTTTGCATTCGACGCTGCAGGTCGACGATTCCGTTCGCTTAAATTTCTTTTCGTCGTTTCAACACGCAACGTGACTGATTTGTCGATTGACAAACTGACCGACTGACAAAATTGTCTCAAATTCTACTTTTTGCGAACAACGGACTCATACGTGAGATGTGTTTCATTCACTTTGCGCGCTTCCAAAAATTCTTACCGAATTATATTCTTCTCGCGGCGTTTTTTTCTTTTGTAGCGTCCCACTCCTCGTGTAAAAGTCGCTCGATTCTATTTGCGGTTTCTCGTCGATCGTGAGGTGGATCCGAAACACCCGCTTGTGTGTACGATTTTCGCATTCGCTAGTAGTCCGACGATGCGACAAACGACCGAGATTCGGACTCGGAGGGTTTCTACCCCCCTTTCGCGAATAAATGAGGCTTTTCAGGAGCTTTCAAGTTTCGTCACCTGCACACGATCGTAGAATTTTTTTTTTTAATTGAATTAAATTGAATTAAACGACGTGTTTGTTTGAGAATACGCGCGTTGCAGCAATTTTTAAACTCGCTTGGCCGATTGGATTTTGCGGTCTCGGCGTCAGACGCGTCTTCAAATTGCTTTTTACAATCAAGTCGCACGGTTACGTCCCGATAAACTGCGACGCGATCCAAAAAAAAAAAAAAAAAAANATTAAACGACGTGTTTGTTTGAGAATACGCGCGTTGCAGCAATTTTTAAACTCGCTTGGCCGATTGGATTTTGCGGTCTCGGCGTCAGACGCGTCAACAAATTGCTTTTTCCAAACAAGTCGCACGATTATATAACCTTAAAGGAAAAAAAAAAATAAAAAAAAAAAAAAAAAAATGAAAGAAAAAAAAATACATACACCGAGAGGTTTGAGGAAATTACGGCTGTTAGTATCAAAGTAGCGTGCGCTATTAATATCAGAAGCGAAAGACTCAACTGACGACAGGAAAGAGCGCGCGTTTCATTCGTTTAATTCGTTTTACTGCGATTTTTACGATCATTCCCGCGATGATGACACGATCATTAGTTAATCACCGCACCAAAAAAATTATATTCTCGTAAGTAGAAGATTTTATACTTAAAAAATCTTCTTAAAGATTTTAGATGATATTCTTCTGAAATTAAAAATATATTCTTTATTTAAGAATATATTCTTAATTTAAGAATATAGTCTTTTTTGATAGTGAGATATATATATGTTAACATACAAAGATGTTTTTTCGGGTTTGAACCGCGTTAGTGTCATTTTTATACCGACGTTTCGTGAACATTACAGCTCACTTCATCAGGGTTTGAAGAACAGCCTGATACTGTATCAGCCTGATACTGTATCAGCCTGATAATGAAAATGACACTAACGCGGTTCAAACCCGAAAAAACATCTTTGTATGTTAATACTACACACCGCGAAAGCATCAAATATCAAATATATATATGTTTTTCTATAGAGGCTTTTTATATTCTAATCAGTATATATTCTTATCAATATTACTATTTAGAGGATTTTTTCTTAAAATAAGAAACTCTTCTTGGCGTCTATTTTAGTATAAAATATACTTAAAGTAAGTGGGATATCCTCAAAACAAGAATACAATTTTTTCGGTGCGGAGTTGTTGTACACAGCAACAAGTAATTTGCAACGTGCAATTAACTCGCGTAAAAAATATATATATCTCGCGCGCGCGCGCGCGCGTAAGTTCTTCGATTTTTCTTTTTCCTAAAAATCTGCTGAACAACAACATTCGCACAAAAACGTTTCATCGAGGCTAATCGATTCGTTTATAAAACTATACCGTTGCTTTGCGCCATTAATGTTTTGCGCGCGCGTCCTTAACAAGTAATAAATGCAGTTTATTTCCGCAGGAATCGTGACGGACACGTTCGCGGACGAGACGGATTTGAAAAGTTTTTTTTTTTTTTTCTCATCGCCGCGCGATAATTAACGCGCGATATCAAACGGCGTTCGCACGTTTCGACGCCACACTCTACTCCACAAACGGCGATGATTGATCTCCGCGCGAAACCAAGTAGATTTTCTACTTGAAAGATGTGAAAATTTTCGACGCAAAACAGACGAACGAAAGCGCGTTGTCGCTTCATGCTGGAGTTGTAGTTCCGCACTAAATCGGATAATTCGCTCGCGTCGAACGCGCTTTTGTTTCTTCTCGGTTTCGAGAAAGTTAGAAAACGCGAGCCGAATCCGATCCGATCTAAAGGACTGAGGACTTTTCCCTCTTTCGGTAAAAAAAAAAAAAAAAATAAAAAAATAAAAACAACAACAAAATCCTAATGCGATTTGCAGATATCGCGGATATTCGCCTGAATACCGCGACGACGAAGTGTAAAAGCGCAATTGACGATACGAGCGACCACTTGGGTGCGCGAAACACTGTATACACGGCAAAATAATGTTTGCATCTGAAATCTTAAGTGGAATCGCTTAAGTGCGACGATAATGGAGGAAACGATTATCGCGATTTGTTCGCGATATGCCTATTTGGCTCGGACAAAACAAAAAGTTGGGCACTCCTATGTATGGACTCATAGAAGTATCTTGGGTCAGTGTCTCTAACGGTCTCGATCGAGCAACTTCGATGGCGCTATTGTATCTCTCGAAATAATTTGTGCGCGCGCGGCGCAAGACTCGACTTCTCCGAGAGTTGGAAAAAAAAGTGTATTTGGGATCTTCTCGACGGAGAGAGGGGAAGGATCACGGTATGCCTCTTCTTTTTCTTATTACATATCGTGGAATTACTTGAAGGCCTTTAAGCTGCTAAATTCTGAAATTAACAATCGGGTACTGTTAAACGCTCGCTCGCTCGCGCGCGCAAACGGACAATCGGCATTCCTCAAATCGGGATTCCTGTGATCCGCGGTAACGGCGCGGTGAACGGCGGCGCAACTCGCTCGCACGATTGTAATCTCGGAGAGGAAGCACCTGTGCAGCTCTCCGACGAAGTCCTTCGTCGCCTCTGTCGGCGCAATTATGAGAGAACCTTGTAAAGTCGCTCATTAGTCACGTGCGACTCGAAGAGCGATCCTAAATAGGCGATATCCTTCGTTTTTCCACCGCACGCCGTTCGGCGTAGAGTCAACGTGCGGAATCGCGCTCGATAACGCGCGCGCGCGCGCGCGCACAAAAAGCAACGTTTTCTCTTTGTTAAAGTTTTTTTTTTTTTTCTAAAAAAGAAAAAAAAGTTCTCAGAATGAAATAAAATGTTGCGTCACAAAAAAGAGATATTTCTGTATAAAATCCTTTTCTTGCGTCGAAAATTTGTCGCGGTGTGAGATCAATTTTCAAGTGGAAAATCTCGTTTGGTGAAATAAATATCCAATAAAAAAAAAAAATGTACACGGTATGTATATAGGTTTCTCATTTTCTCTTATCGGATCTTATCGCATCAGAGCTATCAAGAAAAATTTCAATCGATTAATTACTGTTATACGCCTCGATTAGACAAATTGCTAACATAGTCGAGTGTTTCGATTTTCAAGTATTTTGCACGATTAATTCGCGAAGGACGCGCGATATCTTCGCGTGAGAAGTCAGCTCTCCGGAAAGATCGCGGCGCATTAACGGGGAGGAGGGAATGCGTCTTGCGGGATATGCGATATTGAGAATTTCGTTAAATAAAGAATTTCTCAATTTGCACACAGCCGATGAATCACTTTGCTTATACGAGCTTCCGCGCCACATCCCGTGAGATTCCGCGTATGTACGTACATGTTAAAATGGTGCTGCTGAAATCAGCAGCGTAAAATTGGACGATTAAAGAAGCGGTGAAAAAGAACGAGTACGCATCTCTCTCGCGAGATTCGTCCTGTTTTTTTTTTTTTTTTTTTTCTAACCGAGTTCCGCGTCTTCGACGAGAGCGCGACACGCGTCAGTAGTGATTTATTTTATTCCGGAGACGCCGAATTCCGAGATTCTCGCCGCGCCAACCTCATCTTCGCGCGGCACAAAAAGCAAATTTTTCGATTGTCAGCGATTTTTTTTTTTCTTACAAAGTCTGTTGATAAATCGTCAGATCGATTCGCGGCGAATTATCGTTGCCATTTGTCACGCGCGCGCGTGACGTGCCGACACATCTTCAAACGCTCGAAAATTCGCGGCGTTCATTTATCTTCGGTCTGACGTTTCTTTCGTACAGCGAACGATAATAAATAAAAATAAAAAAAAAAAAAAATAGAAAAAACCAAACGAAAGAATAGACGATAGTTCGTGTGCGATTTTCATCAGACGTGTACGCGGTATCTTCCTTTGCTCAGAGACGGTGAAAAAAAAAAAAATGGCCCCGTTTCCGCTTCGCGGAGTATAGGTGCGATTAGCGTGCAATTATTCGGGTCAACAATGGGATCCCGCGACTACGTCTATTACTCGATAGCTAAGTGTTTCTCTCTTCTTCCCTCCCCCGCTTTCAGCTTCCGTCGAAATTGAAGGTTGCTCGTTTGTCGCTACGCGAAAAGGGGAAACCTGTTTCTATATCGAGAATCAAAGCGCAAGGCGCGTAATGACACGGCTTTGTAGAAAGTATGACCATTTACGACTGACGTTTGCGGAGACTGCTGTCGTACGAACGCGAACGGTAGTAATTTAGCTAATTTTGGGCGGTTACGCACGCGTTCCACGCCGGAGACATGTGTTGCGCGTGTGTATACGCTTCAATAATTATCAGATCCGTCGGAAGAAACCGGATTTTCTTTTTTTAAGTCCGCATGTGTATGTATACTTTTCTCTCTCTCTAATTAGACAACAAAAACACAATAGTCGAGATAGTAATCGAGATATTTATTAAATAAAATATTCAATAATAAAAAGTCGTGGTAACAGAGAAATAAAACAAGAGCCGTGCGAAATATTAAAATAAAATCTTGCTTATTATTCAATTGAATTGGAAGGAACCAAAAGTTCGATACTGTTTGCTAATCAAGTTAATTAGACTTTTATAAACTTGCATCAACAACCGTGTCCGGCTTGTATTGCGAATTTTTGCTCGACCCATCACACATACGTTTGATTTGAAAATAAAATATTTAATAATATTTTATCTCTCATTAATATAGTCAATAATATATTTTACAAAATATAAAATATATTACAAAATATATTTGTTAATAAAATATTCCGTTACCAAATATTTTGCTTACGTAAGGTCGTTTTACTTCTTTCTTAATCGGATAATAATAGAGTCTCGTTTCGATTATTTGTTTAAAAAATCGTAGTGTCAGAAGTAAGAAATAATTCGAGCACTTTTTCGTATCGCGTGCGACATAGATATGTCGTCTCAAAGTATATATACGATCGTACGCCACGTGAGACCGCGCGAACAGGTAATATTACAATGCCGGTGTCTCGCGCGTTACGAAATCGCGCATTATTATGCAGCGCTCATAGTGACACATACGTAACCGTGTACCGGTGCTTTTGTTTCAGAGAAGTAACGGTCCATTCGGAACGTACGACGCGTAATAAGATATGCGCGAACGCTTTGTTGGCTAAAGCAACGAAAAAATTGAAGTAGAGGTAAAGAGAGAGAGAGAGAAAAAGAGAAGGAAAAAGAAACAACACACGCGCGTGTGTTCTCATGTTTTTTAAGAGAATATTTTTTTCTCAGAGAGTAACGTTATTTGACTTTTTGTATTTAAATTCGTGGATGTAAATAAACTCCGGTCACTTTAACAGACTTGAATAACACACACGAGATATTTAATTCTCGATTATTAAGATAAACGGTTTCTTTTGATCCTATTTTAAATACGAAAAAAAAAAATAAGTGCACGTGCGTTGTGCAAACAATCAAAAATCAGCTGTAGAATATCGACCGATGATAAGCACTCACTTGTTGACAACACGGTAAGACACAACAACTTTACCTAGCAATGATAAGGACAATCAAAATCCTTCATTATCATATGTGCGTAATTTCTTGCAAAAAAAAAAAAAAAATGAATTTTGTAATAAAATAACATCTGCTGTTTTTTTAAACGTAACATTGTCAAAAAATAAAGACGCAAATAATTTATAATATATACAATTGGAACGTGTACATAAGCCCATAAACTTAATGTAAATTAATGCAAACGTATGACCATTAAGATAAATTCGCAATTGACAAACTCGTCGCTAAGAGCAAATCGGATTATGCAAATAACGAAGCAACCGGTTGGGAGAATACAACAAGAATATAATAACAGAGCTATTACTTCGCGATAAACGTCTATTGAGACGCCCTCCCCGTCAAGATATCATCGTGCGATTACGCTGACACGACAGAAAATTGCCATCTTTCAAGATCACAGCGAGAAGGTAAGACAATTCCGAGTGGAGTCCCGAGATAAAACGTGCTTGACGAAGAAATCAAGGGAACAAAAAAAAAAAAAAAAAAAGAACAACGGATATGTGCGGAAAGGATACGGATATTTGAAACGCGTCAGTCTTACTTAGATGTTTGCGGCCGCGGACAGCCGCTCTGAGAAGAGAAGGATCAACCATTGTCTCGTGTACGATTGCTCAGCGATAAACGAAGAAAAGACACACACGCGAGAGAAAGGGTCAATCCTATGTATTACCTTATTATAACCGACCTTCTGCAAGGTCCTCCTTTGCAAGCACGGCAGAACTTTGTAGCTGGAATGCGTGACTCAACAATTTTATAACCCGCTTTCAATTACCCTTCTTGATGCTCTTGTTTCGTTTGTGCCTTCGCTGCCAGAAGGAGGAGAAGGAGAAGAAGAAGAAGAAGAAGAAGAAGGAAGAAAACGCGAGGAGAGCGCGCGAGCAAAAGGCGCAAGGAGCGTCCAAATGCCGCATCGCGTTTGTCTCCTTTACCCCCTTTCTCGCCTCTCGTCCTTTTTCTCGCTCCGCTCGCAGGGGACGTGATTTATTCGACGTCAGAACGCGTACAATCGCGTGTGTATGCGCGCGCGCGCGCAACCACAAGAAGGAGGTTCGATATAATAGTGTGCGTGGCTAGACAGGAAACGCGTCTCTCTCTTCTAAGGACATCCACCCCACCGAGCGAACAATTTGTTTTGGCTCGTTTGCTCGCTCCGCTGATCTGGAGCGACGCTACGTCACTGCCGTGTATTTAATGCCGCGAAGATACGCATTTTGTAGGAAAAAAACAAAAAAATAAAGAAAATTAAGATATTAAATGCCAATACGAGCCAATGTTACGGAGTTTTATGTAATCATTTTTTTGAACTTTACTTTATTTTCTTCTTAAAGAGTGAACTTTCGATCTGGGATCTTCATCGGTAGTTCTTACAGAAATAAATTTAAAAAGATATAAAACAATTGAAACGTTGGAAATTCGAGAGATTAAGAAGATAATTGTCTTGAAAAATGAGCGTAAGAAAATTCAATTAACTATATTGATACATTAATATTTTTATTACTATACTATTTTTATGTACAATAAATATTTCATGTGTACATAAAATATAGCGAGTTTAATTTTGATTAAAAACTCGGGTTTATTAGCTACGAGAAAGTTAATTAACCAGATATTGCTAACAGCCACAAGATTCTTGCAGAATTTCTTGCGCATAAAATACATGAGTTATGGTGTCCTACGTTACGCGTATTATGTCCTTCTTCCGCGGCCGACAACTTCATATACTATTCCGAGTTGGTTGTGCATTTATATCGCAGTTGTCTCTCTGGTTTTATTTTTTATACGCGCACCGATTATCCGCGTATCGAAAAATAAGTCGCATCATAGAAATATCTCGTGAGTAATGCCCGACACGCCTTTACAAAAATGTATTCGTCCCTTTTCCAGATATCGCGACGATGGTACCGATCCTGCTGATACCCGTAATCGGATTCGTGGCGGCAAATCCCCTTCCAGACGCGCTGGATAACCGATTGGTTTCTCAAATTCAAAAGGCGCTCTCGCGATCCGCGGAGAGTCGCCTCGACACAATGCACGAGAGTCCAAACAAAATGAACAAAATGATGGAAAATATAAATAAGACGCAAACGGTTCTGCCGAAGCGCACGAGCGATCGTCTCAGAGCGTCCGGTTTGGAAACGACGGACGGATTCAACGAATTTGTTGAGAAACGGACGATAGGGCGAAAACACAAGGCTATATTCGTGGATTATCCTCTGATACCGCATTACCCGAGGGTGCCCGCGTACGAAGTCGACGACTCATCGGAGATCACGACGAAAGACAGATTGTCGGGGGAGTCCGAGAGATATCAGGAGAGCGATATCTTCTACATACGACTGCCGCCCACGCCGTACATGTTCGTGCCCGGTCTTGGCTACATTTCGCAGCCGCCCGCATACTCGACCGCCGCCCTGAAGCCTCAAATATCTCTCATCGCCCAGACGCTACCCCAGCTGTCACCCCACATGAGACCCACGGTGCGACCTCAACCGGCGGCGGCGGCGGTGGTGGCAGCAGCCTCGCAGCAGACCGTTAATCCTTTCATTAAATTGCCCATAGACTTTGTGAGCAACGGCAAGCCCACCTCCGTCTACCAATGGCAGAAGAAGCCCGGCAAGAAGCCGACCGACAGTCCAATCACCAACCTGGACGAGCTGTCAGCCGGCTTTGTGAGCAACGGTAAGCCGACCTCCGTTTATCAGTGGCAGGCGAATCTCAAACCGGCAAAGAGGCCGGACAATTCGCTCAACAGCCTCGATATGGGGCCTTACACCTTCAATGGCAAATTGACCGGCGTGTACCTGCTCGGGGCCGACGGATCGTCCTCCGTGCGCCAACCCATCCGGTATCCCGATTATCAGGACAATTATCAAGCCACGTACTACTGAGCACCCGTTCCCGCTAATTCGCAAACGTCGACTGCGAGGCCGCGACCGTACAATTTGCAACTTCGTATCTTTCGTGGCGAATATGTTACGGAGGAGTGACAAGTGATTACACACACGTGTGTTCCGAACTTGGAATGTGATACTTGGGTCGCGATAATAGTTACTTGCGAATCTTGACGGGGAAGAGAGCAGCCAAGTGAATCTAAGTACGCGGAACTCGAGTCTGCTACCGGCGATAATAACCACGTGTCGAATGTTCCAGGCTCTATAAATCATAATGAACGCGCGCTGTACATTTGTAAATTACGTCTACCTACCTACTCCTCGCGTCGCAAAAACATCACGCGCTTCATTATTGATATCTTACTAAACGCGCGGGAGTTGCGAAAACGCGTGCGTTTCTCGCTTTCGGAACAAGCGTGCCGAGCGTCCTGAAATTCGTTTGTTACATCCTGTAATGTCGCTACGATGTATTCGACGCTTCATCTGTTTTTGTAAAGTGTACAGAAAACGCGAAATTTTACGTAAAAGTTTAAAACAAAATATTTATTTTTTACTATATTTTTATAAATATATTAATATATTTAAAATATTTTTGTAATAGATATCTAATGTATTAATATATTGTTTTTTTTTTAATTATATTCTAGTGATACTTTCAATGTGTGTGTTTGTATTGTGTGTGTGTTACAAAAACAACGAGTTTCTCGAGCGGTTTTCACCGGAAGCGCGGAAAGTTTTCCGCTAGATTGCGGCAATGAAGCAAATACTAGTTATAGAAATTTTTGTATATCGTTTTGCACTTGTTTTGCTCTTTTTGTACATTATAGAATATTTATTATTGATCGACGGCGCGCGACGTGGACATTACACATTTGTAAATATGTTAAATACATACGAAAGTTGTTTCACGAATAAAAACGTGATCGTTCTTTTTAAAAATCCTTTCCCGTGATATTATAGTAAGACGATGTCTTTCATACATTTCGTCCCACACGTATATACGCGCGCAACACAAATATTGACTTGGGACGTGAGTTTGGTCGGATTGTCTGGACTGTATCCTGTCTGGTTACGTGCGCCGTTGCTCGGATAAAAGATGCGCGCGCGTCAAAGGATTACAAAAATTTTATATTAATTCGACTCCGCTCTGACCTCGCTCAATCTTCAGATATTATTTTCTCTCGAGTTTAAAAAAAAAAAAAAAAAAAAAAAACATTCTAACGAGACGTAAAATAAAATAAAACGCATGTAACGAGAGAGAGAGAGTTTTTTGTTCGAGACAATAATGTGAAATATTGAGAGATTACGACGGAGCGCGCGGCTCGTCCTGTCATTTCTGATTTTTTTGTCGCGAGAGGGACAATCTTCGACGGAGAGAGAGACGTGTAATTCCTATAATTTGCGTCGGACAACCTGACGCTTACTCGTCTCACAGGAGAAACAGTGAAAAGACATAATGGTAAAAGCACTTGCCCCCTGGTGGAAACCGTTCTCCTTAGTATTTTAAATTTATACGGTCAATTACCAAAAAATGTGGCCCCGGAGGCGAGCGACTCGCTCGCGCTGATGTGCGGTTGTGTTACTCACAGATATTCAAGTAAATGCGTTTGTAACGGAGTCGCAAGTGGTTCTCATTCGGGCCCGCAAATTGGCCCGGGAGGTCTTTATGAAGACGGAACGTGGCAAACGATGCTTGTGACGGCGGAATTAATCCCCCGAAACGCACACGCTTTGATATTACATACATCTCAAGCCGGCGGACTCTCGTTCGATCTTTAATGTGCGAACTGAATAAACCGAACGCACGGGAGACCGGTTCTTCTTCGCTTAATGGCTGCGGCGCAGTTCAGATCGGTTACTTCATTATCCGATGCCGATTATAAAAGGCGGTTTTGTTGGATTAGCACGCGGTCGCAATTAGCGCACGCTCGTAATTAGCACGCTCCAAGGAGTTTTTTGTTTATTTATTTATTTTTTTTTTTTTTGTTTTGTTACAGATCGCCGCAATCGCGGTGGGAGAGAAATTCGAGAACGTTCCGCGAGATGCTTCGCGATTTGCCAATCGCAATTGCGATGCGATCTAATGAAATACACAATGCACAAAGATCTATAAATAGTTTTATTCAGTACACTGAGAATATACCTCGTTACAATCGAGCACTCTTGTGTATATGTATAATACTTGTATATAATATACGTATACGAGAAGAAAATATCTTCGACGCGAAAACCTTCTCTCGCGTCAATAGGCGCGGAAAGGATGAAAAATTTTACGTATCAGAACATATGTTGTATTGTCCAGTCTCTTCGTGAAATGTGTGTGTGTGTGTGTGTGTGTTTGTGTGTGTGTATATTCGTTCGTGATTACATCACGGAGAATCGCCATTGATCAAAAATTTGACGTGCGCACGCGCGCGCACGACCAATTTTCTACACTATATGTGACAGTATAAAAAATTATCACGAGTGACGCGCATAGAAATAGAGTACACGAGTTTTATACTTATAAAAATATATTATACACAATGTTAACTTAGAGAATTTGATTGCAGGATCCACCACACAAACGGGGATCTCTCGTTAGTAGGAAGAAACATTTCGGTCGCAAAAAATCCAATCGACCGCAAAAGCTCTCTCTCGCGCGCTTCTCAGATCAGATATTCGCTTAAAAAGACGCACGCGGTCTATAGTCTAGATTCAAAAATAAGCTCTGTGAAAAACGTGTTAAAAAACTTATGCTAAAACTACGCTAAAATCCGAGTGTGGAAATATATATATATATATAGTATCTCTTCTGGGTTTTTGTGAGAAGAGAGCATCGCTTAACGATCTAATACTATATAAATAAAAAAGCGGCATACAAAAAAAAGCTAAGTCATGATCCGACTACGTAATAGCTTTACGGTGTATCGCGTCGACTTCGAATAATGCCATTCGATATGGAAACAGACATCGAACATTCATCGATTAATTTGATTAATACGATTACGTTTTTTTTTCTTTTTTTTTTTTTTTTGAATTAGGAAATAATAAGTAAGTTTGACGAAAACTGATGATTTTTATCCAAACACAGACTCGTGTAATGTGATTTTTACGCGGAAACATGATATGCGAAAATTTTCCTCATTTTGTCGCTTTACAAAATAAACGTCACTTGATATTCATTTTTCAAACAATTCAAGAGATTATTTAAAACGACAATGTGCGTTAAAAAAATTTATTATCGACGGTAATAACGGCAATGATTATTTTTATATATATATATGTATATATATATTTGTAATATTTACTTATCGATATATATCTTGTAGATGCAAGACCGATAACGACATACATTTGTAACAGAACAGTTCGCGAGACGCACTTGGCCTAGAATTAAAAAAAAAAAAAAAAAGAAAAAAAAACGGCCATGTGCGATAAAAGTGTGTGAAAGTCTCCGTTTCTCTCTCTCTCTTTTTCGTTCTTTTTGTTTTTTCGTCGTTGTTTATATCCGCGTACGAGATGACCCTCGCGATTCTGTACAAAACAGAGAGTTAGGTACGCGTTACTACTTAAACTTAACAGGCTCGCGCGCGCGCCGCTTAAGACGTTACACACGATTGTGCACAATTATACGCGAACGGCGATGGGGGTAGGAGATTAAGGTAGAAGAGGATGATAGTACACCGGCTTGCGGCTCTTCTCCATGATGTAGAAAGCCTTGGGCTTGCCGTTTCCGGGGAAGTTGTGGACGCTGGTCGAGGAACCCGTCTTGGTCGCGATCGGCGCGTAATACGACATGGCGGCTTTTTTCCGGTGCTTCTTCATCTTCGGCGCGGTGTTCCTCGAGCCGTGAAGTTCATTGGTCAGATGGATCCTGTGCACGCTCAAGTCGTCCAATCTGTACGCCTTGTTGACCGCGTCATTCCTCTTCGTCGACTCGAAGCGAGACTTCTCGTCGTCGGGATAACTCAGTCTCTTGTCGTTGTTTCTAACGTGTTTCGTCATCGATGATTTCTGATGGGAGTAAATTTTGTTCGTGTCGACCGCGCGGTACTCGTAATTCTTGCCGGCCGTGTCGAGAGAATAGATCTTGTTCGACGCGGTCTTCGCGAAAGACAACTGCTGCCGCTTCTTCGCGTCGTCCAATCTCTTCTTCGCCTGATCGCTTCTCAACTGACTCAGATGGAGACGCTTCTTCTCCGTCATTTTTTTCATCACCGGCAAGTTCCAGTGATAGATCTTAGCGGGTTTGCCGTTTCCCTGAAACCCAACCGGAAAATTCGGCCCGGTCTTGGTAATCTTGTCGTTGTCGTCGACCGATTTGTGCGGCCTCGTGATGGTGTAATACGGCGGACTCGCCGGGAGCTTCACCATGTAAACGTGACTGTCCCGATGCCCGTGACGACGGCTGTACGGCTGATGTATGCGCATTTGCGAGCTAAGCCCCGGCGGTTCCGGTCCGGCCAGTCGCTTCTTGTGATGCCCGTCCGGTATTTGTAGAGGCGTCAGTCCGAGCCGATTTAGAATGGCCGCGTTGCTCGTGTGAACCGTCTCGAAACTGGGCGAATCGTCATCCGGAGTCACGGCCGTAACGAGACTGGCCGAGGACACCAGCAGAAAGCCGCTCAGAAGAAATAATCTGAAACGAGAAAACGTTGTCACCTGCCGTTGTCTACAATCGTTTTATCGGTCAAAACAAACGAGTATTTCGTGCTGCAAGGGAAGTTGTTTAATTCCGATACGTTCTTAGAAACGTCTTGAAACGAGAAGTGAAATCTGATTCCCCTGTACGCCATGCGAACGCCAGGTTACTTGTCGAAAACAAATTCAAGTGAAAGAGAATTTCAGAAACGAAAGTGACAAGTTCCGCGCCAACGAGGCGTTTAGAAACGATCGCACGAGTCGCCGGGTGTGAAATTTGCAATGTAAAATCGACGCGCGCCGTCACTTCGGTATGTGCGTTGGTTACGAATCGCGCGGTTGAACTCGATGAACCGCGCGCGAAATAAATTATCTCTCTCTCCCGCGAGTTTAATTACTCGCTACCAGACGGGGATAAAACTCGTTAATTACTTCGCGTCTATCTTCGCGTTTTTGTTTTTTTTTTTTTTTAAATCGACGATGGCTTTTAACGGCTCGCTGAATCTCTCTTCCTTCATCTTGACACCTCGAATCGAAGAAGAACGCGCGAGTTTTATTGCCTAAACGTACGTAAATAAATAAATTTCCGCGTTTGAAAAGCCGAGGCATAAATTTGCGCGAGCGCAACGTCGAATATAGTTACGCGAAAGTTGCAAGCGCGGCGCGTCCGAAGAAATAATGAAATGTTATTTGCTTGTCGGGGAGGAAAGGAGAGGAGAGGAGAAGGGTGGATGAGTCGAGTGAATTGTATTTGGTAAAAGCCAGTGTCCAGCTTGGGTCTTGGAACGTCCGTCACGCAATAGCCATAAATTAATATGCCAGCCAGGCGTCTCCCTCGTTGCGAAATTATTCCTCCATCCAGCAAGGTACTTGACGTGGTCATTCACAACGACGCGACGCTCGTGCTGTTCGTCGTCCAGGGGATATAAGCGCGAACGTAGGGAAAGCAGAAAGAGAGAGAGAGAGAGAAGATTGCGCTGTTAGCAAGTCACGTTCGACGCTTTTCTTTGTAACTCAATAATTAGAGATAATAAGAGATATAATTTCTTTACCTTTTAACGCGTTCGCGGAGCGCGCACTGTGCGTGCGTCAAACGATCGAGAGAGGATATCGATGAAATATCGAAAAGCTGTGAGTAAAAATACAGGAAAGCCAAATGTGTGCGTCAACACATGTGTGTGTGTGTGTTATTACCGTTACGTAAATGACATAACACGACAGAGGTTCGAGGTATGGGAAATGTCAATGTACTGTTTCGCGAATGATAGTAGGATTTGATATAAAATTTACGGTTGTAACAGAGAGAGAGAGAGAGAGAGAGAGAGAGAGAGAGCCGGGAATGGGTCATTGCCTTCGTCTTGACCCAAAAATGTACTGACCGAGATGCAAGTGGCGTAAATAAGTACCCCGAGATCTCGGAATGCGGTTTGCTTATCGTTATCTCGCTCGTAACGTATCGACTTTAAGATAAAATGAGTGTGATTTTAACGCAATTAGAAGATAAATACGCGTGAACATAGAAAAAACAAATATATTTTCTTCTTTATTTCCTTCTTTCTGTCCTTTCTCTCCCGCACAAAACACGAGTATTCAATTTCTTAAACGCGATAAATTATTGAAAAATACGATTCCGATAATCTCCAATTTAGAGAGAAATGTCTCTCCGAGAATCTCGCGTCACAGGTATACGAAATATTTTTATAGTGTAAAATAATGTAAAACAAAATACACTTTAAAAAAAAAATATTTAAAAATAATAAATATTATAATTCGAATTAATTATTAATTCCGAAATCAATATCGGGCGCTTGGAATCTCTTGTACATATATAAAAAAATCTATTTATTCCCCCTGAAAATTTAACTTGAAAGAAACACCTTGATCAGAATTTAAATTTTTTTTATTCTCACGTTGTCGAAGATGCGACGCGGAAAAACAATAGCCACCTCCGGCGGAGAAGAGCGCGTATGCGGGCCCGAAAGAATGCGGAAGAGAAGATTCGATGTCCGAAGACGGGAGAGAGTTCGAAATTAGCCCTGACTTGAGGAGCTCGCTCGCTCCTCGAGGAGGAGTGTGAAGAAGAGGAATAAAAGGAGCGCGGAAAAGTAGCCGCGCGTCGGACGAGCACGTGCATGTGCATTGGAGGTAGATAGGTAGATAGGTAGGTATGCGTGAGAAAAGCTCACGGTTGGAAATCTCTAACGTAGGTAGGTACCTACCTACTTCTATCGGTTGTGTGTTGATGGAAAGGCGCCACGATGCGCATGAGTGGAATGAAAGATGAAATGGAATACCAACGTTGGCGTCTTGCGACGACCGGAGATTAATCTTCATGATCGTCTCCGTCCGGTGACGGCGGGCACACGTTTTACTCGCTCTCGCGAGTAACTTTAACTCGGTTTAATGATTACGGATATCGCGAAACGATTTAATTCCCTCTCGATGCATCCTCCCCTTGTCCCTCCTCTCCCCGATATCGTCGAAGCTAATTCGATTGCATTAAACGTATCACGTATTTCGCGGATGCAATCGCGCATCAAGTGCGTTAACCTTCGTTCGAACAGCTCCGGAACGTGTTCTTCATCTCTGCCGCGTGCTGGAAATATTGACAGGAATTGTGCACCATCTTCTGAATGAACTCTATTGCAATTAAAAGAATATTTCCGCGATGTGTTTGTAACACGTGGCAATATTGTAATATTTTTTATTTCTGCGACAAACATGCTGCAGGAACAACCATCTGCGATCCGCGACGAGCGGCTTGAAAGACGCGCGCGAGAAGTGCTTCCGAAGCGAAACATGTGAAAAGTGTTTTTCCAAACAAGCTGTTCAAACGATCACTTGCGAGTCGTTATGTTTCACACACCCTTGCTATGTGGACGAGTCCCTATAGACCGAGCGTATGTCTCAGTCGTGCGAACGTCGCACATGTTATATGTACAAACAATTCTACATGGAAACAGCGCGAGGTAGAGTTTCCGTCCATCTTATGTCCATCGATATAGGAGAAAAAACGAAGTTAAATAGAAAAACAAGCGTTTTGCATCTTCGAATTCGATTAGCGAGATAAATTTTCCGCGCGTCCCACAGCGAGAACTCACGCGTATCGAATGATGGTGACGATGCGTGTGCGTATCGAGAAATCCGGTTTATTGACGGAAACCGCGCCATTTATTGATTTGCCTATAAACCGCGACCATACGCGTACGAAACCGCGAACACATCCCGCATTCAAAACGAATTCTTTCTGTACAGTCCGTACCGGATGGAAAAATGAACACGGACGTGATGTTCGTAAATATTATTGTATACTTTTTCGAGATCAATTTTTACGACAAAATACAAAAATATAAAATCCTACCAGAAAAAGTGTGTGTGAAATAATCACAATCGATTCTCTCGATCAGGGCCGGACTAACCGAATGTCCTGGCCTAGGCAAATGTTGGTGGGAGCCTATGTAAGGACATATTTTGAAAATTGTTTAGTAAAAAAAAAAAAAAAAAAAAGGGTAATTGGTATAAAAAATAAAAAAATAATTATATATTTTAAATAGGATAATTCTAAAAGACATGTATCTAATTTTTGTTTGAATTTATTTATTTTTTTTTTAAGTTTTCTTTTGTTGGTGGGGGCCCATAGGCAGTGCCTAGTCTGCCTATGCGTTAGTCCGGCACTGCTCTCGATAATGATTGCCACTTTTATCTCGACGCCGATTAGACGTTTCTAGAATGTGTTTTCTCGATTTATGTCGTAAGTATTAAGACGCACTGTAGTGCCTCTTGTACGCGAAATTCACACGATTGAGAAGCGAAAAGATTTTCATGGAACAATATCTCAAGAACGAATAAACCGATCACTTTCGTTTAATTCTAAATCGCTTCAGCACAAAACATTAAAAAACAAAAGTATACTTGCGTTTTTGAAAGTCACGTGACAAGGAAAAGAGAAAAAACACCACGTAACTAAATATATATATTATAACATTAATATAATAATATATATATATATAATATAATATATAGATATACTAATATATTACATATATTACATAATATAAATTATATATACAATTTATTATATATTTATAATATTATACTTTATATTGTATTATATGTATTATATATATACTACAGTAAGGTTACTGACCCCCGTCACGTGACTGTGATGAGGTCACTGACCCCGGTCACGTAATTATAGTATATATATATGATATAATATACATAGAAATAGAATATTATATTAGTTATTTTTTCACTTCTCCCTGTCACGGGACCTTATTTTAGTCACGTTTTTAAAGTCACGTGATTTTAATCACTTGTTGTTTTTCCACTCCTCCCTCTCACTAGTTTTTGTGTTTGATTTTCATGTGTTATTTTTGACATCTCTCTAATGTATATTACATGGTCTATAAGACATATATACTAGCTGTCATCGGGGTGACAAGTTGTGTTCACTGACACTACACGTTAAAATAAAAACAATAATACCATGCACGTGGCGCTCGCCTGTGTGTTATGCTAGTTTATATTATACATCTTCTTTGAGTTGTTGTATATAACATTAATTATATTATACACGTTTATGTAAGAGAGAAATAAAAAAAAAAAAAAAAGAAACAATCGATATAGTCTCTCTATTCCGCGAAGCAATCTTTCTGTTCAATTGTTCGCGTTTACCACCGAACGGCGGAAGGAAAAACTGTTCATCGGCGTGGAAAAGGAAAACGAAAGCTCGACAAGAAAGAAACAGAATCTTTGCGGCGATATCTGTCCAGAACAGCGTCATCGATTCCGCGCGACCACCTTATATAGGCGCTATAGGGCACTCGCTGCCTTACGGCTCATTAAATCCGCAAGCCATTGCCAAGAAACGACACTGGCCGCGAAGAGACGGACTCAGAGTCGGCGAAAAAAAGAGACTATAGAGAAACGAGAAAGAGAGAGGAGAGACGTGAAAAAAAAAAAAAAAAAACACCTCGGATGGCTGCGCGCGCGAGC